GCAAAGTGGAGTTTTTGCAGGGTCTCTTGGGATAAAAGGATGAAATGAGATCCGGATTCTCGGTCACAGAATGAGATAGTCAAAAGACTAGACGAAGAAAATGGAGGAAAATGGCATTCATTTGGAGAGTCAGTGACGAGAGATTGGTGTTTTTATCAAAAACGTGGTGTTGCTAGCGTGGTTGTTGTTTGCATGTGACAGGGGTATATCAAGACCCCTAAAAGACAAACAGTCTCTCGTATTCCATCCTTCGTTCATTCAATTATTGTCCTTGCTTGCGTATGCATTTCACGGTAATAACATGGATTAAAGCAAAACGTATTTAATTTATTCGTATTCACAGACGGTTACCTAAGCTTTATTGACCTCATCTCATATTCGTTAAATTGGCAGCGTATAAACGGACCAATCAAATCACTCACAAAATTGTTAGGCCACCCAACGCTCATCCATTGACTTCCAGCAGCTCAGTTAAGTAAAGTTACGTAGAACCATCACCTCACTGAGGCTCCTTAATCTTAAAAAAGACAATTCATCACCGCTTCTTCTTTTTGGTCTTTCATTTTTTGAACTTGGACTTATCAACATCACTCACTAAAAAGTCATCGCTATTGCTGTATCTCTGTCGTATCTTCTCTCGCTACCATGTCTTCGACTGACCCCACTAACCCCTCGATTGACGATGAGCTTCATCTTGAGGGTGAGCCTGCTCCTGAGCTCCTTGAGGGGCGCATTTGGGTCGACGGCTGCTTTGACTTCTTCCACCATGGTATTTACTCTTTCTCCCCCATCGCGCTCAGTGATACTGACCATATCAGGCCACGCTGGCGCTATTGTGCAGGCCCGCCAATTAGGCGATGAGCTTTACGCTGGCGTTCACTCAGACGAGGCCATCCTCGCCAACAAGGGCCCTACAGTCATGAACCTCGCAGAACGGTAATTCCAACTCATTTTTACCTGTCAAGCGACAGATTTACTGACATTTCCAGACTCGCCGCTACTGACGCTTGTCGCTGGGTTACACGTTCAGTCGGCCACGCACCCTACGTGACCTCTCTCCCCTACATCTCCCACTACGGCTGTAAATACGTCGTGCACGGCGACGACATCACTTCGGATAGCGATGGCAACGACTGCTACCGATTTGTAAAGGAGGCTGGTCGATTCAAGGTGGTTAAGCGCTCACCTGGTATCTCCACCACCGATCTCGTCGGTCGCATGCTTCTCTGCACAAAGACGCACTTCATCAAATCTCTCGAGAAGAAGCTCGCCGGTGAAGAAGGCCACGGCACATCGGAGGAGCGCATCACTGAGGGACAACAGATGCTGGAGCGCATGAAGCTGTATGCGACAGATGCCTCTGGCAAAGCACCCGGCGCCGAGGTATTCTTCTGGAAAGCGTCGCAGGTCGCTAAGGCGGAGGAGGGTGAGGAGGAAAGGGGCAGTTTCCGCCAACTTATTGAGGGACCCGGACCTAAGCCCGGCCAGCGCGTCGTGTATGTTGATGGAGGTTATGATCTCTTCTCCAGCGGACATATCGAGTTTCTGCGCCAAGTCCTCCTTGAGGAAGAAAAGCTCGCTCGTAAAGATGGTTGGTATTCCGAACAAGCCGTAAACGAGCGTCTCGGCAAGGGTGAAGATTATCCCCCCGCGTACGTCGTAGTAGGCGTGCACGAGGATGAGGTCATCAATCAATGGAAGGGAATCAACTACCCCATCATGAACACCTTCGAGCGCGGCCTCTGCGTCCTGCAGTGCAAGGTAAAACAACCCCCCAATACTACCCCAGACCTGAAAATCACTAACCATTTAAATCACAGTACATCAACGCCGTCATCTTTGGCGCACCCTTCGTTCCCACAAAGACTTACCTAAACACCCTACCGCGCGGCACCCCAGACGCCGTGTACCACGGCCCTACATCCTTCATGCCCCTGACATACGATCCGTACACAGCACCCAAAGCGATGGGGATCTACCGCGAAATCGGCGAGCACACGTTCGCACACGTCAACGCTGGTGAAATCGTGCAGAGGATCATGAAGTCGAGGGATATGTACGAGGCGCGCCAGAGGGCAAAGGGCGAGAAGGCAAGTGTTGAAGCAGCGGCGCGCCAGAGGGAGATTATGGAGGAGGAGCAGCGGAAGAAGGAGGCTGAAAGGGCGTAGGGCGTGGATGTGGTGATGGTGTGAAGAAAAGCCGGTAATTGGCGGTAAAGAAGGTGCCCTTTCAACAGGGAATCCTAAGAGATGGGGGATAAAAAGTACAGTATAGAGTAATCAGTTGATCATGATACCTAGAAATGACGAGTTCTGCAAGTCTATTGTGATTATACCCTTGCTATCGTACCCTTTTACCATAACATCTCGATACAATGACATGAAATCTCCACGCCACGAACACATAGGACCGATCATCGATAAGGACGCAGTAATGTGACCTCAAAAGAAACTCTTTATTATTCCTTGCCAATGCGTTCCAATTGGAGGGCATGACCTCACTGCTCCGAGGGGCGGTAACAATGGCAATTGACGGCTAGCCACGGTGTGCATGCGCAATTCCGCCCTGCCAAGATGAGAATTCTATCAAGGTTTCTTGTCTGTCAGAATTGACAAGCAGGGATTTTATGGCACATGACTATCTACTGCATAACCTGTATTATCTCTGATATGAGAATAGGTGAGGATTGATCCATTGGTTGGTTGTGTTATCTTGTTGATAGCCAATTGTTTAAGACAGTGGAGACTTGACGTTTGACAGGAGTTTGTTCCGCACTGGAAGAGCCGGTGCTTGGACCGGGTATTTTTGGTGGAATATGCAGTCGTGTAAGCGATCTCGATAAGCAAGTTCCAGAAGAGTCATGTGTCTTATTCCCAACAAATTCCAAGCCTCACCACTTGGCAGAAATACCAATGCAAAGTCATCTGTCCAATTCTTTCATCAATGGCGTAACCGATCAGTGAATTACACTCTAACTATAGTCTTCGTTATCTTCCAGAAGCATCATCAGTGGAACCTCTTTCATCATTCCAAACTGGCGGCTCCCATCCACCACGTCAAAAAGGCTGTGTGGAGCACTCACCACCTACTTAAAAGAGCCTAGTCCAATGGTCTATCGATATCATGAAAAAAAAGTTCGAGAAAAGAAAAAAAAAAACACCATCGCCGGAGCCGAGCACCGCGCGGGCAGAGGCGGTCTATCCGGGCCCGCGAGCGGCGGATATTTTTCTGCCCAGCTCGTGACTCTCCCGAACGAACAAAGTGGAGAGCGGATAGCGGAGGGGGAAACAGTCATACACGGGGTAGTCTGTTAGTTTGGCTTTCCGTACTTACGTATATAAAGTTTATCTCTGCTCTTTTGTCTTTGTTTGCTTTCTTTATAGACCTCTCATTGTGAACTCCGATCTCGCTCTCTTCCTCCTTACATTGACTCAAGAATCCATTGACCAAAAGTCATTCACCTAAAGAATCCATTCACTCAGAACATTCACTCGAACTCCAACTTCAGCAACCATGGCTCCCTCCGCCGTCGAAACCCAAGACGTCAACCTCACAGCCGCCGCAATCCACAAGAAAGAACTCGCCCAACCCACCGTCAACGGCACTCCCCAAGTCCAAGCTCCCCTCGACGCTTCAAAGCTCACATACACATACACACAATCCCCCCGCTCCGTCCCCGATGAAGCAAACGCTCACTCCGGCGACGAGACCATCGCCACCGACCACATGGTCCTCGCATCATGGAAGGCCTCCACCGGCTGGGCTGCCCCAGAGCTCAAGCCCTACGGACCGCTGAGTCTCATGCCCACTGCCTCTGTGCTTCACTACGCTACGGAGTGCTTTGAGGGTTTGAAGGTTTATCGTGGTTATGATGGAAAGCTCCGTATTTTCCGTCCTGATCGTAATGCTGCGCGTCTTCGCATGTCGGCGAACCGTATCTCCCTTCCTATCTTTGAGCCCGCTGAGGTAGAGAAGCTCATGATTTCTCTTCTCTCTGTTGACGGTACAAAGTGGCTTCCCGCCGATCGCGCTGGAAGCTTCTTGTACATCCGCCCAACCATCATCGGCACAGCTCCTCAGCTCGGCGTCTCTGCTCCCAAGGAAGCCCTCCTCTACATCATCGTGACATTCATGCCCCGCATGGACGCTCCCCCCGGCGGAATGCGTCTTCACACATCCCCCGACGACATGGTGCGCGCCTGGGTCGGTGGCTTCGGATATGCCAAGGTCGGCGCCAATTACGGTCCTTCTCTGCTCGCCACGGCTGATGCACGAACCCGTGGATTCCACCAGATTCTCTGGCTGTACGGTTCTCAGGGCGAGTGTACCGAGGCTGGAGCCAGTAACTTCTTTGTTGTCTGGAAGCGAAAGGATGGTAAGAAGGAGATCATCACTGCTCCTCTTGATGATAAGCTTATCCTTGATGGTGTCACCCGTCGAAGCTGTCTTGAGCTGGCTCGTGAGCGTCTGGGTGATGAGTATGAGATTACTGAGCGAAAGTACACCATCGCTGAGGTCGTTGAGGCCGATGCTGAGGGTCGTCTGATTGAGTCTTTCGCTGCTGGTACTGCTGTAAGTTTACCAATTAATACCACGACAAGAACCTTGCTAACAATATTAGTACTTCATCTGCCCCGTCTCCCAAATCCACCACCGTGGACAAGACATCAACATCCCCATGGGCGCCGAGAGTGAAGCCGGCGAGGTCACCAGCAAGATCAAGGGCTGGCTGGGTGACATCATGTACGGTCGCACAGAGCACCCCTGGGGCGTTGTCATCCCCGAGAAGAAGCAGTAAATTGCCGATTCAAAAGTGCATTTCAAGGTGCATTAAAAGTTGATTCATGGGACGGCGTTTAGCGGTGTTTGTTGATACACAAAAGAGACCAGGTTGGTCATGGGCACATGCATTGACAAAGACGGAAATGATAGGTGCAGATAGTTAATGAGATACGAAATAGACGACTAGTTGAAAGTCAGCTTTGCTACTGTACATGGCCAATCGAACATAACACTGCTGACACCAAAATAACCCGCACATTGCTTCCATAGTATATCGAAGAGATCAATCATCGAAGAGATCCTGCATCATCTTCAACGTCTGGCTCTGGATCTCAGCCTTGAACTCCTGCATATACGGGTTAGTATTAATTGATCAGCTGCAGGATACCAGCATACCTTGTCAACTTCATTCAGCAGCCGACACTTTTCCTCCACGATAGCCTCCGCCTGCGCCTTAAACTCCTTAGCAGCCTTCAAAGCTTCCTCATCAACACCATTCTGGCCACTACCTTGATCGCTGAGCTCTTTGTTCAGTTCCTTCCAAGCCTGTTCTTCAGTCGCACAGCATTCATCCTATTCGACACTGAGGCGAAGAATCTCTTCTCTCGCAGTAGCAATTTCTTCTTGGAGGTTCTTCAAATGAACAGCGACGTTTGCTCGGGGGTGCCCTCCATGGTCATTGTGGTGACAAAGTGTAGCTGATAGCGGGTAGGCGATGTTGGCGTACAACTGTTTGGATTGCGACAAAGTCTGGGCGGATTTCTCAGCGAAGCGGGCTGTCTTGGCCTGCACCTCTCCGTGCGCTTTTACAAGGTGATCAATAGCAGAGCTGTGGAGTGACATGCCCATTCGAGCATACGATTCTATCTTTTGTTAGAGGACGAGGCGCAAGATTGTGGACCAGAAACTCGCCTCGAAGCTGCGAGGCCTGATCATTGCTCTTGGGTGCATGAACGACCTTGCTTTCGGGCTTTGAAGCGGTCAGGCTTTTTCCAAGACAATCGTGAACCTGCTGGTAGATGTTGTGGTAGGGAATAGGCCCGACGGAGGAACTTGTCGCTGGAGTATCGTCGTCACGCAGGCGATCTCGCAGGGTCGAAGGGCAACCATCTTCCTCTAGACTAGAGGTGGAGGTAAGGAAATGATTATGTGCAGACGCCATGATTGCATCAAAGCTTCGACAATAATTACGATTGCAAGAGACAGAAAATATTTGTACGAGAGAGGCGAGAGTGCGTGCTGGTGGTTGCAGTTTGAGCCAGCAGTGGCAGGTGTCGATGCCGATGAGGAAGCAATCCGTCGCGCCTGCCTGCGTACCTTCAACATTCACCAAACACATCCGCATTGTGTGAAAACCTGCAATTCCAACATCAATCTTTTAAATTTTTATTCAGAATCATATTGATAGTGGTTCATGTATGCCTGTGCCTTAGAAATGCCCCTCCTGTTGTGGTATGAATTCCATCACCAAATTACCCTACGGCTCTGTCGTGCATTTTGTCCCCCAGTCCTCAAACGCCATATCGCGACCAGCAGACTTCCTCCAGACTCGCTGAAAATAACTCAATTCCGTCGGTTTTCTTTTAGTGCTCATCTCTTTCCCTAAGCCTTGATCTTCTTCTCAATTGCCTCCACAATACTCTCCCAAGTAATCATGGCACCATTCCCAACATCACCACAAGCCAAATTCTTCGATATCGGTCTCAAAACCTCAAACCAACCATTCTCCCCACCCCATTCCTCCTCCAAAACTCGAAGCTGTCTCGCTGTGATAGGATGATTCCACATACAAGTGTTCATCGACGGCGCGACAAGAATCTTCTTCTTAGCCCCATCAACAGTCCCCGAAACATCCCAAGCTCGAACAACAGACGTCAAGAGATTATCGCACATGCCGTTGACAATTTTAGCCATAGTATTCGCGCTCAACGGTGAAATGACCAAGACATCCGCCCAGCGTCGTAGCTCAATATGCAAAATCGGCGCATTACGTTTCCAAGGCTGCGCCCACTCATGCGCATCTGTGTAAACAGCATCGACATTCGGAAGACGAGAAATTTGATCCACGGTTGGTTGTTCAAGGCTTTGACCAGAGAGGAATTCCGATGCAGAATGAGTGAGGATGAGACGGATGGAGATGTTGTGTTGTGATTTGAGACCATTTATAATTTGAACGAGCTTAATTGTCGCAACAGAGCCAGAGGCGGCGAGGAGGATATGGCGCTTGCCATCGCCTCGGGCTTGTTCGAGAGCTTCAGTTGAGTTGCGCATGTAGTGATCGTGATGGGCGTCGTGCCCGTGTTGAATCCTGTGAAGCATTGAGATGGAGTGAGATGCGACGATGCTTTTGTCAGCGGTCTTGGCGAGATTTGATAGGGTTTGATGCAGTTGAGTGGAGTGTTGTCACTTTATGACCTCAGCTACAAATATGAGTTGTATGAGTGATAGATATGGTTTTCAAAATTAATTGACTGAGTTGCTAATTGAGAGTCAATCTTTACAGAAATCTTTGGAATTGACATCAGACGGGAGCTTTATCTAATTGACCCCGCCATCAACCCCGCGTCATATGATGAACTCTGAGGATATCACGAGCCGAATCGCAAGTGCACAAAGCGTCTTTGCAGTGCCGACTGAACCTAAGAATGAACTGATTATAATAGCGTGTTTACAGAATGTTCTGGCCAACGTTAGACATTGGTAATATTGTTAGTAATTGACAGTGCTGTATTCTACAGTGGGAGAAGCTGTTGTGAGCTCTGTGAAGGTGCCTAGGGGCGACAAGCAATTCAAGAGCAAACCGTACAAGCTCTCGCAGAGAAAAGAAACCCCTTGCGAAGAAAAAAACGCATCAGAATGTGGTCTCAAAACGATTGTCATTCTAACATCACCATGGGCAAACATGACAATGTTGATAAGCCGCAATCGCCCCTTCGCTGATTGGTCACTTCGCCACTGATATCCGGGGATCGGCGTCGGAACATCCTTGACATCACTAATCCCATCCAAAACTTCCGCCATCTCCAACACTCCAAATCTATTGCGCATCTCCATTCTCTCACTACCACTTTCTCCCTCACAGCCGCCACAATGTTTGCGCGAACAGTAGCTTCAGTACGCCCTATCCCTTCCCACCATTTAACTTTAACAACTAACCCTTCTGCAGTCCCTCAGACAAGCCGCCCGGCCTGTCGCCGTCCGCTCAACAGCTCCTCTCTTCCGCACACCAATTTCCCCCCTCACACCTTTCCAAGCCCGCCTTCTCTCCGACCAAACCCGCTCCGCAATCGACAAAGCCGTATCATCCGCCCCCGTCGTTCTCTTCATGAAGGGAACACCCGAGACACCACAGTGCGGCTTTTCGCGCGCCGCCATTCAAATCCTCGGTCTGCAAGGCGTCAACCCCGATAAATTCGCCGCCTTCAACGTCCTCGAAGACCCCGAGCTGCGGGAGGGTATCAAAGAGTACTCCGATTGGCCTACGATTCCTCAGCTTTACGTTGCGAAGGAGTTTATTGGTGGAACGGATATTCTTGTGTCGATGCATCAGAATGGGGATCTGGCGAAGCTGTTTGATGAGAAGAAGGTTATTCTTGAGGGGGAGCCTGAGCAGAAGGAATAGAGCGGCGATTACGATCGGTCGAGTGTATAACATTGTGTAATGGGGATGAGATACCTCTGTATGACAGATACGAATGTACAGCAAAAGAACGGAATAGAATGGTGCGGTCATTTGCGTCCCAAGCTTTGGTGCTGGCTGTGAAGAACTCTTGCGTTATGGGTGTTTGGATGGCGGTATTCTCGCCTATGCTATCATTGTGTCGTGCCCGAACGCTTTCTGGTAATACACAGCGCGGCTGGGGGCCGTATTTGTTGGTTCTTTACGAGCGGAACGCAACCAAGAGCTGTGAAGGCTTGCGATAATGAAGTAGTTGAAGAAACCTCAATAGATGCCCAAATTTCCGCCATGAACGAAGTAACGAATGTGTTGCGGTGAGATTGTCTCGTCTAGAAAATCCTGATGCGCGTCAACTCCATCTTCCTCATATCCAGATCCCCTGCCCCATCAACAAAATCCTTAAACTCTCCCTTTGTCAGGTCACTGAGTAACTCTAGACACTGTACACCTATAACCAATCGATATCCTCCTTGACACTTTCTCAAAAGAAAGGGCTCCAACGCTCCGCAGAGAATCCACAGCTCGTCACTGCTTTCTATCGCATACCTTTCTGCTAAGATGCTGTGATCCCGCGACCCCTTGTATACTGTATCAAGTGTTGTTTTCTGTATATCATCATCTAGAAATACACCCCATACCTCCAAGGCTGTTGTAATCCTTTCGGGGTGCTCCGGGTGAGGAAGTTGCGAGAATGAAGCATCGGCTTTTTCAGCTTTGACGTGATGTCCCACGTATCCAGTGATGCTTTTCATAATAGAGCTGCCATGTGTATACTCGTAAGTGTTGATATTGGACATCCAGTTGACTACCCACGATGGCAAGCCATCTTCATTGTTGTAGTGAGGAGTTGAATGATCCAGATACGTGAGCACGTTCAAGCTATCCTCGCACATGATGATCTTGCGTGTTGTTTCGACCAGAACCTTGTCCGCATCATTCTCCGGTGAATAATTCGGTACGATACCATATCCAGGATGAGCAAGGCCGAGAACAGAGTATATCTTGTCGCGGGGGTCTGACGCTTGGCTGCTGCTGTTGTAAACGAGAAGGTTCTTCAAACCTGCATCCTGAACCCATTTTCCCTTGGCAATGTTCATACTGTAAACTTTGCTGACAGCCTTTTCGATTTCTTCCAATGAGTATTGCGAGCGTTCAAGTAATCGTTTGAACGGCTCATATCCAGGACTGCTGGTTTCGGAGAGCGAGTTGTGGGTTACAATGCATATGCCAACCAGAAATGCAAGCATTTTATCATAGGAAATGGAGTGTCTCCCGAAGAGAAATATCACACGGCTTGATACCATGAATTCCTGGAAGACCCAGGCTCTATCCCACCATGGACTTTTGAGAATGTGGAAGAATGCAATCCACCCATCTGCAAAGCTCTCATAATTGAGTCTTTCCAGCAGATAGGTAAGGATATCGTAGGAGCAAATCGAAATGTCTCCTTTGGGGGCTTCTAGACCTGCGCCAGATTCGTGGGAGTGCTCTTTTAGTAGATGCTGTATGAGATCTTGTTCCAGCTCGATAAACCATTTCATTCCATGCCCTTCTGTTTCAGAAACAGAAAGGCAAATAAGCGTATCTTTGGAATTTTGGTAAATATCTCTCATGAAGCCGACTTGATGAGATCGCTCTGCGAGGTTGGCTTGGTTGATACAGATTTGATCGACCCATAGCAACAGGTCATCCTCACACTGCTGAGTTGCCCAGTAATTGCGGGCGGCAATCAAAGCATGATGAAGATTGGCGAACACGTTGCATCTTGCACCGTTGACAGTGATAGTCTTTGTATTGCGTGGGTTGCCTGCGCAGTATGAAAGGGCGAGGTATTGCTTGCGTACGTCGGCGAGTCTCACGCTTGGTAATAATTCGCCCTCGACAAGGCCAGACCCTGAATCGGGTAGGATTTTCAGAAGACGTATATCTCTATCGTTGGAATTGAGATCTTGGTAATGCACTTTGGAGAAGAAGTTACTGTTTTCCGGGGTGCAGAAGATGTCATGTCCTGGAGGCTCATTTGCCTTGATCTGGAATGAGGAGGATCCCGCTTCTTTGTCCATCGGATGTTGAAGCCGGGAGTAGAGATGGACGATTGAGTGGTGGATATTTGATGAACACTTAAGTTTCTTTGGAGATTCTCTCAGGCGTCAAGGACATTGATTGAGGAATTAAATGGGAGGTCAGGATGCCTTGTGAGGCGAAGCACATCGTGTGATTGGATGCCTTGGAATAAAACAGCCGTACTGTATTTTATGGCTAGGCGTTTCTTGAAACTTCAAACTACCTTACAAAGAGCTCATGAATTTTCACGAAGAACTGATGGCAATAAAATCTTCACTACCTCGTTTGGACCTTTGAGCTTTTGGAGTTGAGCGATTCTAAAATGCAAGCGTATTGGTTCACTACTCGCCCACCTACTGCCTAGATAATCTATTTTGTTTAATAACTAGAGAAATAACCCTTGTTCTTGACCCAAATAGTTCTTCTGGTTCCAATACTGTATTTCAACTAGTTTTTCGGGATTCATGGATCAGGTTGATGCCAAACCGAGAGGTCCTTAGATAACATCGATAGCTGTGTCAGGCATGTTTCTTATGCAACTCAGTCACATACCGTCAATAGAGCTACTACACTGCTTCAAGCGAAAGGCAGGAGCTTCAAATATCCCAAAAGCAGTATGTCATACGATTTTAATGAATATTTACGTTCAAGTTCGCAAACAGACTCCCACTATCATGCCGTTTGTCCGTGGAAGGCCATGGCTGGGCCACGAGCTGAGGTTCAACGCAGCCACGTGTATTGCAATAAAACATGAATACACCAAGTCACATTCGTGGGAAATATTGATTATCATGACTTGTATGCATGCGTTCAAAAGTCAATGTATCGAGTCTTTCAGCTCGTCAAATAGGCTTTGCGGTGGGAATGTGGCTGGTTGGAGTGTGAATCTCCTCATTCTCTCAAGTCACAAGTCACCAAGTCACAAGGAATGAGATAACATGAGTAATAATCATAAAAGCTGGATATTTCTCAATTCAAAACTTCTATTCTTCAAGCTCATACAGTTCTACAGGTCTGACACTCAATTGGTTCTTCTTCCAACGTAAAGCTGTGCTCCCCCCTCGCTCATATCACATGTGAGACAACTAGCCATGGTTTCCAGTATGAACTTTATATGATTATATCTACTGTAATGATTAAAAAAGATCTCTGCTAATTCTGGTTAGGGGCAGTATCAAACCCGGTGGACGTGCTTGTTGATGAAGCTCGGGCTTCAATGACGCCCTACATAAACAAGGAATTGCATACAGTAGTCACCTATCAGCTCCCTGTACCTTGTGGCGACTGCTCTGTGCACTTACTCATCGATAAAAGTGGTGAAACTTGCAGCGCGTTCATAATGGACGGTGGACGAGACGCCCAACGCCTGGAAGCTTGTCAGGTGGTGATTTGTGGACTTAAAACTATTGCCCTGATCCACAACATCACGGATCCTTTCTTGAGAGCCTGGGTTGTCACGCACTGGGACAAGGACCATTACGACGGGGTACTTGATCTCTTCAAATGCAAGTTGCTTGGCGATTTTGTACAGGCGGATGACTTCTGGCTTTACTGTGTCACAGGTACAACTTACAAGCGGGCTTATGAAGCCATAGTGAGTTCTGCTCCCCACTCTCTCGAATACCTGCTTACGTACGGCGTTCCAGAAAACCAATACGATCAAACTCACCGTCAAAATTGGTATTGAGGCTATAGGATGCAACTTCTTTGGTGAGAGGTTTAATGCAGACGGTGTCGGCTTTTGGTGTGTCGGCGGTGATGGCTACAGCTATTTAAGGGACTTCAGAATACCCCCGAAGCCTCATGAGTCCAAAGACAAAGACAAGGACCTCAATCCGGTATGTAAAAGCAAGAATAAGCCCACACAGAATGAGAGGTCACTGATGGCCTTTGTTATCTGGGCCAACAACGGCCGTGGCCAGCCGCGATTCTCCTACTTTTGTGGAGGTGATGGCAATGTACCTCTGGAAAAAGAAAGAATCTGCGATATAGTACTGGGACACCGGCGTGTCCAGGTGGCCAAGTTGGACCATCATGGCTCATCGGGCGAGTTTGCTGAAGGCGAGATCTTGGGTTTGATGCAGAAGCCTCAGCGGCTACTTATAACACCTGGACACCAATATGGACACCCTTGTAAGTATTTTACAACACAAGGAGACGAGTCTGTCTAATCATGACTTAGGTTGGGACGTTATCTTCCTTATCAGCAATATGTACAGGAACCAGCGTGATAGAAGAATCCTTTATACGACACGCCTGCCCTACTGGGTTGATGAGAGCAAGTTTGGAAAATGGCTCAACACTGACCTTAACATCAACTCTCAAGGACGACTCGCCAGTCTTTTCAAGCCAAGTGCAACTTCTAGCCCGACCAAAAGAATCATGAGTGGGAACGAATCTAAAAAGGTTCTCGTGGAGGCGGTCACGAATATTCTAAGAGTCAACCTGAAGGAATTTAAGGAGAAGCTGCTGACGGAAGCAGACGACGAGGATGAAGCCAATGACCCTGACTTTACTATTGAAGACGGCCTTGCAGACCTCCTTGGCAATATGGTCCAGAACAAGACGGCCGTCTATGAAGACGTTCAAAAACAAGTCGCTCAAGAGCTCAAGAAGGTCGTCGAAAAGGGAACCGGGACGAAATATGAAATGGTGGACGAAGGTGAGGAAACTAAATTCTCCAAGCCTGAGGATGAAATGATGAGTTACAAGCATGATGTGGTAAATGCTTGTGTGGATATGTGGAACTCGATCTCGGAGCAAAAGATCAAGGAAGGGGAAGAGCAGTCGAAGTACTATCTCTTGCAGCTCATTTCAGCTAATGATGATGAACTGGACGGAGCTGTTAATTCATTTGAATGGCCCGTTTTTGAGGACAAGAAGTTCAAATCCAAGATATAGGAGTTGACGTACTAGGCTGTGCATCAGCAAAGAGACTCGTCTATATTGAGAGCCGTCGCTCGCTGTATGTAATCTTTTGAACGTTACAATGAATATCATGAAGAGGTAGCATCAAGTGATTGTTACACAAGGCTGGCCTTCCGAAATCGTTCCTGTTTAATGCGACATCACATTACAATTGTAGGATTGACGAGGCTATTATTTGTTCATTGCTATTACAGGTTCAAACATATACCGACTGAGCCAATGAATCGCGAGCAACTCTTCATACACTTTTTTTACTGATTCTATGGTTCTACGGGAGACTGAGAATGATTGCGTGACGAAATGGTTGTGAGAATGCCTTGTAGTGAGGCGAAGCAGCACTGGTGTTGATCTTGTGATTGGATGCCTCACATGCAACATGGGGGCAGCCAACAGCATTTATCAGATCATGGTATCAAAATCTAGGCAGCCATGAATCATCGAAGTAATCAAAGGGAGCATCCTCAAGCTATCTTTAAACTTCTATTGAAGTTCTATCTCCAATTTCTTTCCCGTATTTCTTGCTGAGTTGAGGACCTAGACCACTACCTCATTACTGGAGACATCAAAAGGGCGCAGCTGCAAGTTCAACCCCTATTCGAACTGCAGATGAATCACATAATAAGTTTATCATCCAATAAAAGACTTTGAAAGAAAGATGGGACTCAAGTTTAAGCCCTGACGCGTAGTCACTCGCGTCAGAATAAGTCGAGCGCGTATCGGGATACACTTCCTGCGCCTACGGCGACCCCGAGAACTGTACGCATGCATGCGGCACATACCCTTGGCCGTTTCGAAAATTAGAAAGAATGCAATTCTATTCATGAAATAGAGAAGACTTATGCAAGGGGCTTTGCACTGACAAGGGTTGTTAGGCAGAATCACCTATGATAAAGGAGGAAGAGATCTCCTACTACGGAGAGGGCGAGATGAGTAGAATTCGAAAGAAAGAATTCGAAAAACAGTATGTTGTCATAGGCCTCGATAATAATAAATATAGGAGTTGCCTAGCGAATGACTTGTTCCTGTTTTCTACTACTGCAACTACCTGCTCACAAAACCGCCCCCTCTAGCCATGGAGTTAGCCTGCGGCTGTTCTCTTGACCAATACCTTGCTATATTTGCTGAACCTGATCCAATCAGAACTATAGTTGACATCCGTCAGAATCTTAGACAAAGAAGTCGCAAGAGGGGAGCGACTAGCTACCAAGCAAGCCTCGAGCAATTCCGCTTCCATTTCAGGACCAGACTTGGCATATCGGGTAATGATTTCATCCATAGAGAAGATATAGTCCATCAAAAAGGACTCATTGAGATGGCACATGAATACCTCTGTGTTTGCGAGAATGGCTCCCGGTACTGGGATAGTCATTTGGCGAGCAATGATGGATCTCTTCAATATTCTAGAGATCAATACGAGTAACTTGGCCCCCCTAACACTTGGTTCTTGTCTGATGACTTTAAAATAGGATATACACCAATATTGTTTGGTTCTTCCTTCGACGCAACCTTAATGATATAGGGAAGAAGTTACGCTCGAGACGTCCTGGAACTACGACCGCAGATAATGGCCGACGACGAAGAAATTTGCTCGATGCATTTGGCAGCGAGAGCCCTTCACCATTTTATCCAGATTACGAGAGTCCAGAATATCACGAGAGTCCAGAATATCACGAGAGTCCAGAATATCACGAGAGTCCAGAATATCATGAGAGTCCAGACTATGCAACGTTCGTGTTCTGGTTCGAACACAGATGACAAAAGTGCTAACCTCTTCAGAACAACTAATGAGGGCGGTGATTCTTCACCTTTGCAGAGTACCCATTCGATTCAAAACCCCAGACAGGAAGAAATAATGAACAACCGAACTCCGATACTTTATGGCAGGACCTACAGCCCAGATGAGCTGGCTGAAGACGTAAGGCTGACGATACTAGAAAGTATACTTGACTGATACGTGATTACGTAGGATACGCAAGGGTCCTTAATGCCAATTCCTGACGCGCAGCCGCGACGTTTAAGCCGAATGCAAGATATACAAGCGAATTTCAGAGAGGCAAGACTTGATGAACGATCAATCAATGGGGTTAACCGCAATGAACGCGGGAATAATCCATCGGCGCCTACTGCTACCGTGGGCACTCAGACGGGATTTGAAACAGATGAATATCGCGATAGAGATGCTAACGCGCCACCTCCTTCATCCATGAACACAAATAATGCCTCCCAGCAGTCTGGGCAAGCGAGTCAGAATAGGGATCAACGCCAATCCGGAGAGCCACGAGAGTCAATCGAACATGAACAAAGGTCACCAACTCCCTTCGAAGCCCCGAGAACTGCTTCGCCAGAACCGAAACCGAAAATTGACCTCATATTTAGTTATGATGCACTCCCGGGATTTAATCTCCGCTTATTCCACGGCGAAGAAATCTTCTCATTCTCCCACGAGCAAATATTCCGGGAAACAGGTTGGCAGCATGACTTTGACTGGCTGCTCATCTCCCTCAAAGCTCCTGCGGTGCTTTTTCTGGAACGTATACCCAAGGCTGATAACAGGGAGTTTCGAAAGGTAATGGTTAGATTTGAACAGATAGTTGATACGATGAAACGTGATTATGCTGAGTTGGAGAGAGATGCTGTGATTGAGATTGCTTTTGTGCCTGAGTGTAAAGGGCATTCGGGAACTGTTATGGTTGACGCTTGGAAGAAGCGGTTGGATAAATCGCGTGGCGTCGTGTTTTGACGGACAAGAACTGGACGTTGTGGACTTATAGACTTATAGACATAGACTTTCCTTTTTTATAAAGAGTATGATAGCGAAGAGATGAAGGGACTACTGAGGATATGCTGCACCATCTGCTCTAGGATCACTACCAGCCGACCAAACGGGCGTTCCATCAGGATCAACAGTATATCTGATAATCTGCCCACGCCCAAACATAGCTCTCTTCCAACCCTTAAGCACAACAACATTATGCCCCAGCTTCTTCAACTCCTCAACAGTCTGTTCAGAAATACCCTCCTCCACATGAACAGTCCAGTCCAAAACGTTGCCCTCGTCTGGCATACCAGCGCCAATGCAAATTCTCGGCGCATCAAGAGCCTGTTGGGGATTCAGACCGAAAAGAACTTGGTTCAGTAGAACTTGAATGGTTCCTTGGGGTTGGTTGAACCCGCCCATTACACCGAATGTAGAATGCAGAGATCCGTCGCTGATATTGGTCGCCATGCCGGGAATAATCGTATGATAAGGTCTTTTTCTCGGCTCAAGCTTATTAGGATGTTTCTCATCCAGCGAGAAATTCGCACCGCGATTCTGAAGTGTGAAGCCACAGCCCTTTGGGATAATAGCCGTTCCAAAACCAGCGTAGTTGGAGTTGATAAACGACGCAGCGTTACCATCTGAATCAGTAACAGTGAAGTACACTGTATCACTGCTTTGCAGAGCAGGAGATACGAAATCGGGGTTTCCAGGCTGAACACCATCATGGGCTTTTGAAGCAGAGAAGATCTTGGCGCGTTCGGCCAGGTATGATGGGGAGATCATGCCGGCGGTGGGAACTTTGGTGGTGTCGGGGTCGGTAACGTACCAACTTGCGTCTGTGAAGCCGAGACGTAGTGCTTCGATAATAGCGTGGAGATAAGCCGTTGAGTTATGATCTTCCGGTGTAAACCTTGGGATTTTCCCCTGCTTTTCGAGCTGTTCGATTATGCCCAGTGCCATTAGAGCGACGATACCTTGGCCGTTGGGGGGATGTTCCCAAAGTTCAACACCGCCGTTGGGATCTTTGTCTGTGAGACCTTGACCGCGGAATTTGACGGAGATGGGCTCTGTATTTTGAGTGCCTGTTTCAAGATGGTGCTTCAAATCGTCGAGTTCGAGATATCCTCCTAGGTCTTGCACGACTTTTACGATCTCCTCTGCGATGCGACCGGTGTAGAAACCCTTCTTACCCTCTGTCGCCAAAGTTCTGAATGTTTGAGCGAGAGTTGGATTTTTGAAGACTTCACCTGGGCGAGGGGCTCTCACGCCATCTTGCGCTGAGGGGTCTTTCTTGAGCATCTCTGCAAAGTTGGGCGACGCATCTCGGAGGAGCTTCTCTTGAGCTTGCCACTAACTCAAGTCAGCCCCAAATTCCAACTCCCAAGCAATAGACTTACAGAGTGAGAAGCGATTTCAGTAAGAGGGAATCCATTCTCCGCTAATTTGATAGCTGGCTCGAGAATTTGGCTCAAGCTGACTTTTCCGCTGCCGAATCTCTCAACGGTATCGACCCAGCCGGCTGCAGCGCCGGGAACAGTCGCAGCGTGGACGTGATGAGTTGGGATTTCGCCAACTTTGCCGTCGGGAATGTTGAGGCTCTTGCGGATGTTCTCGATGGTCTGCTTGGAGCCTGAGCGGCCGGAGCCGTTGAGACTTTTGACTTGTTTTGTGGCAGCGTCGAAGTAGAGGAGGAACATGTCACCACCGATGCCGGTGGATACAGGCTCTGTGACGTTCAGGCCGGCAGCTGTGATTTATCAGTACAGCTCAAAGAACAGCATTATTGTCGCGTGTTTGACATACCAACTGCAACAGCTGCGTCCTGTTGTCTGTTAGCTACTGACTCCTGGGTGTGAAGGATGTTAACCTACAGCAGCATTGCCACCAGCTCTCAAAATCTCAAGACCACAATTCGCAGCATGAGGTTGCGGCGCCGCTACAATACCCTCCGTACTATGAACAACACTCCTCCGTGAAGGAAAGCCAGTGAAGCCAGCCGAAGGCGGCTCATAAATCGACGATGTAGGCAGCGGCATCTTAACAATTCTCAGAGAACAACAGCACTTGAAGGACAAATACTGAATAAGTGAAAGTTGGGGGAGAAAGGGAAGTTATTTACATAATACTTATGATGTAAATACTCTACTTTTGACCTCGGGTCAAGCCCGATGTTACACTTGGAGACGTGGGGGAGGGGTCATTTTGGATGGCGGGGTAAATTTGGAGGGGGCAGAATGTCGTGATAATGCCTCTCGCCGATCTTCGGGTGTGGAATTCCGGGATTTGATCTTTGGAGGGCGCTTTGTGCATCATCCGTAGAGGTCATTTCGGGGTAATTACATGATGTTGTAATTCACTGAAAGGTGTAGGGTTGACAGCTGACATGAAGCCTAAAGAATAAGCTTGACAACGCCATAACAGCCATTGTCTCAGCGCAACCAATGAACTGAATACCAGATGTCGCTTGTAAGAAATAACAGTTCATTGAATTGATATGATGAGTGACAGTAAAATGCTTCCGCTAAACCGACTTAGCAGTTACGAGTATTACTCAATTGTTTCCATCTCAATACCCGACGTCACTTCGCAATCTTCATTCCCAACCTCTGTAGGTATGAGTAGATCGATCCTTTGGGCACCTTTCCAATACTACTCATCCATCTCGCCGCAAAACTCCCTATAACCCGTTAGCTTTCCCTTCATCACAATCTCAGCAATTAAAATGACTTACCAAGTCTCGGGCCAACCTCATCAAACCCCAGCGCTCTCAGAACCCAAATAAGCTCAAACTCGACCAAAACACCAATAGCAACAATCGTACCAGCTGCGATCAGCCCGGCATAAACCGGGTGTTCTTTCGCAAACTCCCAAGCAGTGTTTGTAGCTTTCTTTACAGCTTCAGCCATGGGCTTAGCAAGCTCTGCGCCATCCTTTAAGAGTTTCTCGATTTTGTGCTCGATGGCTTCGGCGAGGCTCGACGTCCAGCCGGTAGTGGAAACTACTTGTTTGAGACGGTGATGTAGTTGAGATTTTGTGCCGGTGTGGGTTTGGAGGATTGAGACGAATTGAGAGGCTGCGTCGTCGGAGTAAGGGACTGGTTGAGAGGTGATGAGGGTTGAGCGTGTGTTGATCTGGCTGACCTGGGGAGATTGAGTTGGAGCGCTTTGGCCGGTGAGGCAGGAGAGGATGGAGTTGAGGGGATTCATGATGATGAATTTTCTCTTCAGGTCAGTGGTGTTGATGAAGAGAAGAGATGGTGCTGATGAGTTGGCGTGAATGAGGCTCGGTTTTATCGTGATGACAGGAAGTACGGCCTCCCGCATGTTAGCGACCACTCACAACGTTCACTCATCCGCAGTGAATCACAGTCGTTATATAACCGCCGATTGATACTGTTTGCCAACTCTACTGCTTGCGCCTTGATGTTGGCCCAAGTTGGGGCCATGAGAGAGCCAACATGACACAATTTGGCCGCATCGCAGGCCACAAGGCATACAGGACACTGCAAGTGCAGTCTCTTTCTCAATTCATTCGCCTCACGCATTATTTGGTCCGCTTATCTTACAAGTTAGCTTTTGGAAGGCACAAGTTGAAGTTGGGCCATCTACAAAGTGCCTCTCACGAATGACGTGCAGGACTGCTAACACAAACGAGCTTCATTTGGAAGCAGTTTCTATCCGGAGCGATTCCTCCATTGACACACTCTAATGGAGCATGTCTAAAGTCCCTGGATTCCTCATAACTGATAGCGCCGTCTAGTTCTCACAAGCTCGCAGAAATCCTCCAGGCAGCCCCGGATGGTCTCCCACTTGGCACAACACCAAGCTTTCCCCACGTGCAACAAGGCTTTCTGTCTCATTAATAATCCACCTGTCATCACTCAATCTCAAACCCTGATCCAGATCCCCCAAACGAACCAATATCACCCCGTGGTCCGTAACATTCCAGAGCCAGAGAGCCCAGGAACATAACTCACTCCTCTCTCATCGTGGCATATCGCAACCTTATCGAGTACCTCTGTGTAAAATACAAATAGGTCAGGATATAAACTCCAGGAACTGTCGCAATAGGTAAAAGCATGTAAACATGGCGTGGATCGGCGATTAAATAGAGTTAATTGTCATGGTTGACTAACCCCAGACCCGCGCCACATACATAAATGGAATGTGGAAATGCTTCATTCCAGAGCTTTTAAGGTATTTGATTGCCTGTGGCTAGACTCTTGCGGCAGCCGTGTTTTATCGGACAAGCCTCATGCCAGGTCCCGGCCCTGATCAGTGTTCCTGCATTGGTGATTACTTTTATGAAAGGGATGATCAAATCGTTGCCAAGATCTCCCTACATCTGACACCTCTAGTCCTGTTATAAATACTCCATAAATCTTGTGAGACTGCGGTATGAGTAGTTCGACAAACACTTCAACTCAAACACACTCACTCTATTCCCTATTCACTCTATAAACTTCAAAATGAAGCCTGTTTTCGCTTTGACAGTCTGCCTCGGCGGCATCATGGGCGCTGAAGCCTGGGTTCTTCCTCCCGGTGCTGCGCCCAAGGCTGGTTATGCTCTTCGTCCAGATGACAAGGCTGGTAACAAGAACGCCGCCGATACAAAGATCAAGTTCTCGCCCGCTGGTTCTTCATCCTCTTCTTCTTCCAAGTCAAACAATGTCGTCCCTGGCTTCATCAACCCAAAGACCGGTGGTTCAAAGCGCCGTGGCATTGACAGGCGCGATGACGGTGATGACGATGGCTCTGATGATGGCGATGCTGGAGATGATGACCCTGAGGTCACCATCTTCACTGGTCCTTCCACCAGAATCGGCACCCTAAAGAAAGGAGAAACCTCTGGCAATGATGATGATGAAACAAAGTACTTCAAGACCAACAACAAGAAGCAAAACGGCAAGAACAAAGACGACGACAAGAAGAAAGATGATGACAAGAACAAGACCAAGACCAAGAAAGAAGACAGCACCAAAACAAAGACAAGCGACGATGCGTCCAAGACAAAGTCCAGGCATTCCGGTGACGACGACGATAAGAAGACCACCAAGACCAAGAAGGAGGATAGCACCAAGACAAAGGCTAGTGATGGTGTGAAGAAGACAAGCAAGTCTAAGCACTCGGGTGATGATGATGATAAGAAGAGTACCAAGACGAAGAAGGAGGATTCTACGAAGACGAAGGGTAGTGATGGTGCGAGCAAGACTTCCAAGGGGAAGGGGAAGGATGATGATAAGCCTGATAAGAACCCTTCGAAGGAGAAGCCTTCGAAGGATGATAAGAAGTCTTCTAAAGACGACAAGAAAGCTGACGATAAAAAGTCCGGCTCAAAGGGCAGCGATGACAAGAAGGTCGATGACTCCAAGAAGTCCAAAAGCACATAATCCCACCCTCACTCCTATCCAACATCTCTTACAATCATGTATCTTATTTAGAGCTTCTTTTATCGGAAACGTACACGCGGAGTTCAGGAAAGGGTAGCTGCCAATCATCTTTCAGCCTCTATCTAGAATTGTATTGTATCATAACAAAAATGTCTTCTTCCCCAGTCGCGACATGTTCTAAATATGCTTGCTTTCCTCTTCTCCGCAAGTGGTATAGCGGTATGTTGGTTGTAGTTCGGTACAGATATATGATGCTTTGCTTGGACCGCTTTAGGATTGGCGCGTCCCTTGTTCTGTGGTGCGTTGAACTTGTTCTCTATGGTGGATATCGGAGCGACTAATACGCCGTGTTGTTGATGGCTTAGATGGGAATTCCCTGGTATTCGTCATATCCAAGTGCGAGGTTCATGTTCTCTGCATTGTTGTTAGAAACGCGATGCTCGAGTTGGGTGAAGGACTTACGCAGGCATTGTGTGGCGGCACCCTTGTGGAGGTTGTCGATGGTGGCGCATCTTTAACAAGTTAGTGGACGCATCAGATCTGGGATGAAGAGACTTACACAACGACACGCTTGCCGGTGCTGTCAACAGCAAAGCCACCAATCTCAACGTGGTGCTTGTCCTGGATGGCCTTGACAACCCTTGATGATGTTAGTTCATGTGATAACCACAGCACGTGGGCATACATACGGAGCTTCACCAACAACCTTGACGAGCTTCTCACCGGCATATCGGTCCTGGTAGATCTGGCGAATATCACGAGATGTCATCTCCTTGTTCAAGGGAATGTTAACAGTCAGGTGAATACCGCGGAACCAGGAGGCGCTAAAATTGTCAGTCTTCAGTGACGTAGTGAGAGGAACTAGGCTTACACATGGGGCATGAAAGCAGCAGGTGTACCGAGGTGGTGGCTAATCTCTCGCTCGTGGATATGTCCTGTGAGAGAATCTTTGCAAGTCAGCTTCCTCTTTCCTCTCTCCCAGTGTCCTCTTCTTTGCACTTACAAGGCAATAAGTTGTCCTTGAGGTTGTTGGTGTCGTTCTTGGGAGAAGGTTTGGTGCCTGTAACGCTGTTAGTTCTTCCGAACCCTCAAATGTTTGGTTTTCTTGCGTGCGAGACACGATGTCCCCACGACTTGCGACGTACCAGCACCGCTGTAACCACTGACACCGAAAATGCTAGGAATACCACCGAGGTGCTCGACAATAGGAGCCAAAGCAAGCTGAGAGCCAGTGGCATAGCAGCCAGGGTTGGAGATTCTTGTAGCTGTAGCAAGCTGGCTTCTGGGCTGAAGCTCGCAAAGACCATACTTCCATGTCTTCTGGTCTTCATCGAAGCGATAATCGGCGGAGAGATCGACAATCAAGCTCTTGCTGTCGCCAAGAGCCTCAACGAAGGGCTGGCAGACAGCATTGGGGAGCGCCAGAATCCAAGCATCGACCTTGCCATCCTTATCCAGCTGAGCAACCTCCTCAGGAGACAAACTCTCGTAGATGATCTTGCGCTTGCTGTAGCCCTTGAGCTCCTGGCCTTGGAGCTCACGAGAAGAAACATGTCGAAGATCCATCATAGGGTGCTCGTTTAGAAGATCGATAAGAGCCTGACCAGTGTATCCACGAGCTCCAATGAGGCCAATTCTTGAGGGAGAGTCGTTGGAGGCATTCTTCATACCCAGAGGAGGGTTTGGATTGGTCTGAATAGCGTAGGACAAACGGCCGGTAGAAGAAAGGCATCGAGCCTGTGCGACATTGAAACTTCGGCCGAGGGAGATCTTGGGCATGGGCGCGACGAGGGTCGAGACAGCGGCGGCTCGGGGGGCAACGCGGCGAGCGCTGGTGCGCAGGGCGGAAGAAGTAGCGGACAGCATGATTCCGATAGGGAGCGAGCCCAATTGACCACTGTAGGGAGTAGTAGAGGAGGTTGAGAGGGCGTGATGAAGGGTTGTTGGTGGGCGGGCTTCTCAGATGCGACAAAATAATCCTTGATCGAATTGACGTTGGTGTGGGGTTTGCCCGTTTTGTGTGGCTATTCGCGGCCGAAGTCGGTCGCCTGGGGAAGTTGCTGACTCATCAGGTTTGGGCTTGATGGACATGCACCTGCCGACGAGGAGACTGTAGCAAGAGGGAGAAGTTGATGTGGTTATTTGTGCAGGAGCATTTGAACGAATTTTGACTTCATATCGAACCCAATTGAGGAGTTGCCTTTGAGCCTTTACGTCACTCAAACGACCGTTGCCGCTGATTGTTGCACGAGCGCCTTCCACGTTAAAAGTCAAATGATGGTTTCAACGGCGGCTGGTGATAGAACTGACATCTGATGATTTTCCAGTGAGTAAAGTAAGAGGTTGATGATTCGGAAAAATCTCAATTCCACGCGCTGGTCCAAAAAGAGAAGTGACAGAACGATTGACAAATGCACTCATGATGGCATCGTTTTGGCCTATTGTGTAAGTACATACATAGTGAATGGAGAAAGGAAGGCTGTTTGGCGGTAAATTTATTGCATGAGGTTGCCAATGTTAAAGTATAGGCGTTTGTTCTGTAACGTCCCTGGGTGAAAGCAGCGCATCGATGCCGTGGATGGCGTAATGACTGTCCTTAATTCTGAGCTCAACTTGAAAAGAAGCCAAGGGCAAGCGAGTTGGCAACAGCACTCGTCGAATGAAGAGCCGCTCCGGCAGCTACTTCCACTCTCTCCGTCCAGCAAACGCACGACCTTAACAAAATTATGACCTCAGTCAGACAAGCACCAACATCCGCATCTTTTACAACTGCATCCTTGGCAACAGCACCACAAGGAGTCTCTGAGACTCCTATCTCCAACGAAACCAATTTATCGGCCGATGTTTCCCGTACAAGCAGTGCGAGATGGTATCCTTGGAAATCGATACCGTTGTCGAAACGAAACGCAATGGAGCTGTAACAGAATCATCGAGCTGTGTTGCTATTTTCACACAAACAATACCACAGCTCGCAATCGACGCGATTGGGATTTCACAGGACAGCCTGGATCCTTCTACGTCTGCCTAATGAGGTGTCACTTGCAATATGCGATCAATCGCCAATGATCCCTCCAATGCCAGTCACGTTGACTCTACGTTGTTAAAAGAGGCAGTCGTCGTGAGTCATGACACTCTGTCACCATTTTAAAAACGGACAACCGTGTAATGCGTTTCAACCCGGATGCTGTCGACCTCGACGTTACCTAAGCATGCGGGAAGCCTCGCCCGGTCGGTCTTGAGCCTCTTGTCTCGATGGTGAAGGATCCAATAGCCGCCTCCCAATACTGGGAGGCTGCGTCAGAAGGCCTTATCTCGGTGACAAACACCAGTCATGGTGCAACGTCTACTGATGTGGCGGTGAATTTGGTGTATCAGTCTGACAAGCGGACATTCAGTATTCATGTTGCACGCAACAGTCGTCCAGGTGCCTCATCCTCTGGGCAGACGCATCTGGGGGAGTTTGTTGGCGGACCGGTCCGCCAGGGTAATTCGACCTCGTCGAGGTATTTATGCTGCCAAGGGAAGGATGCGAGGTTCTCCCCAAGCCTTCAAGCACTCCTATACTCTTCCAGTATAAACAACTCACCCAAACCTTCATTCATCTTCACTTGATACGAGATGTCTGAGATTGTCAGACCTGCACTTGGCCAGCAGGTTGCCATTGGCACACTTTACGATGCAAGAGTTGACCAATTCCTTCAGTCTTCCATCTTGCCACCGAATCCGCCGCAAGGAATCGTCTTGCGAGGTTCCTTCCCACTCTCTGCGCAGCACCAGCATTGGATGGCTGAAGGTTCTGACCATGCGAGTCGATTCAGAGCAATGCGTGTTGATGACAACCTTGCAGCAAGTATTCTATCCGGCTCAATCGACCTCAAAGGATCTGCCAACTTTCTGAAAGACAGCACATTGGATGGAGATACACTCTATGGTGTTGTCCGGCATTTCTTCAATACATGCAAAGATGTTCTTGATATCCGTAAAGGAGCGTTTAGAACTGGAGTGGCCCCAGCAATGTTCCTCCCGCCGGATCATCACAGTACCCATGTGGTCACCAGTGTCCGATGGGGACTACAGAGCATTCTGACAATGAAGCACCGCATAGCAGATCCGGGTCAACAAGTGGCCTTACAGGTTTCTTTTCAAAAAGACTTGACAGAGCTGAACGCCATTGTCAAGTCCATTTACTCGCTCGACTTCAGCGACAATCTGGCAAGCCAGCGACTTGAACTCGACTATGAGTTCAAGCTATATACTGATATCCAAAGGGATCGTGGCATTCACAAAGAGAGCCTGCCTGTAATGTGCAGGTTTGTCCAACTAGGCCCGCAGCAGATTACACATACTGCTGACGGCGCAGGGTACCCGATGGAATATACCTTACATCCCATACACATTCTCCGTCATCTCATGCCTGGTGGGGGCTTTATTCCCAACCCTCACCAAACCCTGAGAGCTGTCACCAATATCGATCCTTTCCTTACTCTTTTTGATGATTGGAATGCTTGTACGAAGAAACTTAAAGAGTACAGACACTCGCTCGTGGGTCGGGAACAATATCTTGCAAGGAGCCACATCGACGAAACCGATGCAGCAATTACTCGGCTTGCAACATCCCGGGAAGACCTCCAGATTACTCTACAAAGGATTTTAGCAGATATCAGAGATACCAAAGTGGACGAAAATCGTCTGCAGCAGCTACACACTGCTCACGAATCCTCTGCCCAACGGATCTCTATGATTGCTGGTCAGCAAAGCGACAAGCTCAGATTCATCGAGGAATGTCTCAACAGTGGAGCGACATATATCGGTTTCAATGGCGCTTGTATCAACGAACACACTCTTTCTCACGATCCTCCTCCATATCGATTCCTTTTCAATAATGCTGTGCTCAAGAGTTCAAGCTCATGGAATGAGCAGTGCACAACTCTGAGAGAGTTCCTTCACAACCCCAAGAACCACAACCAGGTGTATATAGTCGACTGCGATGCCCCCTCTGAGTACAGAGAGTTGAAGGCCCCGGTCTTTGGTCCAATACGAACAATCACGAAGCCAGTGATTGAGGTTTCGGAGTATCATGATGCATCAGCAGAACACAGGCCTCCTACCAGACAAGCAGAGCACCAGCAACCTCCACAGAAGTGCATCGCTCGTTGTGATCCCGGCGAGATGGGTTCTGATACACGAAGACCAGCTGAGCACCGTTTGGTCAAGATCCCCTGTCCTGGAAGATCCTGTGACTCGCACTTGAATCGTGAATGGGCCTGCGCCACTTGTGACACTCCTCTCGAGTTTGGGACAATGAATAACTGCATCTACTGCGACTGTGGTTCAGCCGCTTACGACTCATGGGACTTCAAATGCAGCAGCGATAGTCACGGACGCGGTTTCGATCGATACCATACGGATGAACTTTATCGACTCTTGAAAAGATCAAAACGGCCTGATTGTCGCAACATCCTGGTTTTGGGACAGACTGGCGTTGGCAAGTCAACATTCATCAATTCTTTCTTCAATTTCTTGACGTTTGAGAGTTTTGATGAGGCAAAATCAGCCCGGAAACTAGCGTACAAGGTCCCGTGTTCCTTTTCAGTCAGTCATTGGAACCCATCGGACCCAGATCAGGAACTTGAGAATCGGACGATTCGCGTCGGCTCTAGAGACGATGAACACGATGGTACCGCCGGCAATTCTGCGACACAGAAGACATCAATTTATAAAGTGACATACAACGATACCAGATACCGCATAATCGATACCCCAGGTATTTGCGACACCCGAGGTCCTGATCAAGACAAGAAGAACATCAAGGACACCATGAACACTCTGAGAAGATATGAAGAGCTTCACGGAATTTTGATCCTACTCAAGGCCAACGAAGCTCGCCTGACCACCACATTTCAGTTCTGTTTTGAGGAGCTGCTGTCCCACCTTCATCGCAGCGCCGTCGCAAACATCGTCTTTGGATTCACACATACCCTCATTTCCAATTATGCTCCAGGAGATTCTCTCAGACCGCTTCAAAGCTTCCTGAAAGATCATACGACTGTTGACTTGACTGTGTGCCGCGCAAACTCGTACAGTTTTGATGCGAAAAGCTTTCATTACCTGGCTGCGTACTTTCAAGGTGTAAGAAGTGAAGACGAGAGAAGTTCCCGTGAGAGTTGGAATAAATCGAGAGCAGAAACCATGAGGCTACTTTCACATATAGACAACCTCAGACCACATGAGATCAGGCAAACGCTCAGCATGGAAGGCGCACGCGAAGCGCTTGGTCATTTGATGATTCCCATGGTTGAGATTTCTCAGGAGATCAGAAAGAATATTAGTCTTCTGGAAGAAAAGATGGCAGAGTTAAATGATACGCGCCTGACAGGAGATGAGCTACGAAAGAAACTTCATCTGGAAAGGATCGAGGTTGTTCCTACAAAGCTCGACAAACCTCGGACTGTCTGCAAGAACAAGCATTGCTGTGAGTTCAAGTCCAATACCAACGGCGAGGTTGTCCCAGTCTACAAGTCAATTTGTCACGACGATTGCAACCTTAAAGACGTTACCGAAGAGTGTGTAGGGCATCCAACACTCATCAACTGTCGGGCGTTCAAGGAGACCAAAGACAAGACCTGTAAAAGTTGCAAGCATAGGTGGCAGGAGCATATGCATTTCTTCTATGAACTGAAAGAAACCAAGGTCAAGGTCAAGGATAAAGACGTTGAGCGACGCCTCAAAAACAACGCAAGCGATATGGCTCTACGACAAGAGGGTATAGAGCGTGTTCAACAACTTGAGAAGGAATACCGGAGCGAACACAAACAGCTACGAAAGGCCACGGCCCAGTTTGTGGCGTATCTGAGGGAGAATTCTGCCAATGCCTTTAATGATGCGACTGTCGTGTATTACGACCAACTCATCAAGATTGAGAAGGGCAAGATCCAGTTTGGAAAGGATAACAGAGTGAATGTCGATGCGAACAAGAGGAAGCTCAAAGGTCTGACGGACGACAGAGACAAGCATCTTGGACTTGTCAAGACGATCGAGGAAAACATGCATGCTCCTCGTGATCAGACGGAGGCACTTCTGACTCAAGATGGGGTCGAGCAACTCATCAAGGATCTATACAATCTCAAGCACTTTGGCAAGAATTTGAGGAGTTTGAGAGATGACATTACGTATTACAAGAACCATAGTAAGCGATCGCATCATCGCCCACGGTCTCGGTCGCGAAGGTCTGAGCGGAGCCTAGAGACGCGTGAAGATGTAAGTGACAGATCTTGCCAAAGCAATGATGAGCGTGAAGAAGAGTCAGGACGGAATAGGGGAATTCTTCGAGGATTCCATAAACTCTTGCCTAATTTCTAAATCAATTCAGGATGAGATGGTAAGTTGACGAGACTGGTTGATGAGGGGGCTCATGGCATTAGAGTGCGTATTTCACTCGCTTAGTTATAATAATTTATCTTCGATTCTTTATAAAGTCTATCATGCAATATGAACAATAATTGTACAGTGAGGTCTAGAAGAACCTCCAAATGGAATCAGCCGGCTTGGTAGCCTTGAACCTACCATACCACCTCACCAACGGCCACAGCAACAACATGGACAACCCCCAAATAGCAAGGTACGCAAAAACATTGTCGATACCTCGTTTAGAGTCCGGATCCATCTGTCCATGGTTCTCCGTCTCATGACCAAACCAATCAACCATGACTCCACCAAAAATAAAGACAAAGAACAAATGCGCAAGGTAGAAGAACAACGCAGCTCTACCGAAATCCAACAGCATCGTGAAGCGCTTGGCAACACTGGTGGGAATACCGCCGAAGAAAGCTAGCAGAAAGAGATTTCCGGCCATGGTAAAGGCCCAGAATGCGACGTCGGGTGGATACTTCATTATGTAGAAGAAGGACTGCACTGAGACGAGATATTGGTTCTGGTCGGGATGGGCGATGTGCTCGGGTGTTTGGAGACAACCTTCGGAGAGGTTTCCAAAGTGTAACACGCGTGTGAGGACAAAGATGATGAGGAAGAATACTCCAGCGGCTGTGTTGCACAGCGCTGCGACACGAGAATTCCACGTTCGCGCAACGTCGATGCGAGCGTATAAAAGACCTAATATCGCGAACGATACCCAAGCCATCGGTGGAAACACCGATTGAACACGTTCCGTCAACGTAGTCCAGAACCATACTCCAGACCAAGGATTATGCGAAATAGCAGGACTATCTGTAGGTCCAGTCTGACCAGCTGATAGAATTGTCAGGGATGATGAGTGATCGTTGGCGGTGCAGTGCCCATGTGTTGGTGAGAGCCAGATATTCCACCATATCGTGACTACACCCAACACCGCGAGCAGCGCATTGTGAACATGCCATGAGACAGCTTCTCCAAAATCTGAAGATTCGCTTCCTCCGAGTAGCGCTTCAGTTTCGTCGGTAGATTTACTCGGGATATGCTTCGCAAGTAACGGCTCTGTAAAGTCCATGACAAGCCATAGCAATCCGGCGAGTAAATAATCCACCGCCAACGAAAACAGCACAAAATTCATAAACCACACCTTTCCCACAGTAATAGCCCATCCCAAAACCACATTAACAGCCGTGAGCACAAAAGCCCTTATAAAAAAGTACTTTGCAATGCGCCCGCTCGACCAACCAAGTTTCTTCCGCGACCTTCCAAGGTACACCACCCCAATCCCTAACAACATGGTAAAACCCGGTGCGCAGAGATGGGTTAATGTTCGGATGATATAAGCGGGTGTGCGATTCCACTGCTTTATGAGTACGCCGTCCATTTCTGTCTCGCGGCCTGTGCCGTGGGACCATGTGTTTAGGGCGAGGGCCATGTGGTCCATTGCCATGAGGAGCATGAGAAGACCGCGGAGGAGATCGGGAGCGAGGGCGCGTGTGGAGGGCTGCGTTGGCTTTGAGGGTTGGGGGGTGTCAGATGGGAAGGAGCCGTAGATGACATCGGGCCGTCGGTCGGTTGGATCATCGTGGGAGGATTGTGCTGACGGCATGATTATCGTATTGTCGCATTCATCAGTGATTGGAAGCTATACTCGCTGCGACAGATGTTCGCCAATTAGTACAGAGATTGCATGATACAAAATAAAGGAAAGGAAAGGAAGAAGAGGGAGGAAGTATATCATTTCGGATATTTCGGGCGATCGGTCGACATCATAGATTTGGGTTATGTTTTGGTTGATTAATAAGGAATAAGCGGACTTTTGGGAATGGTTGCGGAGTTTCAGTTCCATCAATGGGTTAGGCGAATCGGAGGGTTTGGCGATGAACCGCGCGGCTCGTCGCTTGGTAATCGCAGTCAACATTGGCTAAAGATGAGAAAATAGACCAAGAAAGAGGAGTGAATGATATGATGTGATGAATATTGAATTGAATTGATGCCAAAGCTAAGAACAGAGTGAAGATATCGTCCAGCAAAAGAGAGAACAGAAGCAAGGTACAGAACAACCCCTGTCAATCACCTCGTCATATCAATTGATGCCCCTCAAGGCGCCATAAGAGCAATATCATAATCAACAGTTTGCGACGACCCCGAAAAGCTATTAAATAAAGTACAATACCCCTTACTTTTCAAGAACTCCACGCCCGCGCATCCGACGTACACTGAACACGCTTCTATGCAGTCTACGAAACTGTCCACGGTGAACCCGTTGAGTGGCGTTCGGGAGTTTACGTCGGTGTTGCAGTGGAGAGCGTATATTGTGTCCGTGGAGTCCATGTAAGGATTGGAGAGGTCGGCGCAGGCTAGGGCGGCGGTGGTTGTAGTGGCTACGGAGGAGGTTGTTGGGGTGGTGGTTGATGTTTCTGCTGTGGTGGGTTGTTGGGTTGTAGATTCTTCGGCGGTAGACTGTGCAGTGGTGGACTCTGCAGTAGTAGACCCCTCGCTGGTAGACTCTTCAGCAGTTGTGGCGGCAGTCGAGCTATCTGCAGTTGTAACATCGACAGTCGTTGTATCTTCCGTGGGAGCAGAAGTCTCAGCAGTCGTAGTCTCACTCTCAGTAGCAGGCTCTGTAGTCGTTTTGCTCTCTGTGGTAAGTTCGTCCGAAGTAGTAGTACCCTCTGTGGCAGACGTTTCGGCCTCAGTCATCGTCTCAGACGTCACATCCGAAGTACTCTCTTCAGAGCTACTTGCAGCAGCCTCAGTCGTCCCTGATGGAGCCTGCGATGTTGACTCAGTCTCATCTGATGTGCTTAACAGCGATGTCGGAGTCTCCAGCGCACTGGTTGTGAACAATTTCTCGGTGGTTGATTCATCGGGAACTGAAGATGAAGCGAGAGGCTGTGTAGATGTTTCCGACGCGACGATGCTGGTCGTCGAACTGACTGATATGGACTCGACCGCGCTGGAAGAAGCTACCGTGGATGCCTCGGAATCAGTCGTTTGTGAAACTGGACCAACGGATTGAGTTTGAGCGACACTGCTTGACGCAGCGATGCTTTCAGAGCTAGATTTATTGGCTTCTGTTGTCGTAGAACCTTCTACGCTGGTAGCACTTCCAGAGCTGATGGCTTCAGTCGTCGCAGTCTCGGTAGCGCTTGTAGTCGTATCAAGACCAACAAGTCTCCCATTCTGGCACTGTCTCTCTAATCTCGCGTCAGCATCAACATCACTACATTTCACAAACTCAACGTGCCATCATAAACATCCAAAGAAACAGCCTCACACCCAGCCGGTCCACTCGTAAAAATCACATAGACCCTCCCATCATCCGTCTGGCAAAAACCCGCCTCACCGCCAGGCAAATTCACCTGCAGCGATCGACCAGCCGTTCCAAAGATTCTGGTAACAGCACCTGCAGGGGGCTCAGGTCCCTCGACAAGCTCCTTATAATCCTCACCGTTGTAGAAGAACGGCACACCGCCTATGAAGAGCTGCTCTTCAGCGATGTTGAAGCTTTGAGCAAAGGTGCAGATTGAAGGGTTGTTGTTTCCGACGAAGCCTTTGTCTGTGTTCTGGTGTTTGAAGGAGCGCTTGCGGGTGTTGGGGGCGGAGATTAGGAAGATCACGGAGCGGCCTGGTGGTTCGATGATGCTTGTTGAGGTAGTGAGGACATCGGTAGATTCTGAGGATGCTAAGGTGATTTGGTTGGTCAGAGTTCCGGTCGTTGAATTAAATGACACTGTTTCTGAGCCAGATTGAGTTTGCGTTGGTTCATATCCACGCTGGAAGACACAACACCCGAAGACACCTCAGTGACTTCTGAAGTGAGAACTGACGTATCAGACACCAATACGCTCTGGGACTCTGTTTCTGTTACACAGTCAGTTTAACTCTCAGCTAGTTCAGGTCACTTACGTGTCACGGGGATTGAGCTGTTTCCCGCAAAGGTCGGTTGTAAAGAAGATGCTCCCGTTGATTGACCAGGATTTGCTACCGGAACAAGGTAGGTAGACAGGTACGTAACGCACCATATATCCAAGCTCATAGCTCCATGGTCTGCCTGTGAGAGAACACCACTAGCCCCCAGGACTGTCGTTAAGAGAATTTGACTCTTCATGATATCTCCCTTTCCTTCAAAATCTGAGAGCAAGGCGATGTCACTGTAGCTTCTCGCGACGGAATTTCACACATCTTAAGTACAGCAGTGGCTAGAATGCCCCATCCCTTATAGTCATACTAAACAGAACATCTAGACTTGTCGCAGTCTCTGTCTCTGCTAGTCTTTGTAAAAAGACGCTACATCAAGCTTTTCTCGTCTTTCTAGATATAGAGAATGATATTAGACATTCCACAGCCACATAGGTCATTCCTCTTTTCTCTTGATTCAAATTACTAAGCCATCCCGTTTGCCATCCCGCGTGGTTGTTTGTGGTGATTTAAAACAACCCCCTTGCGTCGGCTCGTTTGCCGACCACCCAGTCCTATCGATTTATCCCAGTGGCTTCTATCCTCAATTTCTTTCTATTTCAGAGTCACAACTATCTGCAATGGTATTCTCCAGTGTCTATTCGAGCTAAGCGCAGTCAAATAAGCTTGTTGTGGATATCAACCTAAGAATTAACGAGCGGTCTTGTCTCACCCGTGCTTCATCGTTAGTTTTCATTCTCACGCTGTTAGTGTAACGGCCTACCCGTACATCCGTCTCTCACAAGCCACGTCTTAAGATTCTGAACATTCAGGAACGGCTGCTTACATGCCACGCCAGATTGCACGCTACATAGCCTCGCCTCAATCTTGCGGTGAAGAGAGAACCTGGTCTGTGTTTACTAGACTATCAATAAAGACAAAAAGCGGATGAGTTACTAAAAGCCTTACTAGTAGGGAGAATTAACGGACACTTCGTTTAAATCTGGAGTGTCAGATCAACGTGCCAGAATATCCTTGTAAGTGAAGGGACCAGGTACCCGGTTCTGCAACAGCAAACGGCCAACAGCCATCAGTGCAATTCCAACGGTCGAGCTTTCGTTAACCAATCCTATGTTTGTAACTAAGACAGCGGACCTGTCTCGCTTCACTCTCAGTCAGACCTGATCACTATTGCATTAGCGTATCGCAGAACGCTCTCTTTACCAACCTATGCGAAACGGATACGACAAAGTCAACTAGAATAATCCAGTTAACCGACCAATCATAGCTGGAGCAGTTCATTTTCCGCTAGAACTGTATCCCTGTAGCCACGGCAGTCTGCCTTAGTTATGTCTCTATCTACCAGTCCAGGATCAAAACAGCGCTCATCTTTGCGGCTGGGTGCTGATGTTTGCTGTTACCCTTCGCCAAGTGACAAGGTCTTTAGTTTCTGTGAATTTGTTTGTGATTAACATGTCTATATATGTTCAGTATATGCCTACTCAAATGTGGCATCGTTCCTCATGGGAAACGCAGCCAGTTCTTCAATTACATTTGCTCGATCGTTGTTCGAATCACCGTATATGCCCTCGGCAAATGAAGATCCCACCTATACGCACTATACCACAACAATGCTGCAGAGTAGAGCACATCGCGGTACCGAATGGCCGTCTAGTGAAAGTTTCAAGACTCCTGAGTCTTTAAAGCAGGACCAGCTGGCGCACAAATGTCTCTATCAGATTGAGCAGCAACGCGAGCTGACGCAAGACAGTTTCAATTATCTATTGAAGCTACTCAAAGACGACTTCTCGCCTAAGGTGCGCATACTGTCCTCAAGTGAAGTGGATGCGAAGGCCTTCGCCTTTCCAGTCTCTGACTTTGTGACACCGCTGTATCATCATAGAACGGAATGTTGGTCTGTTATATGCGTTTCTATTCAAAATCAGAGCAACCAGAACAGGGGAAGGCCTCTTGTCAAGGTTCATTACTATGATCCGGATCCGCAGCAGGGCAGGCACTCTGAGGTGCGCGAGAAGATCCGTTCCTGGGCTGAGCAACGGCATGGTAAAAACGTAGAATTTCAATACATTCACGCAGTAAGTCTCGTCATGCAAACACTTCCACTCGGGGTTAACACAGCCTAGGAGGGCCCGGCCGTATCTCATAAGAACTCAACGGGCATTTATGCCATAATGGGCGCCCTGGACTTCGGTGCCTACCAGACTATCCGGTCGAAGGACAAGTTCTGGAGCGGGGACCCTGTAAAGACGATCAAAGCTGCTTTGCAGGGAACCCAGCCTCGCTACCCTACCCCAGGAGGAACACCTGGGAGAAGGGAGTCCCCTATCTGTTCTACAGGCAATGGAGCCGAGGGTATGAAAACCCCCTCCAGAACCCCCAAGGACGAGAGGCGGAATAGTTGGAAGGATACTAGAATCGACCAGAGCGGCGCCTTCAGGACCCGGACACCTACGCCAGGAAACTCGAAGCGCAGACGCGTCGATCCGGCTGATCCTATGGTGTTTGACGTCAAGAAGAAGTTGGACGACGCTACCGCTTTCATCGCGAGCCTGAAACTTCCTTCGATGACTGCTCTTCGGCAGGAGGTCGATGAGCGCCGCAAGGAGCGCGATGAGCAGAACAACGTTGTTGAGAAGAAGAAGGCGGAGCTAGAGAAGTGTCAGAACGAGCGAGCGTCACAGGCCAAGGAGCATGGTATCCTTGATAGAGAGTTCTCAAATCTCGGCGCCGCCATCGCAGCTGACGAGAAGGCTAACAACGAATATCTCTCAACGATCCCTACCCCTACGATGACTCTCAACTTCCCCATGAGCAAGACACCTCAGGACAGTTGGAGGGAGGATTTTGAGGAGAACATCAAACCGCAGAGGAAGAAGCACGAGCAACTAGGCGCAAGGAAGCGCAAGGCAAGCGAGATGTTGCATTCGGCGGAGGAAGTATGTACTACACTTGAGGAGGATGTGGAGAAGGCTCAGGATGAGGGGAGGGTGATTGAGCAGGAGGTGAAGAGGGCGTATATGAGGGAGGAGTTTGTGGCGATGGAGAAGAGGCATTTCGAGGAGTATCAGGCTTTTCCATTGCGGTTTGAGGGGGGCAATTGGGAGGAGGAGTTCGGCAAGAGGAGAGACAAGATGTAGTGGTTTGATGCGTATTTTGTCATGGGAGATGATTAGAGATCTACTGTATGTCATAGACAAGCTTGGTTGATTCTGCAGATGCATTTATTCTATTTGGCAGTTATTAGTATTAGTTTAGCGTTTGTTTTTCCATTGCAGACATGACTTTCTGCATAGACTCCAATTCATCTGCATCGTGAAAGCCATGTCGTTGGTTATCTGGTGTTGAGGGACTAAACGTGGGGTTATGAGATGAACATCTCCGGGATCCGGCAATTCGGCGATATGACGATTTGTTTTGTTTCCAAGTGACCAATACAAATTGAGATCTTACGTGGGGTCGGCAGAGATGATATTCCCCGGGTTCCGGGTTCAATCTTGCTAAAGCTGTCACATTGAGTCACAGCCATCACTACAGTCAAGTTGCATAGTAGAATGTAATAGAATAGCTCCCATTTACTCACGGACATGCTCGGAAAAGTCTCGTCAACTACCGGTGCACGGCTACGTACGGCCCGGCGACCGAAATCTTGATCTCGGCTGTTATCAAACTTATCGCCAATCGCCCAACCAATTTGAGCTTAAAGTCTGAGTCTTTCCAGGCGGAGACCAAGGAAAAAAGAAAGGAAAAAAGGGACTGCTCAACAAATTACGTCGTCATCCCCAAAATTTCTTATCCTTCGGCATCTCTCCGTCCGAATTTACGGCGAAGCTCTAAATACTGTACCTACGGGTAGTACCTAGGCTGTTTTTTTGTCAGTAGTACCGAGTGCGCCCCCAACGTGTAACCAAGTATTGGATCTACTGCAGGTGCTGCTGCAGTCTTGCCCGTTTTTATCCTTGTCCGTTGAACTGTCACTGTCACATCCGTCCATTATCGCACCATATCCATACTGCAGCTGCAACCGCGTTGTGGATGCCTCTAATGTTTTCCTCTCGGCTCCCTTCCTTTTCTCTCCGCTCCTCCTCTTCCTCCTTCACATCTTTATCATCTCAACGTCTTGCTTCTCGCTCCATACTCACCAGCTTCCAAACTCGTTTCTCATCCTCCACACAAGACCCAAAACCCGCTCCAAAACCAGAGTGGCGCACCATGGCCGAACAAGACATCACAAAATATCTCCAGCAAAGCCACGATCGGCTCTTCCACAACAACCGCGCCTGGGCCGAGAACAAGGCAAAGGTCAACCCCGACTTCTTCAAGAACCTTGCCGCTGGCCAAGCCCCCGAGTACCTCTGGATCGGATGCGCCGACTCTCGCATCCCCGCCGAGCAGATCTGCGGTCTTGAGCCGGGCGAGGCATTTATCCACCGCAACATCGCCAACCTCGTGTGCAACACCGACCTCAACGCCATGGGCGTCATCAACTACGCCGTCAAGCACCTCGGCGTCAAGCACATCATCGTCTGTGGTCACTACGGCTGCGGAGGTGTCAAGGCGGCTATGACCCCCCAGGACCTCGGCCTTCTGAACCCATGGCTTCGCAACATCCGTGACGTGTACCGCCTTCACGAGAAGGAGCTCGATGCGATTGAGGACGAGAACGCTCGCTACGACCGCTTGGTCGAGCTGAATGTTGTTGAGCAGTGTCGCAACGTCATCAAGTCTGCTGATGTTCAGCAGTCGTGGCATGAGAACAAGTATCCCATTGTTCACGGATGGGTGTTTGGATTCAAGGATGGACTTCTCAAGGATCTTAAGATTGACTTTGAGTCTGTGTTGGCCGACATCCAAAAGATTTACAACCTTGTTGACAAGAAGAAATAATGGAAGAGCATGGCGTTGATAGAAGAATTTTGACTTGCCTTACTGATTGAAGTACTGTGTCTGTGACTGTGATGATCCAAGGATGACTATCCCCAGATGACAAGAGGTTCAATCAAGGGGCAACGTCCACCTTTTAAACATATCAGTAGCGTTTCTTAAGTGCCTGATATGCAGGGATATTTCTCTCTTCAGCCCTACAAGTAACCGTAACAGGGACCACGGCTTGGCTCGACCGCACCTCGATGACGGTCTGGGCCTTCAAGGTGTCGATGAGATAAAGGTGCATCACAACGTCGTGTTTTCACACAGATTGAAGGTAGTATCACTTCCCAGCCGAGGTCATCATTGCCGATATAAACATATTTTTAAATTGAATTTTCAAATCGTCTTGTTCTTGACAAAATTGAAGAAAACATTGAAAAGGATCGCTCTCACGTGACCACCCTCTCAGGGTGCATCTCCACACATCGTACGATTTCCACATGCCCTGGTCCACGATGTAGGGATCGCTTGCAGGCCTCGGATCCAGAGACGGCAGTTATTCTTAAGTGCCGAATTTGAGATTGGCGAATATGGGGAAGTTGACCGGAAAAAGAAGATTGTCTTTGTTTCTGTTGCTAATTTGAATGGCTGATCAGACGGGTGATGAATTGGGGAAAATGTCTCTCTTTGAGGTATTGGCAAAGGGAGCCGGGGGCATGCGCAGCTTGGCTATAAGTGCAAAGTCTGTGCTTCGTTTTATCATGCTTTTGGAATGATGATGCAAATTCATCTACAATGAGTTCAATTTAGCTTCAGTATGTATTTTCCACCCGGCTTCCCTCATGAGAGTCGTGTGTTGTGCTCTCGCAATGGAGACCTTGATGGACAGAGCGCCATACACATACACATGCTCACTAAAGTTCAATTGTCAAACAGCTAATTACAAAATTACTTAAAGCCCAGTCATAATTACATCAAATAATTAATACGTTTGTTGTTACTGTTGCATATTGTTCGGTCATCCCTCTAACATGGTATTTTGATCAAGTTCACGTTCAAGAACCCCAATCACAGAGCTATTTTACAGGAGCGCAATAAGCCTATTCGATCTCTTGCTTAAACTCTGACCCAGGAAAGAAACAGGGAATCATCTTAACTGCGCACGATAATTTACTTGTCTCTGAGCACGCGACAAACATTGATCCTTACTTGCAACGGTGCATGCCAAAATTACCCTACAGACAAACAGGTCGGAACCTTTTTCTCTCTCAATCATCCGGATCTCACTCCGGCCCACCAAGACCGAAACTTCAACTTGATCTTCATCCACACTTGTATCATTCACCTTATTCTCTTCAAACCCCAAAGCACTACCATTTCACCTCCGTCTCCGTCACTGTCCGTACATGATCTCTGCTTGCTCGATCTCGTTCAGCAACAAGCATCACGTGAGTGATCTGGTCTGGTGGTCTAGTGGTATGATTCTCGCTTAGGGAAAACCCTACAGCATAGCTTGCGAGAGGTCCCGGGTTCAATCCCCGGCCAGACCCTTTCTTTTGCTCATGAAGCCTCTTGAGTCGTCATGAATGTGTTTTCTTTTTGCTGTTGTTGGGCTGTCGATGGATGGATGTTGTGAGGCCATTGACTCTGGGTCTCACCGAACCTTGTGTGAGTGTCCTTGAGTCACTTTCGATACCCCTCAATATCGTTTCGGGTGAGTACAAACATGCTACGAGAGCCTGATGATTTCAACTGAATTTTCTGCCTTTTCTCAATCAGTCTTCGTTTGGTGACACCGACAATTGGTTGAAAGATGTGTCTTATAATAATTGGTGATAATGTTGCGCTTGCATGCAGACACTTTTCTTGGTGGAGCTCCACGCTAGTCTGATTGTGTCACCTGTCGCGTTTGCTCATGCGAAAAAGCCCCCGCCGCGCATTATGGTCCTGGTCTCATTAAGTGCACCTTCCAACGGCTGCAAACAAAAAAAAGTAAACAACCCGTGTAGCCCAGCCCAACCTGATTTAACTTATTCATCCAATACCAACTCAACGTAAGACAAAGCTTCAAACCGCGTTTCCTTCCGTTTGTTGCTCCTGTTTTGCTCGAATAACCATTTCAACTCAATTTGTTTGTGTCTCCTGTATCTTCCCGTGTTTCCGTCACCATGAACGCGATTTTCAACTTCCTGTCATCACCGCTCAAGCAGCCGGCAGAGAGACCTCCACCTTCGAGCATGCCCCTTACCGCCTCGCGACCGAGTTTGTCGCCTAGAGAGCAACGTCTTGCCAAACGCGCTGCGGATAGATTTTCGGAGCCGGAAGGTCGCAGTCCCGTAAGTTTTATCTAGAAGGTGCCCGGCACTTCGCAGCGCAGGCGCCTTGATGAGTTGGCACCTCCCCCCAGCGTTAGGCACCCACTGACTTGACTTTGCTTGCTCAAAAACAGCGCTCGCGTCTGAGTAACGTTTCTCTTGCATCAACCGACCACGATAACACCGCCGAGATTTCTGTCGTTAGTCGACGACGAGAAACCATCGCCATGCCACCGCCCAGCGTCAAGAAGCGCATCAGCACGTCTACGCGCTCGTCGCCGATACACAAACCAAAGTCTAATGGATCTATTTCACGCGTGGCATCGTCGCCTGCCATCCGATCCTCCCCTAGAAGGCGAGCATCGGTTGAGCTTGGATCTTCGCCACCCACCAGCTTCATCAAGTCACCAGCCTTGACCCCTAAGAGCAGCATCAATGGAGTTTCTCGAAGCAGCGAGGCTAAGAGTCCTAGAAGATCCTCGAGGGCCTCGCGCGTGACAGAACCGCAAACAAATGGCAAACCACAGAAAGAGAAGACCCCCGAGGAACAGCCCGAAGAGAAGCCCCAAGAGGTGCAGTCTGAGGAGGAAGCAGCGCAAGATGACGACGATAAGGAGTTCGAATTCGAGAGCATTGCGGATTATCGCTGGGCCAAGAACAAAATCGAGCTTCGTATTCAATGGACAGATGGCGACAACACTTGGATCCCGGAGGAACTTCTTCACGCCGATAACCCGGAAGCGCTTTTTGCGTACTGGCGCTCGCAGCCCCAGGGGCGACCTAACCGACAGGGCGATATCTACCAGGTTTTCGCGATTCGAAAGCACCGCGTGCGTAAGGGCGTACCGGAGGTCATGGTGGAATGGGTAGGCTACGACAATTCCGAAAACACTTGGGAGGCCCAGGACTACATCGAAGAGGTCGCGCCCCAGCACGTCGAAGCCTATTTTGATAAAGTCAAGGGCAAGGGCAAGGTTCAGGCCAAGAGCAAGGCGAAGAGCAAGGCGAAGCCCAAGGCTGCTGCGAAAACTAAGGTTCAGGCAAAGACTTCGGCTCGCAGCGGAACTAGAAGCAGCTCAAGGGTTACGAAGCGATGAAGAATCACAGTGGAACAAGACATGGAAATTGGTGATTTGATTGTATTATTTTGACTCAAAATGGTTGTGGAAGTGCGTTTGAAGGGAGCTAGCTACTGGATGCTGGACGCTGGCGGTCCAGATGAAAATGGGTACCTTGCCTGTGATGATGGAAATGAACATTGTTTGGACTGTAATTATCATCGGAGTGGGAACAATAAGCAAACTGCATTTCTTGTTACACATGTTTTCTTGAATGTGAAGTAGTCATTTTGCTGCCTTGCAAATGCGTCATGGTGATGATCTGGTTTGCTTACCATCCATCCATGGATGCATGACTGACTGGATCCTGATGGGGCTTACTGTATCCAGCACGTTCACCTCAACCACCACCATCATCATCTCTTCATCCTCAATCAACACAAACTCACACAATAAACACAATCACAATGTCCTCTCCAAACCTCCCCTCACGCATCCCAACCCTCATCATCCTTTCCATCCTCACAATCTTCGGTTTCGACGCGCTCATTCTCCAACTCGACCGCAACGGCTACACCTCCATGCTAAAATCCATAACCCACGACCCCCTCCCACGCTTTCTCCCCGACACTAATCGCTTACTTCTTAAACAATACACTGGCTTTCCGCTGTTTGATGACTTTTTCGCTTTTTCGAATGTTATCTGGGCGAATGTAACTGATGGCTCGAGGCCGGAGCTTTCGCTTTTTACGTTTTGTTTTGGGGCGCAGTTGATTGCGGTTTTCGTGGTGTTTTTGATAGAAGCGCAGAGGGTGCTTGCTTGGAGTCCGGTTGTGCTAAAGTAAGTCTTGATCTTTTGAGGTTTGATGTGATGTGTGCTGATGATATAGTGGTGTCTTTTGGGGATTTGCGGTGCAGAGTCTTGGGTTTGGATTCGTTGCACCGCTTTACTTTTTCATTCACTTGATCTTCACATCTGGATCATCAAGGTCTGAGAGTGTTCATCTTCGCGACTATTTGTGTCTTCACACTGTCGTTCCCTCATTTATTCTCGGATACATTGTGCCGTGCATTTTCATGGCGTATCCATTCTCGAACTTCAATGTTCGACAGTGGGCTAATGCCGTTTGGTCCATCGCTCCAGTCTACATTTTCACGCTTCAAGCTGCGTTCACTGTTATTTTGAAGAGGCTGAGTGTTGGACAGGATGCGCATAAGCCAAAAGTCATTCTTGACAAGGCTGCTTTATCGCATGCTTACAGCTTCGCCTGGAACGTCGCTGTCATAGGCCAAATGACAACCTACGCCGTCCTCATCACAGCAACTCTCCTCCCAAACTTCTTCCCCTCTGGCGTTGCAGAGTCATTGAGTATGAACAAAGTCTTCATTCCCGACGCGGCACCTCATTCATACAAACCCATGTCCAGTGCTGCAGCGGCTATGCATAACTTTTTGATCTACGATTTTGGAACGGGATCTGTAGCGGCGCTTGTGTGGGCGCTGCAGCAGTTGTTGGAGGTTAAGCCCGAGTTGAAGGTTGGTGAGGAGAGGACGAATCTTGTGAGGGGGGTTGTTACGAGTGTTCTTTTGTCGGGACCGGGAGGGGCGGTTGTTGCGTTGATGCAGCATCGTGATGAGTCTGTTCTTAGCGCTGAGGGCAAGGCTGAGAAGATTCAGTGAACACGACATGTTGGAAGGGTCGAATACGAGCTTGAAAAGAAATTGTGTGATAGTGAGATAGGATTGTTTGCTGTCTATCTAAGCCTTCTCCTCTCTGTTCTCACCAAGCGGTACATCTAAGCCATGACGTCCCTTATACCCAGAAACCTCAGCTGGTCTCCATCCACCCTTCTGCAGCAGAGTCTCATCCTTGAGACGATAAACTTCAACCTTGAGAGGTCGGCAGCACTTGATCATCTCCTCCTCACTATCCTCCCCAAAACCCCAAAGCGATAAATCACCACCAGGGCAAGTACCTACAACAGTCAGCAAACCACTGCTCAAGACCTATCATTCTTTAATTCGACTTACTCAAAGCCATAAGCAAATCCTGCTCTGCCAAAAACTCAATATAATCCCCCCTCTCTGCCGGACAAGGATTCATAAAATATCTCCCCTGCTCATCCAACCCCGTGACCTGAAAGATATTAATAACATCATGAACATCACCCTCGTTCAAACCATAAGGCAGCACCGCGCGCGTGAGGTTAGAGTGACATTGGAAGTTATACTGTCCTCCGCTGAGAACAGTGTTGATGTACGGATCACATCGCGTGCCGAGGAGATCGTGCACTCTACCCCCATGCTCATCTGTGCCATACCAGTCCAAAGTGTCGGTGATTATGGTGGCCAGGGGACGCATGTAGGGGAGCGTAGACCAGAGACGGTCGTACGTTGAGACGTGTGATGCGTGGAGTTGTTTGGTGCGGGACGCCCAGAAGCGTTCACGCGGGTTATATGCGTTCCAGATATTCAAGTCGCCTGTTTGTGTAAGTGAAGCTCATGTATCTAACTCATCCTCTGCTCACTTCACCCCCAGATATCCTTACCAACCTGCGGCCCCTCAGGCGTGCTGATCTTGACGATACATCCCGCCGGGGCTTTCCATGCTTTTCCAGATCGAATAGGTAGAGTGAATTCTTCGATTAGTTCACGCGGTGCTTCGCGGATTGAAGTATACAAGGCCTTATCAACGGTAAGGACTGAGCCTGGGGATGGGAGATAAGCTGGGACGGGTTTCTTGATGGGCTTTCTGTTTGCCAGACGTTCAGCTCCGTTGGAAGACATTATGAGTTTGAGATGTTTTGTTTGAGCTGAAAGACAAATTTCGTGATTGAGGAGGAGATGGTTAAGTAATACCTATCTCTTGGCTGTTCTAAGTGGAGACCTGGTTGTATCTCGTCCTCTACAGTGTCGTTGAATGAGTTATAAGAGGGCGCCTGCAGGGGAACTTGAGACTGAAGGTATATAAATTTGAATCTATAGGGCGTGCATGACATTGTCCAAATTCTTCTTAATAATCTACCATTTTTGGCTTCGACAGTATCAGGAATTACGGCTGCTTGCGAATGGGGAAGCTCCGGGACGGTGATGCGATTTCGGAGGTGGGATCGGCATCGTGAAGACTTGCCGATGTCGACCCTGCACGGCAAATAAACACTTGCCGGATGCATGAATGAACCAGAAAACGACCTGATATTCTGTCACCTAATAATATATGAATCTAGACTTGACGAGTTTTTGAAAGATTATGGTTGGCTTTGTCGTAGAATTGGTATATTAGGACTTGCCCTCATTGCCCCTCCACCTCAAGCTCAGGGCCCCGCCAAACTTTCTGTTCATTTTATTTATTTTCATGATGCAACAAACCAACCTGACGCACGAGATCATGTATGGCCTGACAATGCCGATGTTGCGAAGCGCCAGGCAAATGTATTGAACGATACTGAGAAGGGGGGCTTGAAGCGCGACATCCAGCAGAGCATGCGCCGCCACCTAGTCGAAGTCCAAGAATGACCGCGCCGAACGAACGCGTCGCAAACGAGCATGTCGACCACCGAAGCCCTCAATCACGATTCGCACGAAGACGAGAAACATACCAACGGCGAATTACATGATACAGTGATAGTCAGCGTGCGTGCGCTATGCCCAAACCTGCGCGAGATGGGCACTGAAGAGCTCCAAGGCGATGACGTGCATCCTTGCTCCGACCACAATAGCACAAACGGTCGCGGACGTCGCAAGTCAGAACGGTTTAAGCTACGACGCTTCCAGAGTTGATAGCAGTACTGGCAAGACTACTGGGCGTGTTGAAAAGACAAAGGAACCATTCGCAAGTTCACATCGGTAACAATGCTTCGCGAGCGCGTCTCTCCGTTGCGATGGCGAGTGCAACAGAGCATTCTTGCATAGCGCTATCAACAATACCTCTTTTCCTCGAAAGATCCATGGGTCTTTTTTCACGAACTCCTCGAACCCGATCGATACGAGATACCCTTGCAATCCCTCCTCGGCCAAGACGATCACCTGAGAATGGCAATACGTTCTCGACGGCCAGTCTCAACAAAATCGCCCAGCCTGTTCAGCAGGGGCGACACTATAATCACGATCAAGATTCTTGCTCTGAAGATCTCAGTATAGTGAGTGATGTCGTATCGTCCATATTTCAAGATCTGTGAGCCATGTGCGGAAGAGGTCGAGAGGGCGCAATCTCTCTGCCATACCCAGCCGCTTCTTCATCGCCCGGGCATGAAAGTTCTGCCTCTTCTTCGAAAGGAAGAAACACAGAGCTTTACAGGAACGAGGCTGGGGGAGCTCGGAAACCATTATCAAGAGAGGAGCCCAGGCCTTGATGCTCTTGGTAGCTCCCCGGCCAGCTGGGAGATGCTGCTGTGCCACAAGTGTCATCGCAATGTCGATCAACAAACAGCGTGTACTCTCGGATGATAAGCACACTTGTAATTCTGGCTATACTCCAGCATAGCAGAGCCAAGAAGACGTCGGATAACCTGGTCATAAGAGCGCAGGAAGCGACAGGTCGGTATTCGTCTCATTTTGAGGGTTGGTCTTGATCTCACTGTTGCTCGGCCTTTTACACTACTTACCAAGCTTTAAACGTACGAGGTCTTATCCTCGTAACATGAGACCTGATTTCGTGGGGCTTTAGATGAAGGTGACTCGAAATGGGCTTCAGCCACGGATTTAGGATGGGCAGGTCGTCTAAGAGACGAACCTTAGTCGGTCTGCTTTATAGTGGATAGTGTATCTTGTGATCTTTGGGAACGGACACATTCAAACTAGCGAGGAAATAGTACGGCCTTGTTGATAACCGAAAGTAAGTTACTGAGGACTTGCGCGACCAGACCTCATTGCGCTGTGTAAGGACCTGTAAGTTGAAGCATCGCCAACCGAACGAGCCGCGCAGTCCGAATGGCAAAGGCTTGCAGTCAGCACGATCGCGATGATCACCTTTATGAATTAACAAGTGTGATTGTGACCGGATTGTTCTGAGATATTGATATGACAACAAGTTCGATTCTGGAAGGTCCGTATCGCGTTGACATGAAAGAGTCGAATATCAACACACTATTGTTTGACGACCCAATATTCTTGGCTAATGACCGCCATGTGGCTTTATAGTGTATCAGGTTTATTTGAGCAGGAATTGTCACCTATTGGCAACCATTGGTCGGGAATGTCCCAGTTGCCGTGATACTAGAAATCCGTAACACTCGACTTGATGGTGTTGACTCAAATATTCAGCGATAACCTCATTATTCCTCTCAATCAACTGACCTTCTCAATAATCAAAACCGTACGACAATAATCTTGCAGCCATAGATAAGGACAAGTACACAATGCAATTTATCGAATTTCTTTATTCTCAGCTCTATTTCCACTACTGTCCACAGACTGAAACACCACCAATCACCGTCCCATCTTCCCAAGGGAGACATCCTTCGACCCTTGCACCACACCTCCAGGAATGCTTCCAAGACAGGGGCTCATTCCAGAAAAAATGAATATTACAAGAATTGCATGTCAGCCTACAACTCCCTTGCGTAGGGCATAAAACAGCCTTATAGACCCCCAGGGTCCTCTACGATCTGCGCTTTGTTTTGTGCAATCGTAACATCATGGTCGTCATATCGGGCTCCCCTTGGGCCAAAAGACTTGTTTTTCTGGTTATTTCTTTAAATATTCTTCTTTGGTGGTATGTTTACTCTGTGCCGGGAGTTACGGATGATGTTAAGTCTGCGACGACGAAATTGAAGACGAACGATGCGAAAGCGATACCGGTAGGTAAGAAGGTGATAGATGGGAAAGATGGGAAAGATGGGAAGGGTGTTAAGGTGGTGAAGGACGAGAAAACTGGCGAGTCGAGTGTTGATAAGAAGGGAATTAAGACGTTCCGTTCTTGGAGTAACTTTGACATCGTCAGGCCGAAGAATGATCACACTTATGTGTATCGTCGGTTCGAGAGCTCGCCGCATAAACCACCGCACATTGAATGGAACCCCAATGGGAAAGAACTCGCAAAGGGATATGTCTTCATCACACCGCAATCAAGCGGGGCGGAGAGGGGTCTTGTGCAAGCTGCTTCGTTCATCATGAAGCAGAACGCCGAGATGATATATGCTCATGATGAAACACCCTACGATTCTGAGGGTCTTCGCGTACAGACAGTTCACAACGAGCAGTACCTTACACTCTGGCGCGGTGCGCGAAAAATGAGCCATGGATTTGGAGAAGTCATTGTCATGAACAGCGAGTACGAAAAGACGGTTCTTCACCTCGATGCGATCATCACCAATATGTACGGTCAAAAGTTCCTCAGCACGCTGGACTTTCACGAACAGGAGTTGACCACGCGAGGAACTATTCTCGTGACGGCTTACAACACGACTATGTATAACCTCACGCAAATGGGAGGTTCAGAACATGGCTTCGTGACTGACTCTCTATTCTTTGAGATCGACATCGAAACGCAGGAGATTCTCTTCAGCTGGAGCGCCCTCGACCATTTCTGGCCTGAAGACTCCATGCTTCCACTTATTTCATCCTCTGGCTACGGCGGGCCGAAGAGTCCATATGACTTCTTCCACCTGAGCTCAATACAGGCAGTCAACCACGATTCATTCCTCATCAGCAGTCGAAACTTCTGGTCTGTGTATCTGATCTCACGCTCAAATGGTAGGATCCTTTGGGAGTTGAGAGGGAATACCAAGGGAGGAGATTTCGGCGCTTTACCGCACCATGGCCGGTTCCGATGGCAGAATCACGTTCGTGCGCACAATGTTACGTCGAGGGAGATGATTCTCAGTATGTTTGACAATCATAACAGCCTAGAGGATTTGGGAAAGACGTATTCTCGTGGGCTGTTGCTGAAGTTGAAACTGCCGCCGAACCCGAAGGAGAAGCCAGAGGTTTTGCGTATACTCTCACCAGATCGTGCAAAGATCTCACCTGAGTATGGAAGTTACCAATTAGGTCTCAGCAACGGAAACCAATTCATGAGCTGGGGCGCAGGCGGTGTCGTCCACGAATATGGACCTGACGACGGCCACGATCTCCGCTGGCAAGCTCGCTTCGGCTACGACGAGACCATCACCAGCTATCGCGCCTTCAAAGACGTCTGGACCGGCACACCCTCCAAATGGACCCCCGCCCTGGTCGTCGAAAAGCGCGAAGACACTGTTCTCGGCTTCGTGAGCTGGAACGGCGCAACCGACATAGAATCCTACAACATCTACCTCGCGGAACCAGGCACAGCACTCAAACCGCTAGGAAAGGCTAATGTTTTGGGATTCGAGACTGGATTCGATCTTGGTGTTAAGAACAACGAGACGAATTGCATCATGGTTGCTGCTGTGAGGAAGGGCCAGGAGATTAGACAGTCGAATGTTGGGTGTATTCAGGGTAAGACGTTTGTTTCGACGTTTGTGGACTCGAGGGGCAAGGCGACGGGGGATTCTGTTGTTGAGAAGACTACGATGCAGAAGATTATGGGATATTTTTCGTGAGATTGATGAGAATTGTATTTTACTACGATGCAAGCATGTTGTTTTGTTAGTATTAAATGAAGTTCAGCTCATTTCCACCTTGGACAAAAGTAGACGTTGGTGATGGCGCTATGCTTAATAGTCTAGGTACAAAGCAATAGTTGGTCTAATTAGGGGTAACTAATGTGAAAGAAATCAAATAAGAAAGAATGCAAAGTTAAGAATAAATATAGACTTAATTGCTGCCCTTTTACTTTGTCTCTTCTGTTGCACTGGTTCTGACTTCACTACCATGAGATTCACGCACTCAGCACTACTGCTGGCGCTATGCCAGCTTGCTTCAGCATCGCCATGCAAGCCTTCTTCATCGGTCACTTCCAGTGCACCTACGAGCACCGAAACTGAGTCTGCATCTTTCTCGATCGAAACCTCGGCAGCGACCTCGGTGGAAACAGGCTCATCCACCATCTCGCATGACACAACGTTGACTGCTTCTGAGACCGCATCAGCCTCCGACTTGTCTGTCTCTACAACTTTGGTGTCAACCTTAAGTGCAGAGCCTACGACTACACTTGATGCGACAACAGACTTGTCAACGACCTTGGGTGAGACTACGACCGCCGAGGCCTCAACAACAACAACATCTGCCCCCGAAATCCCAAGTAACCGAGTGCGCAATCCCGGCTTCGAGGACACCTCGGTCGTCCCCTGGGAAGTCATGTCCGGAACCCTATCCCCATCATCCTCCGACCTCCACACCGGCAGTCAATCCGGCTACTTCACCGGCTCCGCTCCAATGAGCGCAATGATGGGCTCCAGACAATTCATCGACCCAACCTGGATCACACCCGGCAAGAGCTACAAGTTCTCTGCCTGGGTAAAGATAACAAGTACCATCAACTGCGGTTATCGCTTTGTAGCTTGTGGTCATGGCACTGGATCGGGCACAACAAGTTCAATTGGGTTCATCACGGAGACGGGGGGCTTTTCTTTGGCGAGTGTGACGTGTACTTGGACGCAGGCTCAGTGGGAAGCTGGACCGAGTGTGCAGATTAGGAGTTCGTGCACAGGACTTTCTTTCTTTGTTGATGATGCGACTTTGGAGGAGGTTTAGACGTTAGGGTGAGAGTGAGGACTCGCTATCGGTGTTGGGACCAAGAGAACAGGAAAGACGAGAGCGGATGCAGTTTTTATTCGAGTGATCTAAGTTTAATATATAGATAAGGACAGAACGGCAGTAGATCAACGCAAGTTGCTGCCAAGTAACATAGACTCTATAGACATTGTATATACCAAGAATATTCCAGCCGGACCATGGACCTGGACGTTAAGTATCACCGCGACTACCGTCTAAACGGCTCATACTGGCCAGTTTGAGGATTGTATATACTGACAACACTAGATGCAGAGCTCAAAGAAGTATTGAAGCTCTTGTAAGTTCTGCTAGTCCGTGGACGATGGTGGGCCAGTGTTGGTGGTCTTCTCTGCTGGTAGTAGTGCAGAGGAGGTGGATACTGTATATAAGACTGAGTTCTGTAAGGAGACTGAGGATAATGGTAGTAAGACCCGCGATTCCTGAGATTCGCATAAGAAGGGAGATATGGCGGTGGCTGCAGGTATTTCGGTGGTGTCCGAGGCGGCTGATATCGAGAAGGTGGTTTAGAAGGAGTGACGATGACAGTTTCAATGTCTCTCAGATCATCTGTTGAAGTTGTAGCTAACTGTCTTGGGTGAAATATGTTGAGAAGAAGTGTAACGACGAAGATGAATCCTGCGTCAAAGACGTAAAAGTAGATTTCTGTAGCTTGAAGGATACCAAGAGGACCAGTGGCATACTCAATTACTCGGTAGACTGATCGAGCGATTACAAGTCCACAAGCTATGTAAAGAACGATAATCCAGCGTTTCCAAGGTATGGTAAGATTGGTGCTCTGACGAGTTGGATTGTCGATAATGCGGCTGTGCACAATATGCAAGACGGATGTGAAAAAGCCAAAGAAGTAGATCTGAAAAGCCATACCACCAATGATGATAAGTTGGGCTGTTCTCTGCTGACTGACTGAAGTGGCATTAATTAAGAAACCAGCGCCTGTATTCATATGAGTATACGATCAAGACGGGAGAAGCCAGACTTACCTGTGAACTGGGCTGCCAGAGAGATTACATCGCCAAAGATAAAGACCTTGGGTATGAATTTAACCGGAACGAGTGAATAGATATCCGCATCTAGAGCAATAATGATTTTGCTCAGAATCATATAGATACTAGCAGTAAGCAAACTCGGACCCAAAAGAAACGCAAAAGTCTGAATCGCATGAGGAACGAAACTCCAGTCTGGTGATTCAGAAGCTGATATAGCACGACAAGCATATCCAGCAGCCTCAACTACAAAAGTCAGCACTCTATCTCCACTCACACTTTTCTGTCCATCCCAGGAGTCGGTTTAACTTACCTGCACAGCCTAAAAGAAACGGTAGAAAAAACGAAGTCCTACCTCGCATCATCTGTAACAAACAAACCACCGTCGAAGCAGAAAACAAACCAAGAGCTACAAGAGCAAGAATAAACGAAGGATGATAATGGAACAGCTCGATTGCTACCATGTTGTGAGTAAAGCCTTCAAGGCTTGAACGAGAGTAAAGGACGAGAGCCCGGGAGTTTGGAGGTAAAACAAAATGACATTTTTTTAGACAGGGTTTATTTTTGGTCTCGGAAGGGTGGTATAAGGATTTATCTCCACGGAGAACGCATCAGAGGGCTATTAATAAACTTGATATGGTTTATCTGGTTCATCTTGGGGGTGGTGATGAATGCGGATGAGATGCTGCTTGCGGGTGACCCACTGGCTGGATGCAGATGACAATGTCTCACTTTTCGCCACGTTTTGTATAATGACACAGATGAGACGGCGAAGACTATTACGAACCTTGCCTGAAGCATAAAGGCCAAGAATAATTCGTTTGTGATTGCGTGGCGATAGAGTTGTGTGTACCTGAACCGGCGTTTTGTTCCTGGTCTTGCGGGTAGAGCCGAGATCTGTCTTTGATCATCGCAAGATAAGGTCTTTGGCCTTCACGATGAAGCGGGAATTTCGGCATAAACGCAGAACTAATGGCTCTAGATTGAGGGACTAAATGATTATTGATCATATCCATGACAGGATAACTCTTGGCATCGTGAAGTGGATGGCGAGAACTATGCCGAGATATGTTTTTATCGAAGCTGGAACATGTCTAGACGGTGAAGTCTAACAGCGCTCCTAGAATCCGATGTTAAGTGTTAGATGCCTCGTGCTTTCTCATGCATAGTATAAGTTCTCAAGTTCTCATCGTGATACGTGAAATTCAGGCCTGGAATTCAGAGTTTTGGGATGGATAATTGAGGTATCATTGAGAATAAGGGTGACGCAGGGGATTTGAGTAAGATTTAAGATATGTATAAGACTTGAAATCTCTTATCTTGGAACAGAAAGAACTGCAGTATTCATTGAAGAATACTAAATTTTTGAAATATTCTGACCATGTTAATACGTTGATTTACGCGTCTCAACATTGATCATCAATCTTTGACATGGCCTGAGGTAAGGCTTGTACAAAGGTTAGAGGGAAAAGAGATACCTGTAGTTATTAATAACCTAGTAAAACATCAGAAGACGATGAAGTGATCGTGAAGGTTGAAAATAGTTAGCGATAGGCATGGGGAGTCGTATGATCCCAGAGCTTATCTGTGGATCTTAAGATCTCAGGTGTCGTAAAGTTTCTTAAGTCTGTCAGCGCTTCAAGTCAAGAGATACGAGATTTATTGAGACATAAATTCTTTACTCACATGAAGACTTTACCAGCATTCAAAAGTCGAACCCGAATCGCACGGTTGGCTCTTGTTCAAAGACTTCAAGTTTCATCAAGCATGTCTTAAAGCCGAGTCATAGCCGGTGTGCCTGATCTTTTCCCCAAACAGCAAAGCGGTTAAAAGAGGCTGGCTGGGTGATGTCAGAAACAAGACTAAGCATCCCTCCCATCGAATCAAATCCCAGCATGAAAAATATCTCAATCTGTCTCTGTCCCGATCCGATCCTCAGGGCGGCTTGTCAACTCCACGATCGAGATATTCCCCTAGTGGCCCCCTTGTAAACGAAACTCACCCTCCGATTGAACGTCTACGCCTAAACACACCCAAGACAAACTGGCTGAATGTACCTTTAGGAAGTGCACGTCCAAGGGACTGTCGCACCCATGGACGGGTGATCAGTTCGTTAACTAACTAACTAAACGAGAAACCACCACCGCGGAACTGGAGACGGGGCGTAACGTCATGCCGTACAAGGCTTTGCTTCCTGCACCGGATACTTCAGGTAGTCCTGGGGGTCAGGATCAAGATACGCGGGTTGCTAAGCGGAGGCGTGCAAACAGGCCTAACGCCTGTGAGAACTGCCGCCTTAAAAAAGCCCGTGTAAGTCACTCCTTGTTTCTCTACCCGCTGTACGGTACATTCATGTCTGACCCACTGCTGATGTTGTAGTGCGACGGTAAAAGGCCAAGTTGCTCCAAGTGTGAGAAATGGGGAACGACATGCGTCTACAGTGTTGATCACCTTGCCAATGTCGAGCGGGAACTCAAAGAGCATCGCGATATTCTCGAGCTGTTGATGTCGCTTCCGGAAGATGAAGCCCTCGCTGCACACCGTCAACTTAGAAGTACGAGTAACCTGTCCGATGCATTGTCGTCGCTGCAGGGGAGTATGCATGGGAGGCTTCAGCCCTCTGGTATACGAACTGCGCAGGCAATGTCGCCGCCAACGTCGTCAGGCCTTGAGTTTGAGCTGACGGTACGACATGGCATGGCGTATCCTACCTTGTTTCCCCTGGACCTACCGTCTTTGAGTGCCGATCCTAGATTGAGACCTGTTCAGCGCTCATCTCAAGGTCTTTTGCTTGATGGGTCGTCGCCGTCTGACACCATGTCACCATCGACATCATCTAGCAATGATCAGTCTATACCTACACCGAATCCCCAATTTGAACGTCCTCACATAAAACAAGAGGAAGACGTCGCTGGCCCTCACCGTGAAAAGTATTGCGATGAGAGGTTACACCAACTGCAGATTGGGTACTGGACTGGCGTCCCCATTGACGATGAAGTCGCTGCCAGCGCCATCTCACTGTACCTGCAGGGCAATCACTCCATCTTCGGGCTCTTCGATCCCGACCTTTTTATACACGACCTCGTTCACCGCCGACATCAGTATTGCTCACCATTTCTGGTGAATGCCCTGCTGGCCCACGCCTGTGTAAGTTGCCACTCGCCACATATTGTCATCTTAGCTGACGCTGATCCACCGCGTAGCAAGCTTATTCCGTGATTGATGAAGCTGTCGGCGCTTTGAGTCAGGACTTTATGAAAGATGCTGGCGTATTATGGCGCGCTGAGCGATCCTCTGACTCATTAGTGAACGTCGCTGCGATTCTCATGCTCAGTGTCAGTTGCCACCTTGAAAGGTCCAATGTTTCCAGCAATGATCTTCTTGACGATGGCCGCGCAATGGCGGAGAGGTTGAAGCTCTTCGGCATACCGCACACACCAGAAAACGCCGCATCATTCGATAGCTTAGACCCCGACACCAAACGCGCAATGGCCCATACAGCCTGGGGAGCATACAGCTATCTAACGTACGTCCACCTCTCCCCCATCCTCAAGCCTCACTAACACCTCAGACTAAACACATTCTGGGTCCCAACAAAACCTATAGCATTCCCACCAATGTTTCCAGTCCCCGGACGAAGCAGCGAGGACTCGATAGATGAAAGGTTAGCAGTTCACTGGCCTCGACACTTCACACCTGACTATGCAGGAAAAACGTTTCAAGCGCTATGTGAGCTCTGGACTATCATGCAGGAGGTCATTGCGGTTTACTTTGCGCAACAGGGTGATGGTGCTGCTGCTCCGATAAAGATTCCTTTGGCGTTTGTGGAGGCAAAGTATCAGAAGATATTGACCTTTACGGATTCATTACCGTCGGAGATGTCGTCGATTGATCCGGGGAATATGCCTGATCATGTGTTGGCGTTCAAGTAAGATATACTTCTCCATGCGTGAGAATATGACTGACAAGATCCAGCATTCTGCTCCATGTTGCTATTACGCACATCTTTCACACATTCATCATGGATCCAAGCAACCAGAATCTGAATCCAGCGTTATTAAAATCCCCTAAAGCAGCATTAAGAGCATCTACAAACCAACTCCAGCGTCTCGTCCTCATCAGCCGCCTCTACCATCCCCGCGCCCACTCCCTCAGCGTTCTAAGCTCAGCTGTCGTCCACGTCAGCAACACAATAATCCGCGACGCCGCTCTGCGCAACCAAACCATCCAAACTCCCAGCCTTGACAGAAAACACCGACATCGAGGAAGCAACGAAGAAGCACACTGGCACTTCTACTTCCTCATATGTCTAGCAGCCTGTCAAGATCTCGGCGCTTGTTTCCCAGTCTGTGAACCCGTTGGAAAAGGTCTTTTAGCCATGGCGATGAGAGATGGGAGTATGTCAGCTGCTGAAGCGAATAAGCTCATGCGTGCTTTAGAAGCGCCGAAGCAGGATGTACCGCCTAGTAAAGATGAGAGCGGTACGTTTGGGAGTTGGGTTTTGGATTTTGATCTTGAGGCTACGAAGCCTGGGGATGGACATATTAGGAACTTGGCTGCTCAGTTTGAGGAGTTTAGTATGCATAATGAGTTTACGGAGGGAGGAGATTTCACTGTGGAGTAATGGGTAATGAATACGATACCCCCGGCCTTTGAGCCAGTGAAACGAGAAGGAATCTATAGAACATGAAAGCAAGGCGAACACGGAATCTTGATTACTTACTCCAAGCGAAAATACAAATATTGGAGCATCTCTTGGTCTTCCCCTGAACCATGCAATGAGTTTTGAAGGATATTGATATTCTGTAACCCCTTATACAAAGTGAAGAAATCTGAACTGTGACGAACTGGCTGTGTGCTGAATCATGGCATAACATAGCATCTTTATAAATTCAAATCTTTGGTTTACAAGAACAAAAGAACAAAAAGTGCATAGTCTACAGAACTAACAGCATCCACCAGATCCACAACTATGATCATGTCCATGCTCATGAGCCTTCTCAGCATCCCTCTCCTTCAACCCCTCAGCCTCCTTACTCACACAACTAACATGGAAAGCAGCTAACTTAACCAACCCCGGAATCTCCCTCAACAACCCAATATTCTCCTTAAAATCATCCGTCTCCCGAAACTTCTGATGCGCCTCAATACTAGGCCATCCAATAAACGCAGCAAGCATACTCCCCGTCTTACCCTCATCTCCTCGGATAGGTACATCGTTTTCAACACTCCAGCCGTAGCTGATGCCGCGCCAGTCGCGGGATGTCTTTAGTGCTACACCGGTGAACTCTTCGAGACGGCGGGTGGCTGTGGCGCGGGATGCCACGTCGTAGTCGGCGGGGAAGAATGCTAGGAGGACTTCTGTTACGGGGGAGCGGTCCTTGTTGAGGACGTCTTCTGGGGGAAGGGGGTTAGGGTGACCTGTTTGTTTATGGAATTTGAGAAGTCCACGATGGGTTTGAGAGATTCAATGATAGGGCCATGATCGCTGAAATCGTTAGTATGATCTCATATAACAACATCAGCGTAAACTTACGCGGTCTTGGGATAATTCTCATGATCTTCCAAACTCTCCCAATCAAGAAACAACCATAGTGTAGAAGGATTCTCAACCTCAACACCAGTATAAACTCGTCTAGCACCAGGTTGTTTCAATGCTGTCTCAAGAACATTTTGATATGTTTTTGCCGCAGCTGATTCATCAAAGACGTTGACACCCTCATTGAGGGTAACGTATGAGAACTCCGTCACGTTTTGAATTTTTGAAGCCATTATGAAAAAGATTTTGCGAGAAAAGGGTGTATGATACGAGTATGATGTTCAAGTATGAGGAGGGGTAAATAAGGTGATGGCATCTGGTGGGGTCGAACACGTGCTTCTTCCGTTAACCCGCATGGAACAAGGGAAGTCATCGCCTCATTGATATGATTGAGTCAGTTCGACTATCCCAGGGTGAATGGATATAACCCGATTGAATTTACTGAGGGTTATTGCATTATTCAATCCTTTGAGCCACTAGATTCACCTCCGCTCTGCGCCTTAAACTCGTTGATAGCCTTCTCCGTAACCCTCATAGCCTCCAGCCCAACAGGAGCACCAAGATAAATCATAGATTGCAAAACAGCCTCTCGAATCTCAATCTCAGTCAAACCGTTCCGCATAGCTCCCTTGGTATGCAACGTCAATTCGGGCCATGCCTTTTGAGCTGTCAAGAATGCCAATGCTATCAAATTGTCAGAAATGGTGGTTTGATATAATCGCGTCACTTACTAAGAAGACTTCTCTGCTTTCTATCGAGACCAGGTCGAGTCCACACATTACCCCAGGCATATTCTGTGATGAGTTCTTGTGCGGGTTTCCAGTATTCGTTTTCGAGACTTGCGACTGCTTTGGAGACGTATTCTTCGCCGAGAACTTCGCCTCGGACTTTGAGGCCCTTTTTGAAACCTTCGCTGAATTCTTGATTTTGAGACATGATTTCGAATTGTGAAGTTAATGTAGGACGGTTGATGCCACAGGGTTGAGTTGCCCGTTGACGTTATATACTTTGAGGACGGAGGTCCTTCTCCGTGTCCGGGAACTCCGCAACCGGAGCTCCCGGCTGTGAACGGCGGGCGCGGTTATAGCATCTGCAATGGTGTTGTACTCAGTGCCGTTCACATGAAACTCATCAATAAGCGTATCAAAAAGAAGAAGAAATAAAACTAGTAAATAAAGGCTAAAAACGTCTTCAATTTCACAGTATCGTGATTAATAATGAGTATTATATACGAAGAGTGAGTTCTACAGTGACTCGTGTTGACTTTTGTTGATCTACCTTTTCTGGGTTGTGATGTGTAACACCGTTGCATCAACGAACACGAGTACTTTAGAGTAAACCATAAAAGACATAAATACCATTAATTTGAATAACTAGATTCCCAATATTACACGTTCGTCGACGAAGTTGAATAAGCACAGCTATCAGCATCATCCTCCATTCCCATCTCAACCCTCCAATCCTCGGGCGCGCACCAAACATCCAATGCATCCTCACTTACATCCACCTCCTCCAAGCCAGTCCAGGCCCCTAGGTCCAAGATATCTCCCACCTCATGAGTAGCAGTAGACACCGAGATCAATTGCTTCACCTTGGAAGTAATTTCCTCGAGGTAATCCATATTCTGCTCCAAGTGCCAAGAATAATCCTGCCCCACGACCGCATACCCGTTCCTCAGGAATTGGAGTTGGTCAAGATAGAAGGCTACTGCCTCCTCCTGCGAACCCGGAGAAGTCAGGTCGTCCTCCCAGGTTGCAGCATCCTTGAGCATGAGGAACCTAACGTCTATGGCCGAGGTGCGGTGACCTAGACTCTCGTGCATGGATGCTAGAAGCCTCATGCAACTCATGGCCATAGAATGATTGGCGCCGTATACATCCTTGAGGTTATAGCTGATATCCTCGAGAAGAGTGAAAGCTGTGGTGTGCTCTCCGCAGGCGAAATGAACCTCTGCCAGTCGCTTACCAATGGCGATGGTGGTGGTGGGCTCGAGGTTGAAGTCGTAGTGGTCGCGCGAGTTCCACAGGAGTTCAAGAATGCGCTTTATGATGATTAGTAAAAAACCATAGAGAGGATGGTGGTCACGAACCTTGAGAGTGATGTAGTCGTTTTGCTTGCCGGCGATGCTGAGAATGCATGTGAGGTGGCTTACACTCAAGACACTCAAGTCGATGTCAGAAGTGTAGCTCATCGCCAATACTCCCAACTGTGTAGCCAGCTCTTCGATCGAACCACTGAGCGATACATCGACTTCGATCTCGGAGATCTTATACAGCAAGGTACTCAGCTTCAGAAGCACAAGCGCAGAAGAGCTATCGTCGCTGTCGGCTCCGTTTTCGCTGTACTCAAACACCCATTGCGACAGGTAGAAACATGCTTTGTGCGAGCCAGCATCCGCCATCTGCTGAATAAGTCCAAATGCATCTTGCAAAAGCGACGTGGAGATATCTTGTTCGGAAGATGAAGCAAGAATAGCTTGGAAGAGATGATATGTCGAGCTACCCTTGCCCTCTGGTCGGTCTAGCATGCGGCAGAACAATTTCCATAGTTCGTCTTGAATGCCACCAGCCTCGGAGCGCAAACTATAAGCTTCGAGATGCTGAATCAATCGCGAACCGGTCGTCAAGAGATTGCCAAGCTGATCGTTCTGCTGTCCAGCTCGAAGCCACGCCTCATAAAGCGCTGTCTCAGCAACGACTCGCGTCAAGATGTCACCGAAGAGGCTTTCTGTCTTCTTCTTGGAGAGTGCTTCCATCGCGTATACAAGAACAAGACATCTGCGGTCATACGTCACCGAACGCTTGTGCTTGTTCTGCAGGTATGCCTGACCGCAAAGTCCTTGGGGTTGTGACCGCGCTATTTCGGAGCGGATGGTCTTCAAGAAGACCAGGTTTCCGTGGTCAACACCAAGGAGCTTGTACATTGCGTTGAAGTGCTCTGCTAGATGGAACAACTTTCTGGGATTTGTCTCCTTCTTCAGAACTCCCAGAATAACCTCTTCTAGGGTGACTGTGGCTTGCTTCTTGTTTTCGGCATTGAGGTTCGCGGCCCAAAAGTCGAGAACCTTCTTCAGGCTCGAGATGGCGCGCTCATGGCCATAGCCGTGCTTTTTGGCACACTGCCTCCAAGACTTGATGAGAATGTGCTCTGCTCTGTCATGAAGAAGAGGCTTGCTTGACATGAGGACACTTAAGCGTTCCTCAACGAGGCGCAGGATCTCGATGAATGCCTCATCTGTACCAGACATACCCAGGCTGATCTCGTTTATCTCGTCATAGATATCGACAGCTTCACGAAGAGTTGTGTCATCCATCTCAAGAAGCTTGGTCAGTTCAAGCGACGCCTTGAGGTACCAAATATCCTGGCGTCCCAGGTCTGACAGCATAATAGTCCTCAGCTTACGGGCAAGACGCACGGCGATGGATACACTGCCCACAGAAAGCAATGCTTGGGAGTAGCCAATGTATATCTCAAATCCTCGAGAAGCGTCCATCGATACATGGTGTCGTAGGTCAGCATAGTACGACCAGAGGCGCTCGTACCGACGGAGGAGAATCGTGTAGCTCTCTCGCTTGCCCTTGCCTCTCTGGTTCTTACACAGGGCAAGAAGACCTTCGATGAGAACAGTGATTGAAGCGACATCGTCTTCATCAGGTTCTTCCTCGAAACAATCACAAATGTCGTCGTCATCTTCAATGACAGTACCGAGATGGAGGCTTAGACGGACAATCGCCGCAGCGATGTGAAGTGTGAATGAGTGGGAATGGCCCAAGTGAGTTCTGCAATCGCCAACGATAGACTTCCAGAACTCCAAAGCCTCAAGATGTAGACCTGCGTCTTCAAGAGCTCCAGAAAGAATCAGGGCAATGTCTTGGCTAGAAGACTGCCAGAGAAGCACGCTCTGCTTGCAGCACTTGACGATGGACTGGATCAAGGCATCTCCTTGGGAGACCTGATCAGTCAACTTGTACATCTGAGCCATTATGATCGCAATCTCAACACGTTCGTGGGTGAAAGTCTTCGGCAGATGTAGCTTTCCCCCTTCTATGAGGACCTGCGGCCACAACACCTCAAGGCTCTTTCGACATATGCTGATGGCTGCTTTCCACTCTGATCGCGAGCGATGCAGATGGGCCAGATCTCTGCACAAAAAGACCGTGTCTGATCCTATGTCTCCATGACCGGATGTGGTATGGAGAATACTATCGAGGATGTTCAGCCACAAGAAGTCTTCAATAGGGTTCTTAACACCCTTGTAGCAGACAATGAGCGCAGAATAGACTTGGAGCATTTCGTCAAAGTGGTCATGAGAGGGTAGTTGATGAATCTCGTACAGCACCCGAAGGATGCTCAATGCTTCCTGGTTCTTCTCGAGTCGGAGGAGAAGCTGTGCGATCTCTCGCAGGTTCACCAGTGTGGTCACTTCGCACCGACGGTCGGTTGTCACGAACCTGGAGACAGAAGTCCAAAATGACACCAGCGTCGTGCTAGCTTCCTTTTCCAAGGAAAGATCGCGCAACTTTGTCGCCAGTTGAAGAGTGACGGAAGTAAAAGCGACCAATATGGCACCTTGATTGTTGTTCTCCTTGTTCAACTGCCCTTGAAGCAAGCTCCATAACTGCTGCAGAGCACCCTTGGAAGCGCTCGACATACCACGGTCTTGGTAGTGTCGAACGATGCGAGTAATAGCAGAGAGTGCAGCATCTGTCCACGTTTCTAGAGTCGGTGCAGCATCGAAAACATCTTGACACAGCTGCTGAGCAGCAGCCATGTCATCAGCATGCTCAAGAGAATCGATCAGCGCGTGGAACAGATCAAGCGTCTTACTTGCGAACAGGCCTCTGGTTCGGCAGCAGGCCACGTACATATCGTGCAGAATCTCTGCAGCCTCAGCGAAACGCATCTCAGCCTTGTACAACTCCGCAAGCCTCTGAGCGACGGCGAGTGTCTGATCATGGCTCTCTCCAAGCTCACCTCTCAGAACGCGCCAAAGGTACTTGTATACCTTGGAACTCTTCGAAGACAGCGTCGTGTGCGGCTTGACTAGGGACGTGATGTACTTGGCACCAGCGGTAGCCTGAGGGCTTGGGTCTTCGAAGGTGAGAATGGCTGCTTCAAAAGCTTCGACCAGCTTCTCAATGCTAATAGTCCGACGAAGATCCGAATGAGCAAGATTGATCAATGTTTGGATCACAGACTTGGCGTTTGGACCAAAAGCAGCCTTTCGCAGGGAGAGAATCTTGGTCAATTGCTTGTTCGTCATAACACTATCGCCTTCAGATCGGAGGAAGTGCCATTCAGCTAAAGCCATCAATACTGAATCAGACATCTTGGATGAAACTTCAGTAGGGAGATGTCGCGAGAGTTTCTCTGAAGATGAAAGCGACTTCTCGTAGTGCTCATACCAATTTCTGGCGGCGTACACCATCAGTGGATCAAAGTCTTTGTACGAAGCCGCTGTAGCCCATTGGCTCTGAGACACGTTTTGGAAGACAATATCGACCTTGTCTTGCTGAAGGTACTTTTTCGCATGCTCAAGACAGTCAATCGCAACCCTTCGATGAGCCAGGTTCAACGACAATGCGATCTTGCCATGTGTAGCAAGATGATGCATCTTCGCTTGGACAACAGAGTCGACAAACTGAATACGACCGCTGCGAATGGTGATGATACTGGCAAGAGGAGAGTTGGAGCTCACGGACCGGCCGGAACGGATTCTTCTGAGCCAGTTGCTCATAGTCACAGAGCCATATCGCTCCATCTCATCAACCTGGATAGGCCGCTTTCCCACGAGAAGCCATGAGAGAAGGGACTGCATATCAGGATTGGAGTAGTCAATCTTGAGTAGCATATTGTCGAGAATACCCTGAACAGTCTTGGGTGTCTTGCAAATGATGTCTGTCATACGACCCAGGTCATGCTCGGCCTCTAGTAGTCGAAGGATAAGCTTGGCTTCCAGCAGCGACGTCCATTGACGTTCTGCGATATGCTTCTGAAGCTCCCTCTTCATCTCAGCCGAAAGAAATGATAGTATAGCAGAGGTTGAGAGCGCCGTCTGCATGAACGAACGGGCATTTCTGCGAATGTCCATACGAGACAGAGTGTATATCTGAGCACCGGATATGGATCTTGCTGAATCGGCATCAGCCAATGCAAGACAGCGAATATTATCGCATTCGGATGTAAGTGCTTGGAGCTTGGCAAGGAACTTGGAGGAGCCATCAGTTCCATGACTGTCAATGGTGTTGATCACAATGGCAACGTTACCACTGGCCTTGGAACAACGATCGGCAAGAAGTTCCCACAATAGGTCTTCAGTCTTCTCCGCTGGCTCAGTTTCACTGCGCTTCCTGACCGTATTGATGGCATCTAACAGGCCAGTGTCGCCGATAGACTGATCAAGCAGCTGGAAGAGCAACGCTTTGAGAAGACGAATGGATGCTGTTAAACCCTGTGTCGCAGACACAACTGATGCGCGAAGCAGTTTTGCATCCAGTGACAAAGACAATTGTAAACGCTCGATTATGTTGGACACGAGCTCTTGCTCTCCATAGCCAGCGTCTCCAGCGACAAGTAATAGCCTGGAGGGTGTCTTGAAGAATTGAACGACGACGGGCTCAACGCAGTCGAAGACGAAGGAGTGTCCATGCTTGCTTCCATGGTGACCTCGAGAAAAGCCGTGGCTGCAATGACCATGGCCATTACCATTCAGCCAGTCCTGCACTGGTCCGTGGCAGGTCTCAAGCGAACCGTCAGAACTACTCTTGAGCGACAGTAGCCAGAGTTCTTCACATGCTTGATGCGCAGCCAAGGACAATGAGGTCAGGTCTGTCTCGAAGTATTGCTCGATCTGCAGGATAAACGATGCAGAGCTACGGGAGCCGGCTGTAGAGACGTTAGCATACTGACATGGCATAGACGGTTGTAACGTTGAGGACTCACCTTTGTTGATCTCATCCAAAATGTCAATGAAACCCAAGCAAATCTGCTGCAACGACTGAAGCACCTTGGACAAGCAGCTGTACAGCTTATCCGACGACACGCCCTCAGGCACCGAAGCTCTGACATGCTGAACCGTAACACTGGCTCTGTGGAAAACCGCCAGCAAGTTATCCAGCGCCGTACTGGCGCTAGTAAGCTTTCCCTGCATAGACAGAGCAAGTTCGCAGCAAGAGTAAAACATGGAAGCGACACTATCAGCATCAGAGCCATGATTCTTCATAAGCGCCACGAAATCAGCGATGCGCTCGGCAGAAGACTGCACTTGCTTCAGACGTCGATCAACAAGACTCCATTGATGCGGGACAAGTCTCATGCGAGTCTTGTCAATGAGATCGAAAACGTGATGAATCGTAACGCGCTCTCGTGAGGCAGGGAGGGTGCATGTCATGCGCAGCTCTCTGAGAGAACTATACGCTCTAACCATGCGATCCTCTGTGGACAGCGCCTTGTTGGACTGGCTGCTGACAGCGCGTCGTCCTATGAAACTGCCCGAAGTAGTTGTAGTTTCACTGGACATTGTTCGTCTTGTCGATAGAGGCTGCGAATCATTGCGACTGTTGCGCTTTGGCAAGCTGATGTGAACTCTTCGGATCGTGGTGCTATCGCCGTCGCTCTTGGCAATGCTGTTGTCAAAGTCTTTGGATCCATGGCTCAAGTCTCTGGTTTGTTGTCCTGAGATTGATCTGCGACCTTGTGGACGTAATGGTGCTGTTCGTGTAGTCTGCAGTCGTCTGTCTAAGACGGTATCGATAGTGAGGTCTGCTTCGGATGTGTCGACTTCGTCGTCGAAGACGAGATGTGAATCTTGGATAGGTTGGGCATTTTGATCGCTGTGTTCAGAGCCTTCTGAGGGTGACTCTGGACCAAGCTCTGTGATGTCTACCAAGGGCTCTGCGGCCTTTGGGAGTTGTGACGCAATGTCTTCTGATTCTGCCATATGAGTTAGAGTCATTCGTCATGTTCAGAGCCAATTGAAGATTGGTGACGGCCACTTACGGGGAGAGGACTTCAGCATTGTGACGACTCTTACACCGTCTTTCAACCTCACCCAATCTTGAGTTCTTCGTGATCCCTAAACTTGGTAAAATGTGATTGTGAAATCTTGAAGGAAAAGGCAAGCGGTGGATGGGAATGAGAAATGGGGATGCGCAATCCTGCAAGGAAGCCAGTCACTTGCATCGATTTATTGAGACAGGCATCGGATTCAATTCCTCGTAACGCAAGCCACTGGGTTCAAGCTTATTTTTTCGATAGTTCCATTTCAGCTGCATCTTGTTCTGTCTAGACTGGTCTGGGTGTGGAGGAGACCATAATTTTGGTGTAAGTCACACTATTTGCGACAATGTACTGTGCTTGGCATCGCACACGGAGTACGTGGGGAGTGTAAGACACGCGGCATCGGTAGCGCTCCCTTCAGACTCACAGGGGGTACTCGCCTAGACTCGCGTGCTGTAGAGCCTAATTTAGTGTAATAGGTCAGGGTGCAGTGCACTAATGCAGTCCCCTCAGCACATATCGGGGACGCCTCTCAATTAACCCCGCCATCAAAGCAACGCTCCGACTGAAGGCTGGGATCAATATTTTCAGCTCTCAACATGAACGAGAGACCAGAGAGATAGCATTCCGCACTCAAGACCTGGATTTAGAAGCCGCAGTCACATCCGGAGGTGACCGATGTATTGCTTCGATAGCCCGTGCAAGATACGAGCGGGGTGAAGTTGCAGCGCGCGCGTGGTCGAGACAATCCCTTAATCACTCAGTAGGCTGAAGGTTCCAGGCTCTGGACTATCATCACTCATGATGTGCCATGTCCGGTAAGGTCACTTCTACAAAGGGGCTCCTGATAAAGACGCCAGGCAAAACGCTCCGTGGTTTGGAGGTCTGTAATGTATCAACACGAATAGGCCGTCTTACACGGAGAGACTTGGGTGAGTTCTGGTAATGGCCGGTCAAACACTTTTGATGCGAAAAGAGTTGAAAGAAATGATGTATACATATTATATGGAAATTGGTTTTAATAGCTGGTATCAAACTTGTTGCTCTCGCTGAGCCAGATCTTGCTGAAGCATCTCCCCCAGCTCTTCTTCGTTATTATCTTCTTCATCCCCATCCACACCCGTAGACTCAATGAGCGCTTCCGCAACAGCGTCATTGTCATCCCAGCATTTCCATCCCCAGCACTTCTCCTCCAAAGACTTATCGACAAGCGATTGGAAAAGCATCGAGGTCTCTCTGTTCAAAGGAAACAAGTTCCGGGTGTCTGCGACATGCTGCGCCAAGTGGTATCAGCACTAAGCCATAGGATTAAATAAAATGTATCGTGGCCTTTGACTTACAGGTCTACTGTTCACATCATTCCGGTAGTCGTAAATTAGCTTCGGTGCTAACCAAGTGTATTTGTGATCATCGTTTGCCATCCAATGAAGCGCATGCCCTTGTAGGACCGGATAGCTGATAACTGTCTTGACGACTACTGTATCGTTTTGCTGGCCGTGCTGGTTGATGGTGTAGTATGCAAGCCTTTTAACGAAGGCTTCATATCTGTTATGGGTCAGTCATTTGCTTTCTTGGTAGAATGCACACAGATATTTCCTTACCTCATCATAACTGTATTAGTATCCGGCGTGCCGAGGACGAGATTATTAGGGACCTGGGAAGAGCCCAGATCTCCCTTTATGAGTCCTCCATAGCTAAAAGCCGACCTATGGAGCCACTGGTCTTGTTAGTATTACATTCGAGAAACCAGACAAGAAGCTACGTACCTCTGCCACCCTTCTTTTCTTCGCCTTCGCAGCGTCCGGGTAATAACCAGGATATACTTTTGCCATGGCCTGTAGATGTCAGAATGACTGGTACCAATGAAAATGAAGCCTCCCGGGAATGTTGCATACCAAGTTTGCAGAATACCCATTGGTAGCTACAACTCTGTCCTGCGTCGGCTTTCTCTTGCCTTTTCTCGCAGCGACTACGTAGTCATGCTCGACATGAGTTGTTGTTGTATCTGTTTTCCCACATTTATCCAGGTCTCCCTGGAGCTGCTCAGCGAGAAGCTGGTCGGGTTCAGTATAGTTAGCCTGCCAAAGTGGTTTGTCATGGTCAGTGCTGGTGAGAAAGCCCTGTACTGGACCATCCACAACGATATTGTAAAGCCCTCCGGGATGCGCCTCAAGATGTCTCCATCCGTTGGGTACTTGATCCCAGAATATGACATTATTGACCGTGAGGGGGGGTTTGAACTTGAGGCGTGGTGCTTCATTAGCACGATTGACCCCCTCGAACACCTCTTTTCTTATTTTAAGGCGGTCATCTGGTGTCATAGGGTTGAGGGCGTGGAAGCCATGAGCTTCGATATATTTCGCTCCCACAACGATCTTGAACCCGGTTTGGAACATAGCCCGCTGGTTATTGGGAATAACAACATCCCAGTAGCGGCCAAAGAAGTCTTTTGACGCGAGCTTATCACCCTGTGACTTTCTCAATAGTTCTGTAAAGTCAAATCAGCTCAGTCTCGGGTTCAAGGCAAAGGCGTGACTTACCTGACCAGACGCGAAACACTTCAAAATGATCCCAGACATTATTGTCAGGACCGATGTAAGCGAAGAGCCGGTGAAAGAGCTCTCGCTCATGGGCAACACATTCAAAACCTTCGACGGCCCAGCAGCGGAATGTGAGGAACGGTCGTCCCTCTTGCTGGAGCTGGTCCTGTATCATTAGGGCCTCATCTTGCTCGTCTTGTGTGCCATGGTTTAAGGCATAAATGATTTTGGCGCGTGTAACAGCCACATCACAATCATCTATGTAATGGGCTGCAACACCTCTCATCCGGTTGTGTATCTCCTCAAGTCGAATGAAACAGTCGCCCACCAGGGGCTCACCAGGCTTGTTCTGTGCAAGGTACACAAAACGGTGATTGTCGTCTTTTTCAGGTTCGTTGTTAAACCGACCGCGATACATGAGCAGCTTGTATGGAACAAATGCTTCCTAGTTACCATTAGCCGGGCCACTGTGCTGCGTATCAAGTTGACAGATACAGATTTACTTACAAAATCTTCATTATATTCACCTTCGATGGCCATTATGTGGTGCGTTCCGCGCACCTTTTTATACCCGATAATCTCGCCCGCATCTCCGTAAGGCGCACATGGTAGGAACTCATAGACTTCCCCAGTGGGCATGAAACCTTTACATTTCAATTAGAACACGCCTTTCATGGCGACGAAGATAGTACATACAGTCATACTTGAGAACTTCATTATTTGTTAGTTTCGCTAAATTGTAGTCCAGAACTTGGCATGCCAGCGGCTTATTGTCCAATGGATAACCTGTCCATGAATCGATCAGTCAAAGTGTTGGGAACGGTTTGAATCATTTGACTTACACCCATTCGATGGCTTATCAGCTGGTGTTGGATCAAGGATAGGTTCGCCAAACCGATTCTTTCTCTCTCGTCGAGCTTTTAATATCTTCCCCCAATACGGGCTGTACTCCTCTGGCTTCTTCTTCCCTCGCTTCCCAATCTTCTTTTTTAATATGTTTGAATCGCTCATGTCAGTCAGACGCTTTCTGCGTTCTTCTTCTTTCTTTTCTTCACGTTGATCCGTTCGGAGGGGGACAGGTTTGTGTGAATGCAGTCTAGCCTCACTGATGCAGACTGAAGAGAGTTGGTATGCGATGTGAAGTACAGCCTTTAGAGGTTTCTGATAGCTCGCCGCGCATATAAGGTGTAGTTTCAATGTTCGAGGTTTGGGTATGATCAAGAACATCCAAGTCAAAACCTCGACACTCGACAGGATACCAATGGGTCTCCTTAGAAGACCCCCAGCAGGACGAGACCCTTACCCAACCAGATGATCTTACAGGGGAGGGTGTATTCACAGGGTATGGGTCCAGGAATCGATAGTTCACGCAGCTGCAGCTAAAGAATCGCCACACGCCCAGGGTGCAACGAAAGAACCGACATGGGTACAGTAAATCGGGCTTGCTGAAACAGACGCTCTATCTGATCCTAAACTATGTAGGTCTGGACCAAAGAGTATTGATTCATGGGTTCAGAGATATCGACTCGGCTTCACGGCACAGTATAGTTCTGTCTGGGCCATCCGGCGGATTTGATCCGACTCACACGACCAAAAGTTGAAGTTTCGCAGTAGCCTAGTCTCGTTTACTAGCTGATGACCGAGCTCATGGCTCTGTTTGACTACGGCAGCGTTTGCAGCGGCCTTGCTACTCAATTGGCAACGCAATTCAGATGGGCTAGCTACGTGATTGATGCCAGGTGAAGAATTGGAGACACGAGTATACACATTGAGTGATTCAGTAATAAGCAGAGATTGATTAAAACGCATCAAACAGAAACTAGCTGGCTCAATGCGGTAAACATATACAAATTTGTAAATAGCAAAGAAAAGGAAACCGTTTGGTCAATGTACAGAATATCTCCAGACACACAGCAAACAGCTCTAGTTGCAGAAGACTGTTGGAGGACCGATATAGAAACGCTGCGGATCTTGCAAGATAACATTGGGCACGGCAGCACCAATGCCACTGTAAGCCTTCTGCACCTTGAGGCTCTCCACGTCTGAACCACCGTGGGCCAAGTTGATGAAGCTGTCCAGTATACCTTGACGGTATGGTTTGGTCAAGCGAGGCTTGACAGCAGCCTCCTTTGTCTCTCCAACCTCTGTCAAGAGCAGTGTGTCCATAGGAGGCTTCTCCCTCTTTGCCTCAGGTTCTAAACCCATAGCACCTTTGACTCGAGACCACTTGACGCTATCTCTGGCGTTGGCGTGATCGAGGTAGCGAACAGACTCCTTCTTGATCTTCCTAGGTGTCCATTCCGACGGCTCATAGTTCAATGGCATCGACTTGAACACAGGGATGGACTGTTCAGGAGCAGCGGGTGCTGGTGGTACCAGAGTTGCGCCAACGAGGTGTGACACTGTAGGAGGCATTCTATCAGGCCTCATATAATCTGCCGCATTCTCAGAGTAAGGACCCCAATAGTTGGCTGGTAATTGATCTTCAACCTTGGCTACTTCGCGGAAGGGAACGGTTTTCTTGTCTCTGACGTTCCAAACCTTGACGCCCAGCGTCGATTTAATCCGTGACGAATCACCAGTGTCCTTCTTCATCTGCATAGGTCTGCTGATGATGGAATTGCCACTGTATTGAGAATCACCACGACCCTCGATTCCAACAGAGTTGGTTGGTACCGCACTTCGAACGGAAAAGATGAAGTTGTCGCTGCGAACGTGCCAACGCTCCTTGTCAGAAGCCACCTTGTTAGAGGAGGCTTTGCTGACAGTGTCACTCTTCTTCTTGTCATCTCCAAGAAGACCAGAAACAGCTGTGAATGTGTGAGGATTCACAATGGCGTTATTCTCCCGCCTATCAGCTCCGTCTTGAAGCACAAGCTCCATGAGCTCACGCAGGCTGATAGCTCTCTTGCCTTCGGAGGATCCAGAGCCAAAGCTGACAGTGAAGCTCACGACGGAGAGATCAAAGTGCACGCTACCATGGATTGGTGGTCCTTCGAGGTGTAGAGAGGCTCCAACGTTGACGGAGATCTTCTTTCTGAAGCGCCAGACTCTAATCTCATAATACACGCCTGCAGATACTGCCATATCAGCCACGTAGTGTAGAGGTTTGAGGTTGACGAGGAAGTCAGCGTGGGCATCAAAGTGCGCGCCAAGCGGCCCAGCGGAGAAGACAGCTTGAAGCATTCCTCCCGCCATGATGGCTCCTGGTGTGATAGCAGCATATGCGTTACCAGTGACTCTGAGGTTCGAGCTGAGCGTCCATGAAATACCCAGTCGCTGGGGACGAGGATAATGTGCTGGAACTTGGTACATAGGATGGTAACCACCAAAACTGACAACCCAATCGCCTGAATGTGGGTTATTCTTCCCGAACCAACTACGAATTGCGAAGCCACCAGATGGTCGGCAATCCTTGTTGAGAATGAAGGAGGTAGGATTGATAAGGCCATCCACTGAGAGTTCACCATGGACAAGGTCGAGTTTGCCGACCACAGACAGGTCAATGAGGATAAGAGCTTTATCAGGGCTCGCACGTCTAGGAAGAGTAGCTGTTGCACGAGCAATCAAGCCAATGTCAGTCTGGTTGGGCCCAAGAGCGACAGTTGCAACAGCGCGCATGTCAATAGCCTCACAAGCTCGAATGACAAGACCAAGTGCCATCCAAATGGATCCCATACTGGGCGTTACAAAAGCGTCAGGACCTGTTAACGACTTAACAGCCTGGTTCATATTGAAGCCTCCTTCTTTCTCGAAACCCTGAATGAGTGGGAATGTGGACAGCTGCTCCACGGTGGGTAGTCGGAGACGTGAGTTGTAGCCAAAGCCGGCCATGAGTCCACGAATCTCTGCCCAACCCATTGTGAAGATGAGTCCCTCCATCATAGCGTAGATGAAAAAGGAATCATATTCTGGTGTACCATTCGCAGCATTGGCTGGGACTTGCTCATACATGCCAAGTGCTGCAATGGAAAAGGTGCTCAATGAGATAGCGACACCTCCAAAGTACGCTTTGGTGCCGGGCTTGTGGTGCAGAGCACCTGCGATTTGGATTGGCATTCGACTGAATGACATGTCGAATCCCTCTACCTCGACATCGATAGGGACATGGAGAATGTCGTGCAATCCGTGGATCTGCTTGGAGTCGAGCCTGACGACGAGATTGAGACCCTGAATACCGGCACTGATGGGTCCAATGAGAACGCTGGCATCAAGATGGATGCGTAAGACGCCACCTTCGTAGGATAACGAGATGCCGGAGAGAGTCAGAGGTCCCTTCTTCTTCTCAAGAGCAGCGGTTGTCGCCGGTGCGCCGCCACTAGGAGCAGCAACTTCTGTCGATGTTTTCTCTTGGACTGGGGCAGTAGTTGCCTTAGAGCCGGAAGAAACTGTACCTGCTGGTGTCGTCTTCTTCTTCTCTTTCTTTTCCTGGCCAAAGACATGGTCGAGGAAGACACCCTGGCTACCAACAAGACGGAAGTGAAACCCTTCAGCAAGCTCCTTGTCCTCAGCTCTCATCTTGAATGGCTGATCCTGGAACATCTCGGCACTTCCGTTGAGAGTACTGATATCCTCCCGTGTGAACATTGTATTGACCCAGAGGAACTCAAGGGCATCAAACGGTATGTCCAGATTTCCGAGGATGGGCAGCTTGGAGATAGAAGGCAAAGGACCCAGAGACACCCGTATCAGTCTCTTGACAGGTGAGGGCTTATCTGCCTTTCCAGTGATGGGAACCATTTGTGCAAATTGGACGTGGAGCATGCCAAACTTGAGCTCAGCACCGAAGATGAGATGTGGCTTTGCACCATTCAGACGAGTCACAACAACGTCGAACTTGTCGTCACCAGGGTTAGATGCTTTGAAAGTTGTTCCGGTCACAAAATTAGGAAGAATATCTGCCACTTCCTGACCCAAAAGCTTCTGCACAGCGTCGCCGAGCGTGAACTCCTTGGACGCTTTTCCAGCAACTTTGGTTTCTTTATGCAGTTTGGCAGTGAGAGCCCAAGTATTGGCATCTGTACGTTTGAATGCTGTCTCCAGTAAAATATTTGAGATCTTGAGGTTCGCTGCAAAGCCGACCTGAGTTGGCTGTCCCTTACCAGCCGTAATGTCAAAAGCGATGCGCTGTAGCTCAATGCTCTCCAGGATGGACATTGCATGTGTCTTCTCCTCACCAGCAGCGAATAAAGAGTGTAGAGCTGTCATTGGGATATGCGACGCATGCGCGCGGAATGACACTTGGCTCTGTTTTGACGAGTATGTTATCATAGCCTCCAATGACGCTGGCTGATCACCTTCCTTGAGCGGGAGAAGGGTAATGGCTCCATCAAGAACGATATTCAGGGACTTTGAGGCGTAGAGGTAATTGACGGAGAAGCTTAGCATCGAGTGGTCGATCTGCAGCGAGGGAATCTTTGAAGGATCTGCAACGACAGAAGTCTCAGTTGGCTTCCCGATCAGAGCTTCAAGACGACCACTAACTCGCAGACTCTCATTAGAGACATAGAGATCTGCCTCGGTAATCTCAGTAGGAACACCAAACGGTAGGTTCTGCACGAAGCTACTGTCGAGGTAACGCAGCGACATGAATGGCTCTGACGGGTCAAGGTAAGGGAACTGATCCCATCGCTCGTAGTCAAGATAGTATTGCAGTGGAGGGTTGCCCTGTCCCAATACATTGCCAACACCATTGAATGCACACTCGCCTGAGAACTCGCCAGTGCCCTTGGTCCAGGTAAACTCCATAGTGAAAACTGAATGCTTATCTTTTGGTACAAGCACTTGCATCGAAGCTTCGAGCTCCAGGCGCATACCGGCGAGAGTTGTACCACCAGCCTCGTTGTTCTGAAGAGTTACTGTCACTCTTCTCCAGTATATATGAGAAGTACTGGGATTCTGATTTTTTGACCCATGACCGGTATTGAGGAGAATCTTCTCCAGATCGTCAATGGCATCGCCCACTTCAGTGCAGCTCTTCCTGATCCAGGCTTTAAGGGCGTCCCATTGAAGAGCCTTTGAATAGCACACGAAGAACACATTGATGTGATCCTCTCCTATGGACACGTACATACCCATAGCACGCTTCTCGCCATTAAAGTCTGGCTCCGCAGCGATGGTGAGTTCTCCGATAGTGAAGGCGTCTCCCCAAGGGCCAGAAGACGGTGATACAGTCCTCTTGGCAATGACTGATAGTGGAGGAATGTGGTCATTCCAGCCAGCGAGGTATTTGTTTAGCGTTTCACCTATTTTGCCGTTGAGACTGAGAGAGGCCTCGAGTCGGATGCAGCATCCGGATCCTGACCCGGGGATATACCACATTGCGTTGCGAGCTGGTGTCCCAGCCAAAGCGCCAAACGTAATCGCGGTCCCTTTGAGCAACGTCTTGAGCCAAGGCTTAGGGTTGATATGAGCAACTGCGCAAAGGTCGGAGAGATTCTCGAAACCGCCGTTAGCAGAACTTGTCACCAAGCCCAGGAGGAGATGGCCGGGGTAGCGATCAATGCCGGTAAGAGTGGTTATCTTGGTATCTTTGGATACGTCCAAAAACCCAGTTTCAAACTCGTCATTCAGCACTTTGGCATCAGCAGAGAACACAAGCGGGCCGCTCTTTGCGTCTTTGGACACCTTGACATTGAGATCAGTCATTTGGAGAGATTTGCCGTCCGGGCCAAGCTGCAACTTGACAGCAGCACTCTGGAGATAAGACGCATTATCATCAAGATTCCACGCCACGCCAAAGTCTCGTCTCAGAGGATCACTCAGTGAGAGCTCAAACTCGCTCACATTTGTCTTGATGGCTTCCAAGGAAGTCTCAAAGACTATGGGTCCTGAGGTTGTCAGAAACGCTTGAGTGCCGGTGTCTGGGGTTGAAAAGACAATGTGATCAGACGGGACGGTGCCAGCGCTGATACCTGGTGTCGCACTGCGGATTTGAGTCGTTTGTACAGTTGCAGCAAGCATGTATTGGTCCTTTAGCGGCAGTAGTTGTTGCGGAGGAGTGGGCAAGCTTGGTGCAGTTGTAGCTGGGTTTGTGATGGGTGCGACAGCTGGGCCGCTAGGAGCTGAGGTTGGTGGTAGGGTCTTTGGCTCACTCGATACTGGAGCAGCCACAGGTGTAGTTGCAACATCTCCAGCATGGCTAGGCATCTGCACACCAGTCCCAGATTGAGTGGGCACATCAGGCTTGGGAACAGGAGTGACTTCAGTTCTAGGTCCCTCAACAGTTCCTGGAGCCACAGGGCCAGCAGAAGGATTTGCCAATCCCGGGTCCGCTGTCGTGACCGGAGGCAGCACTCCGCCCGGTATCTTGACATTACCTGGCGTTGGAATGGTCGCAGGCAAGCTGGTAGATGGACTACCAGAACCAATCCCCCTAGGCTTATCACCTCCAGCCTGCCCAGGAGGTACCGGTCGATCAGTAGCAGGAGATGGTGCTGAGCCAGTGGCAGTCTGTGTACCAGAAGACGCATAGCGAGAACCTCCAGATGGGGCTCGAGGGCGCTTGTCAACATCGCCAACCCTTCCTATCACCGGCCGACTATGACCTAGTGATCGTCTACCCGGTTTGGCACGTTGCGGAACGTCTCCACGCGGTTCATCATCTTCCAACCATTTCTTAACATGACGATGCCTATGACGATGACGATTATTACCTTGCCCAGAGTAATCATCAAAATCGGCATCTAATGAGGCTTGGTCCTGTTTACGCTTGACTGTAGAGCGTGTCCAGTCCCTCTCTCCAAAGAAACGGCCAGGAGTGCTCAAGACTCTAATTCCACCAGTAGCCTCTGCATGTGTATTCTCATCAGAGTCTGAACTCTTTGAAGTTATAGACTGATGATATTCAATTAATTTATGCTTGCGACTTTGGGATGAGTTAACTTACACGAGTTTTGAGCGTGACTAGCCTTCCAGGCTTGTCAATCAAGTTGCCTCGGCCAACAAATGACGAAGCCAGAAACTCATCAGAACTGATCACAAATGTCTTCTCTACCAAGGTTTCTTGCTGGTCTGGTAGTGACGGTGGCCATTTGTCACTGGCCGACCGTCTCCCATGAACGTGGTGGGCCATTGTATCTCCGCCAAAGCTGTGATGCTCGAGATGAGCATTCGTCTGCTATGGAAAAAGAATTAGATTAGAAAAATACCAGATCGATATTACGGTCTGCTACTCGGGGAGCTGCATGAGATGAACGACCAGATGGTGAATCGCACGCAGCCTGAGCATAGTCTCCGCTGATCAAGCCGGACAACCCCAAGCTGTGAACTATTTCAGATACAGCTCTCAGCCATGGCCTAGAACACTTTCTTCGCCCCTGCTCCATCCCTGCTCGTGTAAGTCACTTGAGCGGCATCAAGGGTTCAATTGCTGAACTGCAAGAAAGCCAATATTTCCCAATCAGCACATGCAGCTCTCGTCTCGCCATCACATATCACTCGAGACATGCAGCAACTAGCTCCAATTGTAAGACCGGAGTTTCCGCTATTCAATAAGTCAATGCGTGAATCGATAGTCTGCGGCAGCGGGCGTTTGCGTATAGCATCAGCGTTGGTTCGTGCCATAGCGTTAAAGCGTTCTCGCGATGTGGGCGTCGTGCGGTTCGGTACGGCCCTCAAGGGAGCTACATGATAGGTGGCGTAAACGAACGTCGAGGCTAGTCGACTCTTCTTTCGTCTTAGATAAAACAAAACTATCGAAAGGAGCATATCCCACGTGGATGGGAAGACCATTTCGGGGTGGCAAGAGGAGAGCTGAGCTTTAGCTACATGCAGGGTCTCGAACCATTCCTCCGGGGCGTGCAAGAGAAGCTTTTAGGCGTTTAGCGTCGAGACCATTGACTTTACAGGGGTGTATTGCCCTAAGCTGTTTGTGTAAGTGCCCTGTGAGAATTTTTTTGGCCAATTAGAGCTGGAGCTGACCTTGGCTGTGACCATCTACCCTAAGGCTGCCTCCCATGAATATTGAGCTTCTGCTATTCTGAATTGAGAGCAATAGGTTAGCAGTGAGGCTGGACATTACAACAGAATCAATCCTTTTAAGGCATAGATTCTATTAAAACTCAATAAACCAATGCTTCAAGTTGCTACCAATCTTATTCCATCTGGGTGATTTTGAACGAGTGGTGGTCAAACATGCGTTTACACACAGTCAAACTTCACGATGTGAAGCACATCACAGTATTTTACCTTCGAACAGGGTGTTCAAATAAAGACGTGGAAGTCTAATCTTCCTTAAGCTGTTATGAGATTGAAATGACTCTTGTATATGTACGAAATCCTCCAGATTACTCCTTACGCAGTGTCCATTTATCCATAACATCAGTCTTGACCAACACAGGAACCTCTTTACCAGCAGCATCCTTACTCCTCTCCCACCTCCCATAAACTTCCTTTGTGTTAATCTCAACGTCATTTCCTACAACCCCATTAACCGTCGCCCTGACCAACATGAAACTAGCATCTAATCCCTCTGCAAGCGTAGCACCCCCTCCAGCTGTTCCACGAGGCTTCAGATGAACCACCATCTCAGCAGCCGACTTCCTATGTGTTGTAGCCGCAATCCATTGCTGCCTTGGTCCAATGGCACGCACAGAAGGTAGCGGTGCGAGATGGTCAAGAAGATGGGATGGATCTTCGCCAATGGGGATGGTGACTTCGATTGCAAACACTTCTGTTCCTGCTGGGAGATTCTTGGCCGAGGTGTTGATCTTGACCGAAAAGACTATGTGCTGAGGCGTGTTGGACTGCGCTGGTATGCTGCGCCCAGGAGAGTCTTGGGAGAAGGCCAATTTTGTGAACCACGACCTGTCCTTGGTCTCTGTACTCTGGGGTAAATGCTCGATTGCCGGGTCGCGAGTATCCTCTTCAGGCGTCAGCTGCTCTGGGAAGATCCTTCGAGGCAAGCTCTCTTTGCCTGCGGTTATGTTGAAGTTGAGTGTAACACAGTGATCACGCTCTAGTAACTGCGTAGCCAGATATATGACTTTCGAATCTGCCGCGGGCCTATCCCAGGTCCGAGTCTTATTTTGATCAATAAAGTAGTCCATCATATTGACGACGAGATGAGGAGTTAGGATACCAGTGTCGTGGTTCCAGATGGGCTTGATGGGTAAACCAGAAGGACGCACAACGCCAGTCCTGCTCCACTGGATGTTCTTTTCTACTTCATCTAGTGGCAAAGCGTCTTTGAACTTATCCGTCATCTTCAAGAATGGCTTCATCTCGCAGGCAAAGTACATGAAATCCTTGTCGACCATGCCCAAACTGTAGCGCTGTTGGTGTGGTGGTAGCTTGAGCTTGACGGTGTAGTCTACCAGCTTCTGCCCCTGACCTCGCGCAACGAGGCAGAGAATCATGTCCTCGTTCCGTGTTCGGTATGCGCAGCTTAGAGGAGTAGTGGCGTTTGAACCTGATAGCTTGCCCGTGATCGTCATTTCAAGATCGGGAAACGACTCGACGATGCCACTGCGGATGATGAAGCCTGAGCCACCGATTTGCACACGATCGGCTGGCGCCTTTTCCAGATACAGGTTGAAGGCCCAGCGAATCAGATCACGGACCGGATCATCACCTCCTCCCATAGTGTTGGCAAGACTCATTGCGCCATCGACAAGAGCATCTACCCAAGTATCATCCACAAGAAAACAGTTGACGCTTTCTTTCGCAAGGACAGCAGGATCAGGGAACAGATACGTCGCTGGGACTAGCTTCAGAGACATGAGGTTGTCGATAAGCCAATTGATCACAAGAGCCAGTTGAGGAATTGAAGATAACTTAGGCTCAGGCTGGCATAACTCTAGGGTCTTCTCTTCAAGCCATGGTTTCGCCGTACTTTCCAGATGTCTTTGCAGCTTTGCAAGAGTCATGACTCCTGGTGCTGCGGCCATGGATGTTGCTGTATGAGAAGGAACTTGCCATCTTGCAGAATTAGTTGACTTTTCTCCATTTCGTGGCAGGCCAGTCATCTTTGCAGCCACAGAACCCTTGAAAAGCTCATCAAGCCTCGACAAAGTGCTAGAAACAACATCGCTCGCCTTATGCATAATTGTCGCATCCTCACTCTCTGCATCTTTGGACTCTGTCACGGCTTTCATACACATCTTTCGGCGCAGGTAGGCGATAGCCGTTGAGAACTTGGCGTCTCGACCTGCCAGTGTTCTACCTAGCTCCCAGGCCGTGTTGTACGAGATATCAAGGATTCTCGCAGATGTGTCGATGATTTGCAAGTCTGTGCCGTGCACACTCGGCTTGATGCGCGCTTTGCGCGATGAACCCGGTATAAGCGGTCCTCGATACAGCGCCATGGATGATTCACCGGCGATATCGCGATGGCGCACAATAGTGTACCCCTCTGTGACCCTTCGACGGACCCATACAGCAGATGCATCATCTGGCTTGTTAGGGTCTGTGGGAGGAAGTTTGATCGCCAGTGGACGTATGTTCTTCTGATCTGCGAGATGTTTGAACATCTCAAGAGATTGAGAGGCATTGTTCTTCTCCCAAGTAAATGTCCAAGAAAACAGGGAGACAAGGGCGACTGTTGCTGAAGCCTCGCTCGCAGCTTTCCAGTCGATGCGGCCATCCAAGGTCTCAATCGAAACAATGTGCGCATACACTTTGACGGGCTGATCACCCAAAGTGTAAGGACGTGCTCGGTGACCGATAAGCGTACTGAGTTTATTCGTTACATGACCGCTGTCATCCTTGACGCCGCTATCCGTTATGTACGTGAGGAGCTTGTAACGGTCCAAGTCTGGGCCAACCTGCTGATTTGTCTTCCCAGTTGAGTCTTGACGCTCGAAATACATCTTGAAAGCGCTACTCTTAACAAAGAGGAAATCGGCAGTGGCTGGTGATCCATCGCCCTTAGACGGAACCTCAGAGTCGGAATAGTCATTCTTATGACAGAACTTTGAGCGATTACTGTTGAACAGGCTCAAAGGAAGCGTAAAAGATCGAGTGCCCGAAGGTCTAGCAGCGCTGGTCACCTCTGCGGGTACACATAGATCCTCATCTGTAAAAAGAAGCAAGGCAATCCATGGCGTTGGCGCAGTGCCCGGATTATATGTTTGCGACCGTTCCCACGGCGTAGCACCTTTGAGAACGACATGAGGAAGCGTTGTTGCGCTCACGGTACGCAGATTTGGCGGGTAGAATGAGTGAATGAGGTCTGATGCTATGGCATATGGTTGACATGCCTTGACAGTAACGGGTTGTGTTGATACCAATTTCTCAGTGTCCTTTCCTGATTTCACTTCTTGAGTAGTGATGATCTCGTATTCACCCGGGGGCATGGGAGGGATCTCATAGGCGTAGAGACGAGCTTTTGCGTCGGCATTGTCGTAGGCAGTCGAGCTGCTGGACGATGCCGTCGCGATTGGCTTGGTATTAGACATATTGGCGTTTCAACTGAGAGAGATGAAGATAATACAAAAGGCAGTAAAAATGACAATGAAGGCCCGTCAGAAAAGCGCGGTTGTGGACTTGATTGAGATCCCTCTGTTGGAGAATGAGCATGAAGGCTTCACGACACAGGATCTCCAGAGCTTACACGAAGCAGACCTGTAAATGGCAATCAACTTCGCCATGGTGCCAATCTGGTAATAGAATGTGTAATTTTCTACAGAGGACTTCTGTCAAGAACTAGGTCCATGTTCATTGCATTGATACCCTTGCCAAGCGAAATATAGCTGAGGTCCTCAGAACGGGAGACCTGCATCAAAACTATCGATCACTATCGAAATAGTAAATCACGCGCCTGGGGAACTTGCCCGTTCAGAACTTCAGCGGATACGGCGTTCCCGTTTCGGTTGAGCAACACTCTTGTGGAAGGCAAATCGATGCATACGCCCTCAACTAGCGCTTGGAACTAGGCGTTTCTTAGTGAGAGTCCCAGCTCCCGGGCCGCTAGTGGCCGTTCAGCCAGCCGCTATAATGGGGAATAAGGAGACGCTAACCAAGCATGTGCCGTTCTTCCCGTAGGCCTCTGGGGGAGATGTCCCATCGAGGGAGAGAAGTACACTGTATGTTTCGCACTGTCCGATGACCTGGGGACTGGACCCTGAAAGAGTGAGTGGTTGGTAACTGGGTCTCGGCCTTGTGTCTCAGTCGTATATATCGCAAGCTGAATGAATCCTAGCTAGCATCTTACGAGAGTTGCTGCCGTGCTATTAGATACTAACGATGGCTAGAACAGACAAGTTATCTCGTGCTGCGTATTGGATCGCTGGTATCGTAGAAGCGCGAGGCTGTTTCTTTGTAGTTGATCATAACGACCATCTTCACTTACGACCAAGAACACGACCAAGAACACGACCAAGTTATTGCTCTTCCTCCATTCAGTTTTGGCGTAAATTTTCACAATGTCAACGACGATGGCTTCTCAATCCCCAGAAATCGACACACCAGATGTGTCAGAAGATGAGCAAGAAACCCTAATCCCCTCAGAGACAACATCCGCTCCCAAACCACACAAACCTACCAAGAAGGCCACAGACGTGGATTGCTGGTCCATGAACCTCGATGCCTTCATTCTCAATAAGCACATCTTTAACAAAGAGCACTTTGTCGCGCCACTAAACAGACCTGACAATTCGTCATTTCTGTCTGGGGAGTTCTCAGCGCCAGATGCGATTCCCAATGTTGACATTGACGGCGCGTATCCGTGGTACTCAAACTCGCGAATTGCGGATATCACACAATCGCCGCAAGTTGACGATGAGGGTAACAATAACTATGATAGCATGCTGCGCAATGAGCGATTAGGCATCTATCTACATTGGACGCTGCCGCAGCATTTCCGTAATGGAAGCACAAAGGATACCGACGATGAAAAGGCAGGGGATCTTGCAGTAAGTGTAACAATCGTCAAATATCATATCAAAACAGCCATGACTGACCAAAAACAGCAAACACATGTGCCAGATCGTTGGATAGTCTTCAGATGCATCACAGAAGCCTCTGAAGCCGGCGCTCCTGCACTGGCGGCTTTTATAGTTGAGAGCAATCGCATCCGCCATTTCGGTGGGCATTTTGACACTTCCGCAGATGATACTTTCGATGTTGAGGTGGAGGCTTCTCCGTTCATCGACAAGAAAGTCTCGGTGGAAAAGCAGGTCGATGTGTTCATGGGAATGAGACGCAGATTCGACGATGATTGGAATGACCCCGATCCGAATGGCATTTACCACTCGCCATTAACATTGCTGGACTCTGCCAATCCTCTGTTCGCAGACTTCCAGCACCACAACTCAAACATCTTCTCTATTCACGACGATGTCAGCTGGAAAGACAGTGCAGGCAAAATTGTCCAGCCTGCGTCTGCCACTATTTCGTACGCTGTTTTCGGCTACCACTCTCAATTCCATTCTCAACATGACGAAGGAAAGTCCATTACCCATGGTGCAATGTACAATGTCAGGTGGACGAGAGATGAGGCGCCCGAAAAGTCCGAGGCCCTCAATATTGCCAGAAACGTGAGCAGCAATCAACCTATAGCTATGGGATCAGACACGCTGGAAGCGCTCGAGGCATACCTACATTCTTTACCAGAAGATAACAGCCCTGTGGAAAAGACAGCAGCCCATCAGAGCTTGGAGCCTAAGCGCTGGAGCAACAACGACTGGATTGCGCTCATCGACGAGATGAAGATGGCAATTGGACAGTCTGGTCAAGGCGGACTACTAGACTCCCACGTACCTCAGAACCTCAGAGCAGGCTTCAAGCCTACCGATGGAGGCAAGAAATGGCGCTTCAATAACGACAAGGTCTCTGCGGATGGCAATGACAAGCCCATTGACCCCAACAAGATGGAGGAACTACACGTTCCTACCAAGGACGAGATGAAAGACTTGCTCCGAGCGGATAGGTTTCAAGCATACACTGATGCCTTGGACCGTCAGGAAGGATACCTTCGCCATCGGCTCTTCTGCGAGTGGTGGAAGCGCCGTGCTCGTGTGCCAGGAGGCAGATGGGCAGATCCTTTAGTCCACGCAGAATGTAACAGGAGAATCCAGGATGACCTTGCAGCTTTGAAGATTATCAAAGAGTTGCGCAAGAGGTATCATCACGGTAATGTCCCTGCCAATTTGGACAAAATGCATGCAACCGCTAGATCGGAATTCTTCAGTCGCACGTCTCCCTCTATCGTCATGGGAGGACTCGGTACGGCGTGGCCTTCAGAGTTCCTCGTCAAAAAGAACAATACGGCTAGATCGCTTAGCTCACTTCCTTTTACTGGCAAGCAAGGAGCTGATCTCGTACAGCAGTGGCTGAAGGAACTGGTTGGGGCCAAGCCAGGCGATGCGAATCATCAGTTGTGCATGGTCCACGGCATGAAACTCTTCTTCCAGAACCCAGAATTGGTCGAGAAGATCGTCGATGCGGAAAAGTCAAACAAGGGCCTCATGCGACTTCCGGCCTTGTTTGAGTCACTAGACAGCCTCAACGCTCTCAACTATACAGCGCCAGGCTGGGTCCGTGTCGCAGTTGACACGTTGATGCAGGAGTGGGCATATGCCTTGAGTATCGGCGACCCAGAGAAGATGAAAGAGCCAAGACCTGCTTACTACAACAAAGCCGACACGCATTGGAATGATACACAGCCTTGCCGTGTCTTGTTTCTAGAGTGGGAGGTTGAGTACTATCACCTGCCAAAGCGATTCTGGACGCTTCAAAGATTGAGTGATGGCACGGCAGACTACAGAATCGCGCCAGGTGTCAACATATCTTCGTTCGACATGATGGATCTTCATAAGCGTACTGTCTCTGGAAGAAGTATTCTGCGTCCTAATGCTGAGTGGGCCATGACAACACTGGCACAGCAGCTACTGGACAAGCTGGATAATGAGTCTATCAAAGAGAAAGCCAATCTAGCAGGTGGAAAGGCCCAAATACTTGCTCAGCTTGAGAAGTCGCTAAAGAACCTCAACCTCGTGTCCGGAAATCTCGACGGTTTCACAGATCAGCTTCTTACTCTACACGGTGGTATTCACGTTTCGCCATACAAATCTGACACACATCCTCCTCGTAATGACGAAGAAACATCACTTCTCAACGCGTTGCTTGAGTCGGAAAATGGTCACGATGTAACTCCATTTGGAGAAGACATTTGTTCCATCGAAAAAGCTGAGAGGGACTTCAAGCCCGTCACACACGGCCAAGCACGCTTCACAAAGTTCAACATCGTCGATAAATTCGGCCAAGTCGTCTCACCGATTCACACACCAGATGTTATCAATAAGACCAAGCCTCTATATCCTTGCCTCGGCCGCACAATTGCGTGTCAGCCAAATGAAGCCGAAGGTGGAGGCTTCGCCAACAGCGTTGAACTAGACAAAGAGCACTGCTCGCAATTCTTCCAGCTCGGTCATCGCATCAATCAAGACGCAAGACTCAACGTCCAATTCGTCGTAAACTCCGCCGATGTTGATGTGCACCATGAGACAACACAGTTCTTCCGTGGTGATAACGAGTTGGGTAGAGGTCAAACCCACCATGTCTGGCGCCCAACCACAGAGTACGAAGATCCTGTTTGGGGTTGGCTTATGCTTGACTTTCGCACCATGGGTATCCAAGTCTACAACGCAGCGGGTGAAAGTATGGGTGAAGCACTGGTACCGGATAATATCCACGGCAAGGCATACTGGCAGGTTCACTACGCTGAGGGCGACATGTCTGAAGCGGCTAATGAGTCGTCCCAGCTTCAGCAGCTCATGAAGCGCATGTCTGACGCCAAGTTCCTTGTTGGTCTATGGGCTATGCTTTCTGATGCGTGTCAGAATATTTACAACGACCCTTTGACCGGTGATGCGCAGATGCTCAATATGGTGGGACGACCGCTTGCTCTTGTCAATATTGGTATGAACCTTGAGCTTGCTACGCCTGTTATGCAGTCGCAGAGCTATCAGGATCTGCTGAAGAAGGAGGAGATCAAGCTTGATGAGTACAAGTTTGAGGTCCTACTTGGCGACAAGTCAAATCTGCGCGATGGGCTTATCGGCTACTTTCCTCCTTCGCCAGAGCCATCACTACCAATCATTCCCGTCCCTGTTCCGGAGCCTCAAGACCGCGTGACAGACAAACGCCCTGACATCAACTGCGTCTACACCGAATTCGGTTACCCAGGACGCAACATTGTCGCGGGTGATAACCAGAAACCAGACTCCTTTGCCTCACCTAGCTCCAGCAAAGTCTATCTTTCACCTATGCACGTCGATCCCTCTAAGTGCACACTTGATCCCGCCAAAGACTATGACGCAGCTGCAGCTTACCACCGCGGCATCTGGAACCATCCTTCAACTGTTGTCCTCGGGGCTATCGTAGACCCTTACCAGCCCGTCCATATCGCCACGGGCATTCTACCATCTACAACACTGAAGCTTCCCCAGTGGATCATTGATCAGACGCTCAAGAAACTTCGCATACTCTTGCGTGGTGGACCTGTCCTGACAAGATCAGACCTTCCTGGTATCGACACCAGCCTCGAATCATGGAAGAGGCCCATGAATCAGACGACAGCTGAAGCATGTATTCCCGCTCTTACGGACAAGGGCGAGTGGTCATGGCTGCAGCCTAATCTCTCGGCGTATGTTGAGCCTGGAGATGACGATGAGTACTTGCCCCAGTTCGTGCCGTACAACCTGAAGTCGGCGCCTTCAGACTATCCCCTGGAAATGGGTCCGCACACGGTGTTGGAGGGTTTCTACAAGTTCGAGCTGTCGCAGATGAAGCCACAAGCGGAGCTAAAGCCAGGTAATCCGGCGGAGAAGAGTGATACAAAGAAAGAGATGAAACAGAAGTAATTGTTGATTGGGAAGAGGATGAAATTGGATCAACGAATTGCGTTTTTCTTCATTTGCGCACATATGTCAAACGGCGCCAAGTTCAGTTTACATATGTTCTGTTTATATAATACCATGATATATCGTTCGAGTCTCGTGTGGGTAGCTATGGTCCAACTACTTTGAGCCGTGTGAACCCATACATAAGTGTTCATTTTGATCATAGCAAAGCACCCTCCAAATGGCCGTAGCTTGCTCTACGATGCTAGTGAAGCAAGTCCATCACTATACGTCCCAAATATTCTCCTTCATCGCTTAAGCCCATGCCTCTGAAACCAATTCTGATGATGCTCCTCCTCCCACCTCTTCTCCGCCCTTCTCAACGTCGCCGAAACATCCCAAAAATCCCTCCTCTGCGCCACATCCCTCGCCGTCCTCCCCTTATTATCCTTGATCGTCGGATCCGCCTTCCAATCCCTCAATACCCTAATAACCTCCCTCTTCTCATCATCGCCATCCTCCGCAACACTCGCCGCATAGTGTAATGGTGTTCTTCCATCAGTTGTACGAGCATTAGGATCTGCGTGACCATCGTCGACGAGGAGTTCTACAAACGCGGCGGATGAGTAGCGTGCTGCGAGGTGGAGTGGTGTGCGGCCGCCGTTGGCGCGGGCGTTGGTGTTTGCGGAGGAGTCGAGGAGAAGCATTGCTATGGCGAGGTGGTCGCGTTCGGCGGCGAGGTGCAAGGGGGTGAAGCCGTTTTGATCTCGGGTTGAGGGGGAGGCGTGGCGGAGGGCGGCGTTGCAGGCTTGGATATCGCCGTTCCATGCTGCGTCGAGGAGGATTTCTTCGGGGTCTTCTACTGGTGCTGGTGGTCTTGGAGGCTTAGCTTCAACTGGGGTGGTTTGTGCGGGCTTGATGCCTGTGGGCTCTTCTTTTCTCAATGGCGCCTCTGTTGGTTGTGCAGGTTCGGCCTTGGGTGATGGTGTTGGAAGATCGGCCAGGTCATCATCAACCTTGAGCTTCACACCCTTGGGAGAATCTGGAGGAGCTTCACCGTAAATCTGTTGAGCCTCAGGTTTGCCAGCATCTTTCTCAGCCTCCGTTGGCTTGTCCTCCGGTGCCGCACTCTTCGCGGTCTCAATCGTGGGCTCAGTTAACACATCAGACGGCGTCGATCTCGTCGTATCCTCATCAACTGACTTCCGATATCGTCCCACGGGAGGAGGATCCAAGTCTATTGAACCGGCCCTTGACTTGGACCCAGGTTGCGCTGTGCTTGATCTTTGTGCATTCGCAGAATCAGAGGACTGTCCTGGAGCTGGCGGCGGTACTGGGTTGTCGAAGCCTGGCGGAGCTGGCTTCATTAGAGCGCGCCTGGGATCATTGTCAGAAAAGCATCCGTGCAAGTACGTTTGGGTGTGACTTACGAGTAGATATTGACCATGAGCTTGCTAAGAGCAGCCAATTGCTTCTCGAGCTCGCCATCAGCCAACTTGATCTTCTCCTCCCACTCATCCTTGTATTTATAAGAGTTATAAAACTCTTCAAGACCGCCGAACATGGTCCCCTCCAGTCCATCACTGCTAATCTCCTGCAGGAGCTTCGTCATTTCGTCCAGTGCAGCTGTCGCATTCCCGATAGCCTCATCAATCTGCTTTCGCATTGGCTTTGCATCGTCTCCCTCGATGATATCTGGCCGCGCCTCCAGCGTGTTCTGGATCTGTGTGATTGTGTCTCTTGCTGTGGTCGCCTTTGCGGATAGTTCATGAATTTCCTTTGGAGTCTTTTGGAGCTTCATGAACCAGTCCGTCCATTCTTTGGCCGTGTCAGCATGCTTACCCAACGCTTCAATACCAGCGTAAGCGGCTACAGCCTGGGGGAAGTGTTTCATGAAGTCAAAGCCCTTCTTCTTTGGCTCACCCTCTGCGGGCTTCTCGGCGGGTTTGGCCTCCTGTTGTTTTGGAGATTTGACAGAGTGTCTTCGAGAAGAAGGCTGTGAGTTCGCTGTACTGGAATAGCTAGGCCTTCTGCCCTTCGCCGACTCATGCGTTTCATGATTACGGAGTGGTGAATCTCCTCTTGATCGTGGTCTTCCCCGTAGCATGTCTGCAGCCAAATGAGGCGCTGGTCTATACGCTGACGGGGGCGATCTCTTCCCCGCCCCAGGAGGACGTCTTGGCGACGGGGGCGGCTCATAAGATGGACGTCTTCTTGGATCGGGTCGCCAGCTATCAGTCGGATAAGACCTCATAGGCGGACGTGCGACCGCGGGCTTTGGTGAGTTCGGCCATGCTGGTGTCTCCGATCCATGAGGTCGAGGCTTTTGACGACGTTCCGGGGTAGGGGATCGCCTTCGTGATGTAGGCCTACTCTCATCCTCCGACATCCAGTCAGATTCCCTCGTCATACGACGCCGCAGTGCTCGTTGCACAGGCGCAGGCGGAGGCGGTCTCTCTTGAGGCGACACAGATCTGAAGCCTGAGTCCCGGCGCCTTGGTCGCTCATAATAGGATTGTCTTGGGCTCGATGAAGGAGGATATCGTGGTCGCCTACTTTCAGCTTCATAAGATCTTGATCTTTGTGAAGCGCCCGCACCCGGTGGAGGTTTCAAAGGTCCCTCATTCTTTAACGTTGGTGACGGGTGACTTGGCGGGGGTCGGGAGTAAGATGCGCTTGGTGTTCTGAGAGGAGGTCTTTTCGGCGCAGGCGCTGGTGCAGGCTGAGGTTTCGGTCTTGTAGACGACCTCAACGAAGGAGCTTTCTTCGGCATTTTGCTCACAATAAAAATGCCAAATCTCAGTTGCACTTCACAAATATCGCTCAGGTACAAGCCTCTTCTTAAGAAAATGCAGATAAGCTAGAGCTTGATAGCAGCGGATAATTTGCAAGATAAAACAGGCCCCAGGGACGGCATGACGCCATGGCATGCATGTCACAGGCCCTGTAGAAATCCGGGGCATCGAACTAATTGGTTCTGCAACGAAAGACAGGGTGAGCAGTGTGACGTGTCTGCTGATCCACCCTAGACCGGGGGATGATCAGAGACCTTTTTTGAGCGGGCCGTGACGGGGACCAAGGAAAATCGATGTACAATTATATCATGCTAATCTTTACGAAACTATGGTTGGATTATTCAATGGGAAATATCTGGACAGGCATATTGTAGGGCCTTGATCTAGAGATCTTGCAGATGTAATGTAACGCTGGATGCAAGAAACAACTCTAGATACGTCTGTGGCTGTGTTGTTTGCCTGTCGCATGATGGATGGCCTCATTCAAAAGGGTTGTGTTGCCTGCTGCTGGGTTATATCACATGATGCGCAAGTTAAAACTGTATGATTGATGCCTAATCCTGATGAGATGTACTATGTAGTTAGTCATGTAGGACGATTGTCAGCTGCCAAGATCATTATCCCCGGTAGATGATAGAACTAGACTAGGCAGGAGATCGTCTGAGGCATATTTTCGCAAAAGTGTAATAATGGTGGAGAGACCTTTTTATAGATTGCGGTTTATTATCGAAGATTATATTAAGGCGATTAAAGTCCTTTGCTCTATACCGGGGGGCTCATCCGAGCCCATACCCCCATCAAGTCAGCCCTAAAAGCAGAAGCCACAGGAAACGTCCTCTCAACCACCAACAGATTCTGCATGATACAATCCTGCTGCCAACTCTGCCAAGACCGTGCACCAGCAACTCTGAGCGGAAAAAGTACCAGCAACGGTGAAATAGAAGAATTATACAAAACAGTATTGCTATGAGTCAGAATGTTGATGACATGCATTTGTATCTCCTCTTCGCTCAAGTTGGGTGCCACGATCCCCATGTCCTGCCAATATGGTATCTCGTAGTCGAAAACTCCGGAGAGGTAGATACTTGTTGCTGCGGAGAACGCTTTTGTCAAAGATGAGAAATTCCCAGTCGCATTCTCAGCAGTCTGTTGTTTTAGAGGCTGGTCTTTGGCTTCCCAGTCGATGAGAGCTTGTCTCAGATGGAAGCCTTCTTGAGCAACATCAAAAGCGTCGTCGAGATGTTTTGGGAGATCAATAGTATCTGTATCCGAGTAGTAGATAAGGTTCTTTGCTCTGAGATGAAATAATTAGAAAACATGTCCCCTGGCAGTAGGAAGTACTTACCGAACACGAAGTGTTGAGCATGAGACGATGATATCCAAGAGTTCATCCAAAGGATCACTGTTGCCTTGCTCCTTGGCCCGCATCTGCTGTGTGAGACACCTCCAGTCTGATTTTGCGAGGAACGTAGACTCGTTAAATATTATAGCTCGACAGACTTCAAAGATTCGTATTTCGGTGAAGAAGCGTTGTCCATGACCTGATAGGCATGATTTTGGGCCAGCAGCAACAAGGGCTTTGGAAGTGCCGTGGACGAGATGCTGTATCCATCCTTCTCCAGTTGCATCGGTCATAAGCTTCAAACATCAGCCGACGGTATAAATGACAATTTCAAGAAGTGCTCACTTCAAAAAGACCAAGTAGGTGGGTAGTCCATAAAATGCGATGCCGGGCGCTGGGTTCTTGATCAAACTTCTCAAGAGCCTGTCTCAAGCCGAACACAGACTTTGAGTAGTGGTGCACAGCCAAGTTGTAAGTCTTGCTTGACTCTATGCCTTCTGATGCATTGAGCTTGACTGCTTGCATAGCGCCAAGTGAAAGAACAGCATCGTGAAGGAATGTCCCCAACGCTTGATCTTTCATCAAGCTTATAACATCAGTGAAGATGTCCGTCTTGGGATTGCAGTTGTTCCGCCTCGAAAACGTGTCAAAATAGTGAGAAAGATAGTAGATCTGATCACCTGTAGGGTTCATATCCAGCCGGGGAGACTGGCTTTTGCAGGTACCAGCTGAAACCCTAGTAACCATCTTTTTGCCAGACTCATCCTGATTGATCCAAATCTGCTTGGCCTTCTGCTTCTCAAAAGCACACTCAACCCTCCTTCTCAGACAATTACTGCACGGAACACTTCCAGAACACTATGTCACAAGGATCAGCCATGTACGATGACGAATTTTCTCAGTACTTACCTTGAGATGGCTTGCAGCACATGCAAGGCACCGCGATCGTTTCTTGCGTCTATCGAATGGTCCAACCGGCATTTTCACAACCTTCCTTGTCGCGTGGTGATGTGAAGGACGGTGACTCGACAAGGGGAGAGGCTGGGTTTATACTCAAAATAGTATCAATTGAGCGAGATGAGCTTGGCATGTCGCGATACCCTTTTTGGAAACAATTGAGCGACGCTAATGTCGTGAGGAAGCTTTGAGCCAATCATATGCTGAGATTTAGGGCGAGCTGAATTTCAACTTCGTCAGCAAGTACAGTTTGGAGGAAAACGGTTCTTGGCAAATGGGGCTTTTGGGGAAGAGAAATGCCAGTTCGCTTGAACTTAACTTTATTGAGTATGGGTAGAGGCTGTGTTTCTGGAATGATTATGGAAGATCCACGACTTTGGGTTCAAGCCTTACCGACAACGTAATGAATCCTGCGAGCTTTAACATTAGTTTAAAGAATAGTACGAAAACTTCGATGCTACTTCATGATGACTATCTCTTTATCGGAATATAAGATGCCTTTTCTTTCCCTCTCATTACAATATCTCTCACCATCATTCAACCTCATCGACCATCCAGATTCACTTGACCTTCTTTCATTCACTAGAAACTAATTTATTTACTTGACAGCTTCACTATGCAGTTCTCTCTTCTCTTCCTCTCCCTCGTTGGAGCCGGAAATGCCATCCTCCTCCCCAAGCCAAGCGGTCCATACGGCACTGCCCTTCGCATCGAAGGCATGACCGACAAAAGCCGCATCGACCCCTATGACCCCAAGAAAGGTCATCGACAAGTCCTGGCCTCGATCTTCTGGCCCGTCGACTCAGCTTCTTGCTCAAACAAGGTCGTTCCATATATGCCGCCTGCTACAGCCAAGGCATATGGACAACAGGCAGAGCAGTTGGGTCTATCGAATGATACCTTTGCAGCTCTTGAGTTCCAAGTCTGCAAAACTCCAGTTCCTCAGAAAGGATGTGAAAGCGAGAAAAAGTCGTTCCCTGTTGCTGTCTTCTCGCCTGGCGCCGGCAATTCCAGATTGATGTACAGCCTCATGGCTCGGTCGCTGGCTAGTTATGGAAATGTCGTGGTTCTGATTGATCATCCTTATGATCCTCCTGTTGTCGAGTTCCCGGATGGAAAGATTATCCAGGGAGGGAACATCCCTGATGATACTAAATCTAATCAGCAGCTTAGTTCGGTATGTACACCTCTATCGTCTCAAATCACTCGAAGAATTTACTAACTCTTCAAAGGTCAAGGCAAAAGATATCTCCTTCACCATCTCAGAACTTCAACGTCCTACTTTCCAAAAGAGGGTCTTCAAGGGTCTTCCAGGCTCAATCGACAACAAGAAGATCGTTGCTCTCGGCCACTCCCTCGGCGGTGCCAGCTCAGCGGTAGCAATCTTATCAGACAACCGAATCCGCGGCGGTATGGACATGGATGGCCAGATCTTCGAGCCAGCTCTCAGCAAAGGCCTGGACAAGCCATTCTTTCTCATCGGCCGTCCTAACCACAGCGCGGAGGACACTACCTGGAAGAAGTTCTACGCCAAGCTTCGAGGACCTAAGAAGGAGATTGCTATCAAGGGTACTGTTCATGGGTCGTTCACTGATTACCCTCAGCTCCTCAAGGCTCTCGATTTGCCAGAGGCTGTTATGAAGATGGCGGCGCAACTTGTTGGAACAGTTGATGCTTCATATCTTGAGAAGTTCCTTTCCAAGACTGTTGTGGACTATATGAAGATTTGCTTTGCTTATAAGGGCAAGAACTAGATATCCCCTTGCTTCCCTGGGTTCATCTTAAAGGGAATGTGTACGTTACCGGATTATGAGGCCACTGATCATGCTCATATCATTTATTTAACTTTCATTTCATGTGTGCATTTTTAATCATAGATTTAATAGATTCATAGTCAATTATAGATCCGGAGCCTAGTATTCATCATTTCCCAATCGTGCATAGGCTTTAGGCTTTTAGTTCCCAATCTTGACCTGATTCTTGGGTCTGGAAACTGGACCACCTGAAGCACTAACTGCCTCAAAGTCCAGTCATGCCAGGCTGCGACAGGGGTGCGACTATTCAAACAGTATCCAGCAATACAAGCAACGTAGTAAACGCCACGTGGGACAGCCGACCAGCTGAACAATACCATCAACAATTCCCTTATCCCTAACCGCAACAGAAAGCTACGATGGTCCATAGGCCACCTATCTAGTGGGAGGGCCATAATATTCATTGAAGTCGATGCTCAGCTCGGAAAAGAATTTCAGCGGTGAGTTAACTGCAGGGTTGTCAATGTTGTGGTAGTCAACCTCCACAACGACATGGTCATCGCTTGACATATTAGCTTGTATTAACAATCCATTGTACCGCACAGGGTGGCACTTATGCTGTGTAAGCGGTGCAACATGGATCAGGTCTTTAGATCAAGCTGTGTTCTCAGATTACTTTGCTTGATGTTCGAGCATTATGTCGTTATGTTAGATCCTCTTAAAGGGTTAGTCCCCTCTTTTACCCTCTATACTAAAGAAAGAGACTGCACTTTAAAGGGTATCATTACAGGATGTCAAGAGCCTCATAATGGAAGAGAAGTCCTTCCTATGGCAGACTAGGAGGAAATTAAATGGTGTTTGTACATATTCAATAGAGTTCAGGTATTATTGACTTACATAAGGCAGTACAACATATATATACGAAAAATCGAAACAGGGATATTTCCTGAAACTCGTTCTGTTTGTTAGTTTACTAATCAATGCCATCTATGGTACATGTCTACAAACTCACTCTCCATGCTCAATTTCTTCAAAGTTCACGACCTTTCAGCGCCCTCTCCATCGACGTTCAGTAAGGCACAGTATGCCCAACAATCTTCAGTAACCTCTGCTTCAGATACTCATATTACACTACCATAGTCATACATAACTAGCCAATGAGTATCCTTAACAATTTGAAATATTTCTGACATGTGCTGTTAGATCCCGGCCCGGTCTTGGGATTCCAGCTATTGCACTTTAGGCCTAGTAACTGAGTCCGAAAAAAGCCCGACGATGATTGATCCGGACCGGTAATACTATAATCCCCTTCTAGAAGACACAAGAACACACCAAATCCGAACACCGAACGCCGGGACTTAATGTCCATGTTATCTCAGAGCCTCATTGAGCTTAAACATGAACAACAAGAGTCGGCATCACCGGATGACGTAGAAAAAATATGGATTCATTTCGCTTGAAACTTCTCAGTGTTATTAGTTATAAGATACGGTTCTGTTCACGGTAATGAAGCGTATTCTGGTGGTCAATTGTATGATTCAGCTATCAGGCATTAAGGATCATGGCGACTAACTCCAATTCATCACAGAATACCAGCGATGACAACCTTCCGCAAAAAGAGTTCGCTTTCGTTCAAAATGAAAGCAATAAAAGAGAACTTCGAAGCCATGCTATGCGAGAGCATTGGAAGAACAGACGACATACGATCAACGAAGAGAAGCAAAGACGACAGAAGCGGACACAGCATACGCTGTTGCCCACTCCGACGACGCAATCAACAATGTCTGATGAGAACTCCGAGTCCTCCAGCTCAGTAATGAACCTTAGTGCCTCTTCTGACAAGGCGACGATACCTAACGACGAACGTCAATCAGGTCTGGAAGGCATTCCGCATCAGATACTTTCAGGGGTGAATCTGGCGTTGGGGTCCAGCAGGCTTGACCCTTTCGAACAACTGCCCGTGAAGCTATTAATTCAACATCACAAGCTTCTTCATCACTGTGAGTCTCATCAATCCAACAAAACAAACAACTACTTATCCTCAACAGGGTTTAGCGCCCACGCCGCTATGATGTTTGAAGCGCCTTCCGATGGGGCCTTCAATCCTATGCGTGACGTATGGTTACCCCTTGACCTATCCAATCCGGCATCGTTCAATGCACTTATGGCGCTTTCAGCTGCACATCTCTCTTGGATGCAAGGTTTCAGTCAATCAGAAATGGCACTAGAGTTTAAGAGCAAGGCGGTGAAGATCGTTCAGCTCTGGATGCAAGACCCGGAGCGTGCAGTGTCAGAGGATATTTTGGCTGCTATCCTACGTCTTCTGACTTACGAGGTATGTTGAGTCGCCAGTTCCTGATTTTAATCCGAAATACTGATAGCAGGAGGTTTAGAGGTACTGGGGAACCGAGACCGAGTGGATCATCCATCACAAGGGTCTGATGAATCTCGTCGAGGCTCGCGGCGGTATAGCGGCACTCAGCAGTAACTGGAGGCTTGAGCTAACGACCTTCCTGTGGGCCTCTCATTTCTCCCTTCTTTTGTTGAGGTGCTGATATCCCCAGGGTTTCATTGATGGCAAGGCCGACTTGGTTCGATTGTTCCAATCAGATCCAAGAACTACTAATCCATGCTTCGGAGCTCCCATTACATCCCGTCCTGAGCAATGGAAGTAACTTGCGAAAGGTCCGCAGCCTATGGCTCCTTTCGTTCATCCAAGACATGGGCACATTCCGAACGAACCTTCTGAGAAACACTACGGTGCAATACTCGGCGTTCCATGAAGCCATCTTGCTATTGAAGGCTCACCGTCAGGACCACGAACTGGACGCTGGCCGCCCAGAGCTCTGTAGCGATCTGGAATTCATGCGACTTGCCTGTTTGCTATTCATCTGTGTGCTCTTACAGCAGTCTCTGTTTGGTTCCCAAACCGACACAGGAATGTACCAAGATGGGGTCTGGGGCTTACAAAACCCGAATACCTTGGATCTGCTCGACTTTTTTCTTGAGGCAAATAAGCCGTCCTGGCATGGCTCTCTCGAAAATTTGAACAATGTTCTTTTCATTCACTTCATCGCATCGGAAGGGCCAGGATTGGATTCGGACTATGTTCGAAACATGACGGCAGTTATTGCATCTTTGAGTGGCGGAGTTCGTTATGCCGTGGAAAGATGCCTGCTGGAGATGTTATACCGAACAAGTGGCGGTGAACAAAACTTGTTTGAGGAGAAATTTACCCCTGATATCCTATTGTCGACAATATCTGGGCAGTGAAGGCACCTGGACAATTTCATCTGGACTCTAGTGGTTTTGACCCCCAAGCTTGGTCTTCGTGTCTATTTATGGGGCTTATTTGGAGTCGATAGGAATCCCGATGCTTCAGTTAGTTATGGAATGAGAAACGCCGTTGATCGGCTTCAAAGGACCTCAGCTCCCTCAATATATGACTAGTAACACATTCATATGACCCTGGTTGGGCACGAGACTTTGACAGAAGAAAGCTGAGAATGCTCAGGCATGGTGGAGCTTGTGCAAGGGATCTGCAGATTCGCAACATTAGCTATAAATGAGGGTTGCTCCGACAATAGCTACTTCACCCCATGCAAGATCAAGCTCCTTCCGATTAAAGGATCCCTACTGCGAGGCCTAAAGACTAATGCATCAACACGTTGCTAGAGCGCTTCCTTGACAAGACATTCTGTATTCTTAAACCCCTGAAAGGCTACCTTGACCGGATTTGGTAGCACTACTCAACCAATGATCTTCTCGCAAACCTCTGTCACGGCTAAGAAGAGCGTATGATCAAAAGGATGAGATTTTCATGGCTTTTCAACGAAAACCCTGAAATTGGCCGTTGACACTTTGGGGAAATGCGCCGAAACTGTTCAGAGCTGAGAAACCGTTTGTGAGGTTCGTACATCTCGATCTCATCTGGGAGGTTCTCTTAGGATTTTTATTACTTAAAACTGAACCGTGAATACCGCCGAGAATGAACTGGCCGAAACAGAGCATGCTGAAGGTCATAATTAAGGTTTTAGTGTATTTTTTTATCTCATTCGCCGTACGCGTTCATGGTGTGACGAAGCTGGAGTCCACAATCATTGAACAGGCCCATAATTTCGCGAATCCCCTCCAGATTGCCAACATGAAGGTAGTTATGATACGGAAGGATTGTTGAAAATCTTAGACTCCTTTTTGAGCATCGTGTGATATTTATGTTCTCGCTTTGTCACTGCATATATAGCCACAGAACTATAATATACAAACCCCCGCACGGTTTAGGGATGAGCCAGTGTTGATTGATCAGTATTAGCCAACGTCAGCCTCAATGTAGATATTATCAGGATCCTGATAAGAAGCGCCAGGTAAGTAGTTCTTTTTGCCAATAGCCAGCGTCTCATTCTGTCTATCATATCCTCATCACGTAGCAAATTTATCTAGCTTCTACAGATAAAGAGATTCAAGAATTGGCTAACGACTTCTGGGATGTTCTGTGTCTTACCCGTCTTGTTGATCAAGTAGTCTTACCCAAGGCAGTAGTTAGCGGGCCCGGTATTCAGAATCCGGTGATAGCTGGTAATTATTTCCAGATGGATAATTAGTCTATAGACTTACATTAGTTCAAGTAACCCCGTGATATTATGGGACATGGAAGGCATTAGGTTGGCTTCGCCAACAGGACTTCAATTGCCGAGAGTACCACGGAAAGATGATGTTCAGCTGCGAAGGCTAAAAGGTTCATCGTATCGCTTTCTACTCATAAGTCGAATGATTTTCAGTAGAGAGTTATAAGCATAATTATGACAGAAATGTCAGGTAGTTTATATGCTCTCGATATGCTTGTTATTGTCTTTAGTACTTAGGTTCAAACATCTACTAGCATGGCCGACGACATAGCAGACATGATCAGAAAGCATTTACATCATGTTACCAGAAACTCATCAGGGCTACAGGAAGCTTTTAGTTCCTCCATCTTAGTGATAGTCAAAGTCTGGTTGAGCTTTCAACTATAAACTTGCTTTTCTGTTCGTCATTGGCCATGCTTGTGAAGTTGTGGCTTGACTTTCCCTGATCTCAGCTCCTTTACAAACCACCGAGAGCCAATTATCATTACATGTGTACGCGTGAGATACCAATTAATACTCCTTCTGGCATGTTATGTGCATAAGCTCCGGAGACAATGAAACTCTTCAACTTCTGCAACGCACTTTAAGCAGACATGCAATAACGTTACTGGTAAAATAGTCTTTCTAAGCTAGGCAATAGACGATAATGCTCCCTGCTCATCTTTCAGCTAAACTGATCCGAAAGATCCGAAGGTATCTTATCTACGATCATTTCCCATGTTGGGGTAAGAGAGGAAGACCGGGATCACATCTAGGGCTGACAGCTGTAATTTAGCGTATTCGAGAGAGCTACTCATTGGATACGAGTTCCATCAAGGTTTCCGTGCCCCGTTTTGTATATGGCATGATGAGTTCTGGCAAGAGTATTCAGCCAATCGCGTATATTGTCTTCAGCATCAATTGTTATATCCATCAAAGCCAACATAAAGGAGAGCGGAGAACAACATGACTACCAGCAAGCATATAAATGAACTGACGCCAACACCTTGTGGTTTTTAGAACATCAGGACAACACAACTTCACATCTCAATATATCCTCTTACGCCCTGATCTCCACTACTCAACCATGGCTGTCAAGAACGGTGCCTATTTCGACTTCATCGTCGTCGGAGGCGGTACAGCCGGCAACATTGTCGCCGCCCGCCTCGCCGAGAATCCCAATGCCCGAATCCTCGTCATCGAAGCAGGCATCGGAACCTCCAAAGACAACGAGGAGATCCGTACGCCTGGACTCGCCATGGACATCCGAGGAAGTAAATACGACTGGGCCTATAAAACAACCATGATCAAGCGTGATGATTATGAACGCATCGAGAAGCCGAATACTCGCGGTAAAGCCCTTGGCGGCAGTTCGTCACTGAATTATTTCTCGTGGGTGCCTGGCTCTAAGGGAACCTTTGATATGTGGGAGGAATATGGCGGAAAAGAATGGACTTGGGAACCGCTTGTTCCTTATCTGAGAAAGAGTGTGACTTATCATGACGATGCTGGATTGTATCCCCCGGAACTTAAGAAGATTGGTGCAGGAGGGCCAATTCCCATTGCCCACGCAGAGCTTATCCCAGAGATGAAACCATTCCGAGACCTTCTCACCAAAGCTTGGAAATCTACTGGCGAGCCTGTTTCTGAGAATATCTTTGATGGGACAATGCGTGGCTTGGTCCATAGCGTCAACACGATATACAAGGGCAGACGATCAGGAAGCTTTCTTGCGGTCGCGGATAAGCCTAACATCACCGTCTTTCCTGAAGTTCATTCAAAGAGCCTTATAATCGATCACGCAGATCGTACTGCCAAAGGCGTGACCGTTATCACAGCCTCTGGGGAGGAGATCGACCTTTATGCTACACGCGAGGTCATCGTATCCCAGGGCGTGTTTGAGACCCCGAAGCTCCTTATGCTCAGTGGCATTGGACCTAAGGCCGAGTTAGCCAAACATAACATCCCTTTGCTCGTGGACTCACCCCATGTCGGCCAGCATCTTTTGGATCATCCAGGTGTTCCTTTCGTCCTCAAGATCAAGGACAGTTACTCCATGGACAATCATGTCCTGCGCAAGGGCGCTCTTCAAGACAAGGTCATGTCAGCTTACGCCAATGGTCATGCCGGACCCATGGGATCACCTTTTCTCGAGATGATTGGTTTCCCCAGAATTGATTCATACCTCGAAAAGTCTCCTGAATATCGCGCAGCAAAGGCTGCTAATGGTGGCCTTGACCCATTCTGTCCATATGGTCAGCCTCATTTCGAGCTTGACTTTATTCCGCTCTTCGGTAGTGCGTTCCAGTGGCACTTCCCGCATCCTAACAAGGGAAGCTATATGACCGTCATGGTCGACCTCGTCCGCCCTGTTTCCGAGGGTGGTGAAGTTACTCTCAATAGTGGTGATCCCTTGCAACAAGCCAACATTAACCTGAATTACTTCAACAACGACCTTGACATCATCGCTATACGAGAGGGAATCAGGTTCTCTTATGATGTGCTCAAGAACGGGGAAGGGTTTAAGGATATAGTTGAGGATGAGTACCCTTGGGATATGCCATTGCATGACGATGAGGCTATGAAGAGGACAGTTTTGGACCGTTCACAGACTTCATTCCATCCTTGTGGAACTGCTCGTCTCGCCAAGAGCATTGAACAGGGCGTGGTAAACCCTAGTCTTCAGGTGCATGGGATCAAGAATCTTCGTGTTATTGATGCTTCTGTCATTCCTATTATTCCAGACTGTCGTATCCAGAATTCGGTTTATATGGTGGCTGAGAAGGGTGCTGATGCGATCAAGCGTGATCATACGGATTTGTACAATTAATTGATTGGGATTCATTGGAAGTCTCAACCTACCTAACTAGTCAACAGCTATTCGACATAAGTCAAGCTTTCCATTTAGCTTTGCAGTTATAGCTCAGGAAGCCCATATTATCCGAATATTTCGCGTTGCTACAGTTCTGCTATTCAATGTTCTCACCTGGGTGATTAATGCAAATAAGCTTTATCGTAAACCGTTCAATAAACGACCATGATCATTTGAAGGTTTAGGGACTTTGGTAGTTAAATATATTTGCATTGCAAGTCGACAAATGAAGAATATTCATACTCCCTTCATGATGTAACAAGCATTGATCAGCATGTTTGCCGTTGCCCGCGGAAGGCCGAGGTTAAGTGCCGTATAGAAACTCGAGTCAGGTGTCCAAGCCCCAGAGTTTGAATTACCCTATATCTTGCAAAAACCATGAAAAACCTTATCACGCAAGGATGTAATGCCAAGCAATGCACCTACCACCTGGTCATGAAAAAATGACATCATATCAAGATAAGCTCAGGGGACAAATAACCCATGTCAATTGGCGATTCCGTAAAACTGGTTCAGTCGCGCCCGACCGCGTTTTATAGACGCGATAGGGCATGTCGTGTTATTCACAGCACAAATCAGAGCTGAGAAACAGAGGAAATTCAAAGCGTGGGCATCCGCCTCTAGCAGTTTTCTTAGTGCGATTGGTGCCTGGACCCTGATGCCTGGTTCGGAAGAGTTACGCCAAACACCATTGGCTATACCGAAACCATCGCCACCCCCAGAAGAGCTTGCATCGAAGCTCAAGGGGGTAGGAACAAAATAGAAAGCTCACTAAAAACTCTCTTTCACTCTAAGCATTGGCGAACAATCTGGATCTTGAGCTCTCACCGTCATCGATGCAAAACATCTTCAGCCCTGTATGACGCGTCGCCAGCGCCTTGTGACTCTCAATTTTTACGAGCGGCAATTGAATGCGACAACTCTGGTTTAATGGATCAATCAAGTCTCTAATTGGTGCACCGGTCCCAATTTTTATTTAGATTGGCTTTTTTCGAGCACGGTTAAAACGGCGCCCGGGTGAACGGCTTCAGAGAGAAAAAGTTAGTTGCCAGGCGACGTCCGCAATTGGAGGATGCGTATACGAGAAAAACAGGTTCTCAAGCGCGATTAGCAATGGGAAATGCCGGATTGGAGACGGCCAGAGGTCTAGATCTTACGGGATACCGAAAGAAGAAACGAGAGAACAAAGGAGATGAGAGGGAAGAAAGCGAGGGCAGAGGTGAGAAATCTTGTTTGCTGTCAAAAGGCTAGCAACGGCTTCATGCTACTGCAAGCGGGTCGGATGTCCGCTTCCACGAGAACGAGTCCGCCTCCGCGACGTCGAGTCGGTGAAGAGTCGACATGTTCTGATTCGCTTCTTTCCGAAATGACAGATGTACTATGCGCCATTTGCATGTAACCAATTCACATGCGAGAAGGGTGGTGGTTTCATGACGATGGTATACCGTCTTGAGCCTAGATCCATTTCATGCACTGCCACTGGCCCCGATCCCAAGACGCTATGACCATGCCAAGACGGCTACGCCCACGTCAAAATGCTTATTTCGAGGACCTTATTTTCCGTGCCTTTTTTTGCGAGGATGCAACGTGAGATTTCAGGGTCCAAGTCTTCAAGGATGGCTCTCTCTCTCTGAAGCTTTGATAACGTGGCAGGTAGTCCAGGAGCTCGGGAACTGGGTCGTGGCTCGTTTCAGTGGTGCTCGTTCCAAAAGTTCCCTTGACAAACGGCTTCTTCCAACACGGTTAGTCAGGGCCACCCACGTCAGCCAGATCCCTTTTTTTTCGTCTCCTCTTTCCTCAAGTCCCAGCTCGTGCAGAACAATATGAGCCAAATACTTTGCGCACACCAACAATAACAAAAACTGTGGAGTCGGGGCTGAGTCCCACGCTGTGATATCACCAGCCAGCGACCTAGCTAGACAGACTAACCTACCTACGGCACTCATTTCCCCTCCCCTTTTGCGCCCGTCAGCTTTGACCCCCCCCTGGCTTGTAGTCCCATACCAGCACCTACCATCAACCACACGATATTATCGCTGGCGGAGGATGTACACCTCTTGTATAGCTTCACTTGTAACTACAATTCACACGTTTCGGCAGGAGCTGCGGTATTTTATTACGAGCGCTTGTTTCGATGGGTACCTCTATTTGGGAAGAGGCCTCGCGAGAGATGATCACGGGTTTTGGAATTGTCTAGACCTCGTTGTTGGTTCTGTATTAATACCACTCGTAGCTGTGCCTCATACCTGACTTCTCACATCTTCTCACACTGATTTTCTCTCTGTGCTTATTGCAAATCTTCTCCTCCTTTAAGCTCCGTCGTGGGACTATCCGTCAACATGTCTGATCCTGACATCCGTGGGACAAAGGAGTCTGATCCTGAGGCTCAGATCCAACGCATCACCTTCCAAGACGGTCCTGAGCGCGGCCGTGAAGAAAACGATGCACACCGCCTCGGCCGCACCCTCTCCCGCTCCCTATCCCGTCGCCGTTCACACTCAAGTTCTCGAAGCCGTATCCATCCTACCTCGCCGTACTCAGGTGTTCAGATCGAATACCGCACGCTATCCATCCAAGTCACCGAAGCGAAACAAGTCGAGCCCACCGAAGATTCAAAAACAGCGGGTCAGAAAACAGACGAGGATTACTTCTCGAAACTGCAGTACCATGAACTTCAGACGGAGCAGTTGTGTCAGCAGCTCAATGTTAGTGTTGACGCTGGTCTTTCAGAGAGTTCTGCTGCAACGCGTCTTGAGCGCGATGGAAAGAATACGCTGCCTCATCCTAAGACGAACTACATCAAGAGAACGCTAAAGTACATCTTTGGTGGTTTCTGTTCGGTTCTTTGGATCGGTGCCATCATCTTCTTTCTGTGCTGGCAGCCCCTCAGCAACCCTCCCTCGAACCAAAATCTATCCCTTGCCGTTCTCATCCTCATCGTCATCTTCCTCCAAGCTGGCTTCTCCGCTTTCCAGGATTGGTCTACGGCCAAGACTATGAATGCCATTCTTGACTTGTTGCCCTCTTTTGCAATGGTCAAGCGTGATGGAGAGCTCAAGAGTCTTCCTACTATTGGACTTGTCGCTGGTGATGTTGTTCATCTCAAGGTTGGCGACAAGGTTCCAGCTGATCTTCGAATTGTTAGCCACTCTGGTGACATTCGTTTTGATCGATCGGTCCTCACTGGAGAGTCTGATGAGATCGAGGGTGCTGTTGACGCAACTGATGCCAACTTCCTCGAGAGTCGCAACATTGCCTTCATGGGTACTACTGTTATGAACGGTAATGGTGTTGGTGTTGTTATCCTCACTGGTGGTCGTACAGTCATGGGTCGCATCGCCACTTCAACATCCGGCGTCAAGGACTCAGCTGCTCTCATCCAGCGCGAAATCACCCGCTTCGTCCTCATCATCGTCTGCATGACCATTGTCCTTGCCCTTGCTATCCTCCTCACTTGGGTCGGTTGGCTTCGCGTTGATCATCCCGCCTACATGAGTGTCCCAGCTATGCTCGTCAACGTCATGGCATGTGTCGTCGCCTTCATCCCAGAGGGTATGCCCGTTGCTGTAGCCCTTACACTCATGATGATCGCTCGCCGCATGAAGGCAGTCAATGTCTTGCCCAAGGGTCTATCAACTGTTGAGACACTCGGCTGTGTCAACGTCATCTGCTCCGACAAGACAGGTACTCTCACACAGAACCAGATGTTCGTCAGCTCAGTTGCCTTTGTGGACAAGAAGTTTGATTCTTCGGATGAGTTCCAGCACTTGCTTCATGGCAAGGATGTCAGTGAGCCTGCTACTGCTCTTCAGCGTGCTGCCCTTCTCTGCAACGATGCATCCTTCGATCCTACCACCAACCATCTTCCCCTCCACGAGCGTACCATCCAAGGTAACGCCACTGACAGCGCTGTCTTCCGCTTTGCTGCCTCTGGTCCTACCGGTGATAGCTTCAGGAAGACACTCCCTCGTATCTTTGAAGTACCATTCAACTCCAAGAACAAGTGGATGCTCACAGTCTTCCAAAGCGACGATGAACGAGGTGCCTATCGCGTCATCATCAAGGGAGCCCCCGACATTCTCCTCGCTGGATGCACCAAGTACTGGTCTTCTGAGTCCAACTCCATCGAGACACTCACTCGCGACGCCCGCATCAAGTTCCAAGAGATCCAAGATGAAGCCTCGCGTCGCGCCGAGCGTGTCATCGTCTTATGTGAGAAGTTCATCACCCCCCGCGCCGTTGCTGGAACAAACAGTTTCAGTGATGAGATCACCCACTCTGCTATCCAAGACCTCACTGTCGTCGGTATGCTCGGCATTATTGATCCTCACCGTCCTGAGATCCCTGCCACCGTTGAACAGTGTCGCCGTGCTGGTACTCGTTTCTTCATGGTTACTGGTGACTACGCCCTCACAGCCGCTGCCATCGCTCGCAACACTGGCATCTTCTCTTGCCAACAAGACCCCGACACCATTGACACCCTCTACGCTGGTACTCCTACCACTGAGAGCGAGAAGCCTAAGCGGAAGGCCAGGAAGGGTGACCGTGCTGAGATCATCAAGCGAAGCTTACTTCTTGAAGGTGCCAACCTCAGCAGATTGAGTCAAGAGGACTGGGATGTTGTCTGTGCCTACGAGGAGATTGTCTTTGCGCGCACGACACCTGAGCAGAAACTTCGTATCGTCACTGAACTTCGAGAGCGCGATAACGTTGTCGCTGTCACTGGCGATGGTGTCAACGATGCTCCCGCCCTTCGAGCCGCCGACGTGGGCGTCGCTATCGTCACCGGTAGCGACGTTGCCATTGAAGCTTCTGATCTTGTCCTCCTCGATCGCTTTGACTCCATCATCGATGCCATGCGCCTCGGTCGTCTCGTCTTCCAGAACCTTCAGAAGGTTATCTCATACCTCCTCCCCGCTGGTAGTTGGTCCGAGATCTGGCCCGTCATTCTCAACGTCTGGTTCGGTGTTCCTCTCCCGTTGAGCGCATTCCTTATGATCATCATTTGTGTCTTCACCGATCTGTTCCTCAGTCTCTCCCTCATTATGGAGAAGGAAGAGTTCGATCTTCTCTCCCTTCCTCCCCGCAATCACAAGCGCGACCATCTCATCAACGCCAAGATCTACACCCAAGCTTACCTCTTCACTGGTTTCATGGAGACCATCACTGCGCATTCCATGTTCTTCCTCTACATGTGGAAGTACGCCAAGATGCCAGTCTCAGAGCTCTTCTTCCTCTTTGAAGGGTACTCTGAGGGTTATCGCGGCTACACCAAGGATCAACTTACCAAGTTCAACAACACTGGACAGTGTGTTTACTTCGTCACCCTTGTCTTCCTTCAATGGGGCAACATCCTCGCCGTGCGAAACCGTCGCTTGAGTATTTTCCAAGCCAACCCTCTCAGCAAAGCTCATCGCAACCCATGGTTGATCCTCAGCATGCTCATCAGTTTATGTATCGCCATCTTCGTCACCGAAGTACCAGGCATTCAGAACCTTTTCGACACTGAGTCTGTGCCGATTGAGTTCTGGTTCATTCCTATTCCTCTTGGATTGGGTATTCTTTTGGTCGATGAGATCAGGAAGTTCATCGTGAGGACGTATCCCAAGTCTTTCGTGGCAAGGATTGCATGGTAAAGTTTTGGAGTGAGCTATTGCAACAGCGGGCTATTATTAGTCATATAAAGAAAATAAAGATTTTACATTTTCAAGATACGTTTGATCGACGTCACAAAGACGTCGCTTAGCCCCGTTTAAAACCGCCAAGTGTCTAGAAGTTGGGTTACCGTTCCGCTGTTTCGATGGCCCTTTTCCTTTGCTGGCGAAAATCCACTGAATTTCCAATTGACCCATAGAGTTTAGACATGATTTCCCTGCCGCTCACGCGACTCAAAGGTCCTTGCACTGAGGCCATGGTTCTCACTAGCGCTCAGCTGAAGATAGGGCTGTCGAGATGAGTTGTCACTAACTAAAATCCTACACAGATCGACGCCCAAACCATCCATCACCCAAGATTCTGGAAAACGTTGGGCTGAATAGTGGGCATAAGAATGAACTCTGCTGACATTCTTCTCCACAAGCCCAGTATAATTCTTCCAGAGAGTTTCATCCAATACCGAAAATACGGGATTTCATAGCCTTGGCAGACCCGCTCCCCTAAAGCTAAAGGTCCGAGAGCGCCCCTGAGCCTAGGGTCGGCAATTAAAATTCCCATCAATGCCGGACAATCATTCAACGCTCAATCAATAATTTATTTTTGACAACAAAACCATATCATCAAATACGAGGTGTCGTTAACATACACGCAGACACAATGTCTGCTATCCTCAACAAGATACACACAGCGCCTGCTGCAACGGCCTTTCTATCAATCGGTCTATTCCAGGGTATCACCGTGACACTTCTGCAGAGGTAAGGTTCATATGGTTGTCGCTATTTTCACCGCTAACCTCGAATTGCAGTGTTGTCCTTTTACAATGGCAGGAATACGCTAGACCTACAGTCATTCAAGTCCCGCGAGGCTACAGCATTCCAACTAATTTTGGCATCTTTATTCTTGGCTTTATTTTTCATCTGTTATTCATGTGGGATGCCATCCGGTTAAGGAGTACAGCCCAAGCTATGCTGGCGTGTGTGGTCAACGCCGGCTTTTTACCCCTTGCCATTTTCCAGCGACGGGATATCGAAGATGCCATTGAATCTTTCAAGGAATCAACAGACACGAATGGCGATCATCTGGTCAATACCGACATGGATATTTGGCCTCTCATTGGCAAGATTCTACTGGTGATTCCTATCATCATCGCCGTCTGCACCTTGATTCTGCCAATCAGTGTTTGGTATCTGAAGCAATACTTCTCATGGCAGTCATATCGTAATGTTGGTGCAGATGCTAAGATGAGAAAGATTCGAATTATTCACCATGTATGTCCATTACTCGACATCGCCGAGCTTGAGCTTCGCTAACCTAATGATTAGATCTTTGTCATGCTCGCCAAAATGGATATTTACTTCATCGTCTGCTTCGAAATGATCTTCTGCTTTCCCGTTCTCGGAGGAATCCGCAATGGAGGCGACTACTTCATCATCAACCTTGTCCTTCTCGGTATTGCAGTCGCCATCATCTTCGCGTCTATAATGTTCAGCAAGTCAGAGCACCGCGTCGGCATGTGTTTCTCTATTGCCATGTATCTTGCAATGCTTGGCTACTTGCTGTATCTGGTCATCTACGCACAACTAGACAGCAGGACGAGAACCGGAGGTTCGATCAACTCTTTCACCGCTTTTGGTTGCATGAGTGTTGTTTCCATCTTTATGACGACAATATTCGCCATATTATGCCTTAGAAACTTCTTTGGAGGGTTGAAGGAGCATCTGGGGAAGCACGAAGAAGCGTGGGATCCTCATGGAAGTGCCAAGGACTTTGAACTTGATAACGACATCAACTTTGAGTATAAGAGCGTACCGAGCGTTCGAGATCTGGATAGCTGATACATCCAATATCTGAGGAATGAGATGCTGGCATCGAGCAAAGAAAGAGACAAAGAAGATGAGAACAGAGGCTGGAGAGGCCTACCTCGAGTATTTTCTCGTCGACGAATGGTAGGGATGGTTAAATGCTTCCAAACAATAATTCCATAGAGGAGCACGTCATGTTATCTATATATATATGTAATCTATAGAAGTAATACATTAATAAAGACTTGAATATCGCCCACGGGGCTTCATTGACTCGGCCTTCTATGCGGCTTGCCAAATGTACCCAAAGAAAGAACTTGAGGAATGAAGTGCTAAAAATACCACACGCGACCTCCATAGCCAAGTGCATGAAACACCCTAATACGTTTCAAGTTGGTCTCTTTTTAGTTTCTCTCCTCTTTTTGGAACCTAAACCCGATAATGCGGATTCTTCATCGTGAAGTTTCGGGATTAACATCCTCAAAGGGCTGTTATAACCGCACTTTTGCCGCTAATAGCTTTCCTGGGTATCTAATTCCAGCCAGTCTTGTGTCTATAGCATGGTGTTTGGATACAACGATGGGGTCTATATCCATACGTAGCGCTAAAATATAATAACCGTATAACGAAAGACAAAGGGATCTTAATTACGATTTATCTATAGGAGTCGATTGGGATTTAATCTGGAATATGCAAGGCACTGATTTCAAGGTTGGTTGGCAGTAGAGGAAAGCTTGTAATATATACTCCGTACTCCCATGGTTTGATCCATCGCCTCCTCCCTTCTGGCCAAGAGACCCTAAAGCGGTCAGTCTCTCTCTGCTACCCAATCAAGGCGTGAGAAAAACCATAAGTACTGTACTTGAGATCGTATTTGTGGCCCGTGCGGTTCTCTTTCCCCAAAGTCCCTTCTACAGCTCGTATAGGTAGATTAGACGAACTACAATAGGAAATGATAGTCAAGGTAGCGATTCAACACGCTGCTCAAGGTGAGTTTGGACTCGAAAGTGATTTTGTAGTACAACCCTGAGGTTGAACTGACGATTTCTCAACGTTTCGACATGATACAAGCAATACCGCAAGCTGATAACGAAAAAGGTAACTGAAGGCTTCCTGCATAAAGCCCGATTATGTAGGATATAGATTCATTTGGTAAATATCATCATGTATTCTATGTGAGTCTCCCAGAGACGTGAAAATATTGCAATGCGATCAATCAATCGCTTGAAGTCATTGACCTTTTCGAACCTTGCTCATTGCCATGACTCATAGCTTGTCTGCCCAGCCACTAAGCGGGAGAAGAATTGGTCCTCGGAAGAAAACCGCCAAACATTACTAGATGGCTCACGAGGAAGCCCTTAGCCTATACTTAGTAAGTGTAGCACAAGGGACCTTTGGTGGTGTCCATCACATCTCCAACAGTAAGGTCCTCGTCAATACCGTCCATAATCAAAACGTCGTCCAGGCTAACCTCGTGTTGCTCAGTCTGATTAATGTTCTTGTAAAGACCGTTATACTCAGTAAGTCTGGTAGAGTTCTCCTTCTGCCACAACCACCAGAGACGATCAATCTGAGCATGGTGCAAGAAGAAGAGAGGCTCTGCAACCTGTTACATATTGGACTCAAAGCATGCAATGGATCACTAACCGTTGGGAGAAGTAGTGGGGTTCATCTCTCCACCCAGAGAAGCGTGAATGCTACCATGAGGTCCTCCCTCCAGAGACCAGGAGTAGTAACTCCAGTTACCAGAGGCTTGAACCTCCTTGACTCCTTCAGGGCCAATGATCTTGGCCATGATTGCGTATGCACCAGGCTCGGTGACTTCGGGCAAATCGCGATGCAGACAATGGCCGCCATCAGTCAGCTTCCTGGGCTCGGTCTCGAGGTATTCGGGTCGTAGTTTTGCAAACGGGCCGTCGGTGACACACTTGAGTGTACCCCCAGAGGCAGTCTTTTCGGTCTTATCAGAGTTTCCGTTGCCACCGAAGCCGTTTTTGGATGCCATGACCGGGGAATGGCGAAGTCCTTCTGCGTCCTTGGTCCAGTCCCAGTAGCTGAGTGGTCAAAGTCAGAGAATGTTGAGTGATAGTTTAGCATTGTACTCACGTATAAGGACCTTCATAACCGCAGTCACGAAGAGCTCGCTCGTAGACTACACCAAAGTATCTGTGCCAAGGGAGGAAAGGAGAGCCACCATGGACTGTAAGATGATATCAGCAAAGAGGCGTGAATGAGTAGCGTGAATGAGTACTCCAAGAAGAACTTACTCCAACTGTTGAGCTTGAAGTGAAGATGAGGGAAGTCATCATATAAGCTCGACTTAAGACCCATACGAGAAGGCTTAGTCTTGAGGCACAGAACAGCATCGATATAGCCCTTCTGATCAGCGGGGTCCAGCTCCCGCCACTCAATTCTCTTTGCAGGATTCGAGCAAGTCTTCTCAGACTTAGAAGGAGCAGCGATGGCTGGGGTGATGACGCCGGCGAGGGCTAGGATAGAAGTGAACTTCATTTTGAACTGATAAACAAGCGACTGTGAATGTTTCTGTCTAACGAGAGAATACCAAATCAAGAGCGAAGATAGAATTAATATTTCTACCTAAAAAATGGGAGGCGGGAGGTTTTGTCTTTCTTCCAATTCGTCTATCCCCTTTATCTTTTACGAGATTCATGTTCAAGGGCCTCATACTGAAGCCTCGCCGAGGCGCTATGTCGCGCTCACGGACCATCAGGGGTATGCTTGGCAAACAAGCCATACGAGATGATTTTCATGCTAGGTCACCGCTAAAACACATTCTGTTACAAGCGACGGCTATAAAATGGGACTGGATCTAATTCTGTTTATAGTTCTCGGAGTAATATCAGATGAGACGATTTAGTGTCGAGGTTAAAAGTGCAAATCCCGGCATCGTATAAACAAGGTCAAGGTTTTAAAGCAGCGGACTGGCGATAAATCGGACCTAGAGGATAGATGACCGAAATTTCTCTTTCCACGAATAAGAAGTTGCAGGATAGAAGTATACGAAGAAAAGAGCCTTGGCTCAGAGATGTTGAATACCACTTTGACCGTATAAAACCGGACCTCTCTGCGGGCAAGGCTACAAACACAGACGTTTGAGGAAGAGTTCTACTTCCGAGCACCCTTGATACCAGCCAGACGACGTTCAGTATTCTTCCGAGAGTTGACAAAATCGGGGTTCGACAGCGTCAATTCCAGACCGCCAGATATAATATTGTCAACAGCCTCTACACCTTGCATGAAACTATGACAGAAACTATTAGCTCATCATACCTGTAATGTTGGACTATCAGTTGCCTACCTATGGTCTTGGTTGCCGACCTCATACTTCCAGGCTCCAAAACGGCCTCGAGATAGGATATCCTTGTCATATAGATAAGGCAAAGCTTCAGAGAGAGCATCGTCTCGCTCAAGAGTGGGTGTTGGATATCCATGATCGAAGCGACGGACATACGTGCTAACGATTTCATCCTCAGGCTTGAGTAAGTCGGTGTTGATCAGACCTTGAATACTCTCTTTGAGCAAAGTAGCCTGGTCAACGGGCTTGTACGAAGATTCTGAGACTTCAAGCATGATTGACCAGTATGGACCAGAGGCTGGTTCTGAAGAAGCAGGCCTGTCACCATTGGCAAGTTGCTTCGTGGCGAGTTTGACATCTTCACTGGGTTGATTGTAGGGTGAGTAGTTGGAGAAGATGGTAGCTCGGTAGAATGGGGCATTGTCTTCGGGGAAATACAGCTGTTACTCTGTGAGCATCAAGACATCAAGGGCTTTTCATGGCCGCTTACCCAGCACTTGTCGCCAATACGATCGGGCCGTTTTCCACGAATTCCAACGCCGATAACATTGGTGGAGGAGTAATACAGGGGCTTGAGCGACTGTTGAAGTTTGACGTCGCCCATTGACTCGGCGAGTTGATCGATTGCCATGGTGGAGATGAGCGCACCATACTTGATAGTTGTTCCTGATACTCTTATCAGCAGAAATCACAGTATCGGAAGAAGAGCTGTTTACCATCTTTCAGATAGACAGTCTTGGCATCAGCGTCGACTTTGATAACAGCACCGTGTTCACCAAACCGAGTCTTGCTTTTATCAAGAGTATCCGCAACAGCAGTCCAGATCCCTCCCGTTCCTCCACGAGCAGGGAAGCGGAATGTAGCATTAGGGCCCCATCCACCAGCCGCCTTACCAAGAATAGCGTTGGTGGTCACAAGCTTAACGTTAGGTGCGGCAACACGCTCTCCAACCCAAGTAGAGTTCATCTATACGAGTTAACCAAGATCTGACACGCGCTATAAATATACGTACCTTAATTGTAGGGATGGCCCAGACTTTGAAGTTATAAGGACGCATGAAAATCTCATTCAGCCTCTCACCAACGTTGCGAATGTTCCACTCGTCAAAGTTGGCTGGTTTATCAGATGAGGAACGCACACGAGCTTGAATGGCTGCGTCGATGAGATCGCCGAGGCAGCGGGCTTGTTCTTCCTTGGGCAGAACTGCGATGTTATTCTGGAAAGGATATGGAACCCAAAGACCTTGATAACGGACATACGAGATGCGCTGATGCTCGTACCAATCGTCTGGCTTTGGAAGAGCCTCGTTGATAACATCGTCGAAGTACTTGTAGTGGGAGAAGATGACGTGACCGCCAACATCGAAGAGCTATATGGGTAAGTTTTGGGATGCTAGTCATGGAACGAGGGATACATACGAAGCCTTCGGGTGTCGTGTCAGTCGATGCAAGGCCACCAGGTGTTTCGTTAGAGTCAACGATGAGCCAGTCGACACTGTTCTACAGAAAAACTCAATACGACGTGTCGATTGTTAAGGAGGGGGAATATACCAGATGTTGAAGACGTTTGGCTGCTCCCAGGCCAGTTGGGCCAGCCCCAATGACGAGCACGTCAACGTTGCTGCAAGCATGCCAAGTTAGATCTCCACGGTTCTCGCTAATGGGTTGACTTACATTTCCTTGGTTGTCATTGTTATCCTAATTTGTTGCTTAGAGAGTATCTTCTACAGAGAGATTTGGAGTTCAGTTTCTTCGGGAATTACTTGTTTTATGTCCTGTGGCCAATTAAATCAGTATTGAAGGAATTAGAAGGATTCTCATATTCGTGGTCTCATTTCGTGCTTAATGTGTTTGTCTCACATCACCTCAAGATAGGATCAAATTGCGACATGTAACTCGATTGGTAGATCGGTTGTGCAAATCTGGTAGATCTGTTTCTAATTTTAGTTCAGTTGTCTTGATAAGGATGAATCCTTTAATTTACTGGAGTGGCTGAGTCAATGTCCTCATTTAAAATTCCCTGCTTTGAAACAGACACGCGTAAGTCATCTACCCGATAGGAAGCGTGGTGACGGTAACAGGGCTATTGACCTGAATTTTATTTTAATCTCGTCATGTCTGTTACTTGAGCTTCCTATTGTAGTTGATAGCCCCTTTCATGGGTGCATTGGAAGCCGGAGTAACAGGCTCTTGGATAGAGGGATCGCGTGGGAAACGATGGAACAAAGACCCTTCCTAAAAAGAACATATTCGGGTATTAAGCGCAGCGGTACGAGTGCTCGTTGCACCTTCTTCATTTCTACTTGGTCCCGGAAGACCCTTAGAGTCAAGCTCCGGTTTATCGAAACGTGATGTCCCCGCCACATAGGGATCTCAAACTGTTGAATACTTACTGTAATTGACATTTCAAACTCAAATATCTCTCAATGTTCCCTCCATCTCTGTAGTAGATCATCATATCTGATATCGAAAGGCCCCCCTGACAACGGGGCTTTTCTATACATCCTAGGAATCGCACTATAAAAGAGGCTTTGTGGTAAATGTCGGTTGACTGCTTAGAGATGGCTCACGAGCAAGATGGTTGGTCATTGATGTGATGAATAGTGTATTTTGTGAAGTTGCATGGGGGTTGAAAATGGCCAAGCCACAACACCATTTAGCCAGTAAGATGTGTCGAGATCCACGCATATGCGCAGAACTCATACGCGCTAAATCGTCCTGCTGATATCTCATATGCTTTTCTCCAGAACAGAATGTCGCATCTTTATCCTTTATTCTCATAAAAGTCTTTCTGAGATGCTGGATAAACTCTATCTGCTTTCTAAACAGACTGCATTCTGAAGATCACCACTGTCCACCTAAACACTATATTAGCATCTCATTCAGCACAAACAACAGCGCTACATCTTTATTCACTGTTTGATTATTATTCGGTAAGTTCGTATGCTCTTGTCATCCCTCTCTTCGCACCACGGGTATAGTGACCATTTTTCAGGCCTCAAACAAGCCTTGGGTGATGCTATCAAGCAACATCCAAGCCTAATCGTTGTTGGCACTCCCAAGCCAGCGATAAGCGAACCCCAATGGGACTTTTCGCTTCAGATAACTACTGGCATACTGATTGGGATCAATATCTTCACTCCGAGACGTTTCTTGAAGACGTCCCCCCTTTGGTAGGTTAACGACTCTTTAGCACATTTTCTTTCCACAAACATTGTTTGAATTGGGGACTTGATTACATCATGGAGGCATTTGGTCTCGCTGGTTCGGTCATCCACCTCGTAGGCCTTTGTCGTGGCATCACAGATGCCGTTCAATACCTTCATGCTCGGATAGATTCGGAGCACGGAGATTATCGCCGGTCTTTGCGAGAGCTTCAAGAGGCGATCGACCATACCCGGACGCAGGTCTCCAAGGCCAACGACATCATTTCTGCGGGGCTTGAAGAGAACTATAATCTTGCTACCAAGCAAGCTGTTAAAGACATTGGTAGTGCAGTGCAGTCACTTGATGGGGTTTGGCACGATACTGGTAAAATTCCCTCAAGAGCGGCAACTTGGGGAACTCGTCGACGAAGGCCTTCGCACATTACTATCAAACGGTGGCCAAAGGTTACGAGGCTGTCACCGCACGCTGCAATTCCTGTGGATGATTTAAACTTCATCGAAGATATATCTGGAAGAATTTCCGAAATCGCACCTGATCCGCCATTTTACGATTTCGGAAATTCTTCCAGGTCGATCTTCGACGAAGCTGAAGCTATCAAGTCTGGAGGAACGTCACAAGTGTTTCGAGTCAGAATTCACCTGGGTCACATTGACTATGGAGGTGAGGGGAAGAAAGAAGTCGCCTTCGCTGTAAAGAAGATCAACGGGACTTTCCAAGACTACGCTCGTGAGCGAGACGCCTATCAACGACTGAGTCTTGCGCAAAACCCGCATCCCCATATTGTCCCCCTTCTCGCGACTTACAGAATGGAGGGCAAATACCATTTTGTCTTTCCTTTTGCAAATTGCGACCTCGCTATGTATTTGCGACACCAGCCTAGACCAAGCAATGCGAAGCGCAGTCTTGAGTGGTTCGGAGGTCAGATGAGAGGGCTTGCGGATGCTTTAACCACCGTTCATGGACGTTACCGAGATAGTCAACAGGCACAACGGGGCATATATGGCGTCCACGGCGACATCAAACCAGAGAACATTCTGTGCTTTGGCTCTGATGATAGATGGACGGCATTCGCTCTTACGGACTTTGGATCTTCGTACTTTTGCACAGCAGAAGAGAAGGATATCCCCAAGGGCCTTAAACATACACCAGTCTACCGTGCTCCCGAAATCGACACGACCGGGGGCATTACACAGGCCTACGATATCTGGAGTCTCGGCTGTGTCTATGCGGAAGCAATCACCTGGTTCTTGGAGGGAAAAGCTGGCATGGCTAAACTGATCGAGGCTCGGCTGGATGAAGAAGACAACAGTCCAAACCGAGATGCTTTCTTCCGGTTGAAGTACGATAAGCGAGGTGGCCTCACGGCGAAACTCAAGCCTGAGGTGCAAAGAGTAAGTCATCCATGCCTCTATCTTTATCTTCGGATAAATTCTAATCTCTATGAGTGCATAGCTTCTTATTTCCCTTCGTGGGAACTCTCAGTCAACCCCCTTCATCGATGACATGCTCTATATCGTCCTGGAAGGGATGTTCAAGATCAATATGAACGAGAGAATGTCAGCTCGGGAGATCCTCGATGCCCTGACCCAGATGTGCATAAAGTTGGAAAATGATCCAGCCTATTCTGAGCCCCGAGGTGGAAATCCAGACAGACTCATGGGAGTCCCGATAGAAATGGTAGGAACACGCCATTCTTTAACTTTATTCGACAACTGTGTGAAGTAACTCACTCACACATATATAGGCATTCTCTTATACTCCGTATTTCGCGGCAAGGAGTAATTCGCTAACGACTTCGCGATTCCAGGTCCACACCAATCAGAATGCCAGTCGACAGCGGCTCGATAGAACGGTCGATGCGAATTACTATACCAACACAACAACCCAGAGTTTAAGTGATGCTGCCACTCAAATCGGCCTGAAGCTTCGTTTTGCATGCCCCTTTCACAAGGCCGGTATACTGGTCTCCGTTCACCATCGAGCTTGCGAAGGTCCAGGATGGATTGATGTCAACAAAGTCAAGTATGTCTACTAAACTTACCTACGTTTACCTAAACTTGGAAAAGATAAGCTAAATTTAGAGCAGGGAACATCTTTTCCGCTGCCATCTTCAAAAGAAGTACAAGGGCAAGCATATCTGCCGACGATGTGACACCAGCTTCGAGACTGACGAGCTTCTCTTGGCTCACCAGCACCAAGAGCCACCCTGTCCCAAAAAGAAGCCAGAGGAGGCAGTCTACGGCATGTTGAGTAGAGAGCAAGCCGCTCGCCTTCGATCCCTGAAGAGGAAGTCATCGAAAGAATCTGATGAGGATCGATGGTTCGACATCTATCGCATCGTCTTTCCAAGCTTCAACCGGAAGCTGGAGAGTATCTCGCCATGTAAGAAGCCCTCTGTCGAATCCAAATTGCTCATACAGTAAACCATGTCGCCCTTTTATGAAAAGCTGTTTTTCTTTCCTTTCTATTTTTGCCTGTCTTCGTTTTCTCTTTCACTTGCCTGATCATAACTGACCTCTGTCAAGATCACGAATCCAACTCCACATCCCTCAGCACCCTCAATTCGACAAGCTCCAACGGAATCTCCCAGTACAAAGATTATCTTCGCAACCGTGGCGCTGAAGAGTATGCAGCCAGGTTAGCGAAAATGGGCATCAACATCACACTAGAGGCAGCTGCAAAGCTTCTCGAGCTGCAGGTCAAGGACCTCGAGAATTTTGATGAGACCATGCGAGAGCCTGTTCGAGCCTACGGAATTCCAACTGTCGCCAGTCATGAGAAGACCGGAGACAGCGCCCCGACCGGACTCAGTGGTTCATCTGATCTTTTTGGCCAATTTCAGCTTCTAACTAGATTTGGGGATGATAAGGAGCATGGAGGGGATTGAATTGATGGTTACAGCTTATATCAACGTGATATATCAAGCTAATAGGCCGGTAACCCCCATTTTCTTGAAGAGATGGAGGAATTATATGAGTTTGTGGTCATGTGTTTTTGAGAATATTCTGGCTTCAGTCTGTCATTAATTAGCCAGCGTCCATTCTTTTAAGTAGCAATTTCAAGTTTGTTCTTCTGCACTTATCTGGGACAGCCTCAAGGTTAGGCGCGCGATGAGCCTCATCTTACACGCACCTTATTTCTACAAGTGTCATACTCATCGGAGTTCGTAAAAATGATCAATTTATTACTTGATAATTCATACTGCTACTTGCATATCCCACCGTGTTTTGGGGGCCTCAGCCGCGTTTTTCACCACTGATCACTCAGCGAGCTGTAGTCCTCGGATCGAAACACGAGCTCGGACAGTTGCACCAGACCCAACATCAAACTCCTCCTCACGGTTCATACCCTCAGCACCAGATACACTATCGAAAGGAATCTCGACCGATCCCTGCTCGCTCGTACCATTCTGTAAGCTAAGCTTGAAGCTGTGCGGGTTAGAAAGTTGCTCAGCCGTAATAGGGAACCGGAACGCTGTGTCGAAAGATGGGTTGAAGATATCCGTTCCGGGACTGTAGCTCTTGACAGGAGTGACGAATTCCTTGTCGCCCCAAGTCACCTTGACGCTAGGCTTGAGCTCATCGCGTTGACCGGAGAGACCGTTGACGCTGGCGATGAGCACGGTGGCAAGACCGCAGATTTCGCCTTCGTTTTGGTTGCTGGCGGAAATGCTGTTGGATTCACCGACAAAGTTGAAGAACTTGCCGTGGATAGTCACCTTGGTCTCAAGGGTTTGGCCTTTGTGAGACAGGGTAAGGGTTTGACTACCGCCGTTCAAGAGAAGTTGCTTAACGGTTGTTGTAGCGATACCAATATCATCATCACCACCCAGGTCTTCATCGTTCAAATCGATAGTAATACGCTGTTCGTAATCTGTGACAAGGAAGTCGTGAGTTTCGTTCCACTGAGGATCGTGTTTATTCTTAATAGTTGAAGTGCGCCACTCTCCCTCAGCACCAACGTTGACATCACAGTAGCAGTCGGGAATATCCTTGACAAGCTTCTGGAGTAGTCTCTTGGCACCGCTCTTCTTCTCGCCTGTGATTTCAGTTGCATTATCGACGGTGAGGCGAAGAACGCCGTGATGAGGCTGGAAGGTCTTGAAGTAATCGTTGGATGAGTCGAGTTTGACGAGGAAGCGGTTGGGAAGGACGGCCATGGAGGAAATGATGTCGATGATGACCTTGCGGACGGTCTTGTCGATCAAGGAGAAGTCAGCGATGTTGGCGGCGTCGGTGAAGTCGAGAGATAGGTCTGGGGGGTTAATGAAAGCCACCTGAGCAGCTCCGATCTGGTCAATGGTGTTAGTGCTGAGATATCTGCCAAATCAAAGCTCCATACCAGTGGTATAACGTTTGTCAAAGGACAAAGCAAAATGGACAGTCGTCCCTTCATCTTCACATGTTCGATACCCTGACACCAATAATCAGCAAGACGTAATACTGAGGCCAGCCATAGCGGAGCTTACAATCTTGGGCACCATTGACGCATCAAGCTCGAAATCGCACTGGCCATCCCAATCCAAGTCCATATCAAGTTTGATGCCCTCGAGTTCAGTCTTGTGCACGTCAACATTTGAGAATCTGATGGGTGTGGGTCCAAAGTCCAGCTTGACGAAGCGGAGGTTCGCGAGAGGACCTGGAAGCATCTGGTCAAGCATGGGTTCGACGACATCTTTGATGATCTTGCCTCCAGCGACGTTGATGTTTGGCCATAGCTGGGCGACGATGTCGTTGAGGAAGCCTAGGGAACTGTAAGCGGGATAGCTCGAGACGTCATGAAACTATACGGAGGTGGAGGGGAGTACTTACCGGCAGATTCCGCGCCTCCAGAGGCAGTAAGAGTATCGGTGAGGGAAGACATGTTATTCATCTTGGCGGGTGAAATGAGAGAGAAAGGAAGAAAAAGCAAAATGAGGAGAGAGAAATGTCGTATAAATAAATAATGATGACGATGCAGCTGAAGGTGAAGCTACATATGCGGGGTTTGTCAATGGTGAATGGCCCGACAGTTGAGGTCCAGTCCAGCTCTGATGCAGAACCTAGAGCTCTAGACCACGCCCTGACGTCATTTGTGCTTCGCTGTCACCTCTTACAGGGGTGGATATCCTGTTCACTTGCCCCTAGACCAGCTGAATCAGCGTCATGAATTATAGATGAAACGCTTCTATGTGATAATTCTTGATCAGATTAAGCATTCTGCCAAGCTTTTGATCCGTTATTTTGAGCTGCAACCTTATTTTTGGGCTCTCTGGGCGATATTCTAAAAATATCGGGTTGGGGTCTGGGTGACAGGGATTAAGTGTGCCGCATCATCCGATTGTCACTGAAAACTTAACTTGGAGCAATGGGATGATTCTATGTATCGAAGCTTCTAGGTTTCGCTGATCATCTTGGGTGTAGTGGAAGAGACATTGAGATCTATAACGGCGATGATTAGTACGAACCTTTCGAGAGCGGCGCCGAGACGAATCTCAGTTCTATCGATTACGGCTGTTTCATTTCACCGACCCCACCTACGTCGATGCTACCACCATCAAATATTAGCACATGAGTGTAATTGCGCCATTGACGCTGAACCGTTGCATCGCTATCGGCCAGGTGGCTACCATCCTCCTGTGCTAGGCGATTCCCTAGGTGATGGACGATATAAAGTCCTACACAAGCTTGGCTGGGGCAGCTACTCTACCACTTGGGCCGCCAAGGACCAGATGTACGTCTGTGTAACTTTGAATGTCGCTTCTCACTGATTATTTGCCAGGGATGACCGCTATGTTGCATTCAAAGTCACAACAGCTGAGGAGAACCGAAGCAGAGAGCTAAAGGTCTTACAAGCACTGTCTTCTCTATCAAGAGAGCATCCTGGCTCACATCATGTCAATCAGATGTTGGACCACTTCACTCTTGCTGGCCCTAATGGCTCACATGATTGTATAGTACTGGAGCTTGTCGAACCTAATGTTGCAGATGTCATCGATAGTCACTGCAAGCATGACAGATTGCCGTCTCAAGCTGTAAGGTCGATCTCCAGGCAGGTACTGCAGGGTCTTGATTATCTTGCTTCCAGCGGCATTGGACATGGAGGTAAGGGAATCATATTTTAGTTTGTGGTTAGCGGCAATGCTAAATCTGTTCACAGACCTTCACACTAGAAATATTGCTCTGGAAATTCCCGGGCCTGCATTCCCTTAGTGAAAGAGACTTCATCGCCAGGCTTGGTGGGCCTCAAATGGGTTTAGTCACAAGTGCTGATGGTAAGCCCTTGGCACCAAGTGTTCCAACCTATATTGTCCGACCTTCGTCTTTCCGATACAAGGGTATTCAGCGCCTTATATTATGTCCATCTATTAAAATTATTGAGTTTGGCGAATCCTTCTTCGATAATGATATACCAAGCACATTGCATACCCCGCTGCCAGTTCGTGCATCGGAGATCGTGTTTGGAGATCGTCTTGATCATCGAGTAGATCTATGGAGCGCAGGATGTCTAGTAAACGCCACTTGGGAAATGATGATAATATCAGCTAACAGGCATAGATATTTGAGCTGGTGACTGGGCAGCCGCCGTTTGACGTTGCCATGCTAACTCCCTCGATGCTGGTTCAGCAAATGATAGAGCTTATGGACGATGAGCTACCGTCAAGATGGCAAGGGAAATGGCAAGAGATGAAAGGAACGGCAGCACAAGAAGACGGTGACTGGACGCTACAAAGCTGGCTGGAGGAGGTTTACTTCGATAAAGACAAAAAGACTGAGTTCACCAGGGATGAGATAAGGCTATAGGAAAGCATATTACGCAACTGATGAGATTTGAACCATCTCTTAGGGCTATACCAAGCGAGATTCTAGCTGAGCTTTGGTTTCGATAACTACTCCATGGACCCCCGCAAATCCCAAACCTCAGCAAGTAAACCTAGGCCTCTCCCTAACTCCAACAGTAATCATGCTTTCCCATAGCTCCAACCTGGCACCCGTTCTTGCAGTACTTCTTGAACTTGATAGTTCCATTCGGCCCGCATGAGAAGAGGGCATCATTGATCTGGTTCTTCTTGAAGCAAGTTGCTTTAGTCGCACGGGTGAGTTCATCGGAGATGGTCGAGTAGTATTTGCCTGTCATATTAACTTGTAAATGGCATTCTAGATTGGGGAGGTAGAAGGAGACTTACCGATGCCAAGAAGGAAGTGGCCGCAATGATCAAGCTTTGGGGTGCAGTTCGGCGCCTCACCAAAGCCAGTGAGGGCAGCGATGAGAGCTAGAGGTACGAAGGTGATCTTCATTTTGATATGTTCCGATTGAGTATAAATATTGCGAGTGATTTGATGTTCAACGGACAATTTTTGGCGATGTGCCGAGGGTCTATAAGCTTAAAACAGGCCCAGCTGTTAGCCAGGGGTTTCAACAACTTTTCAGCCTTGTGAGATCTAGACCTTAAGCTAGCGAGCCTAGATCTTATCACCTGTGTATTATGGCTTGTTAAATCCTATTATTCTTCAGCCGTAGACGCCACTCTGTGACGTTGCGGATATGAGCTGGATCAGCCCACCGAATGGAAACGGGATTCAAAATTGAAGAAACAACCTTTGAAATTTGTGAAACCGCATAAGAAGCAAGTTGTTCAATCTAAATTCTTACTGGCTATTGTGCTCTGCTCGGGTCAGCTAAGAGGTCAAATTTGGCTTTCAGAATAAGCGTTTCACGATGGATTGAGCCAATCTCTTCACCAAAATAAGTCCTTCCAGGATCTGAAGGCAGGTAGCGTAAGCCAGTTCGATTATTTGTACGCCCCGGGGGGAAAGCGCTGCAATGGGTGTTAGCTGGAGCACTATGGTGTTGAAGGCATCGACAGTAAATACAACGGTTCTCCCATCGCTATGGCAATTTTGGAAGTGGTTAGCGAATAGAACTTTGCTTCCAAGCTTAGCTATTTCGTGATGGACAATGCTGGCAATAAGGATACAATGACGAGATCCCTTTCGTTTAGTCAGTACAACTCGGACCGGGCCAAGCTGGATAAGTACTACGATCCCGGACAGCATGAGCTTGGGGAGAAGAGGGCGAAAAGCAGGCAGTGTACGTGAGCATTAGTGACTGGTTCTGGATAGATTAGATCGCCAGGCGAAACAAATTATATTGTATATTGGAGTATATCCTCGCAGTTCGCCCAAAATTTCTCCATGTATTAATCCCTGCACTTGTAGGGGTCTGGTAGTGTTTTTTACTATTCCTTCGGCCCCCGCGGACATCCCAGACGTGGGCATTTGGCCGCTACCTGTATTAATCCCGGCCGATCTATACCCTGCACACTCCGCTCGTGGACAGTAGCACCATTATTGATGTATCAGGGTTTATGAATGACTGCGTCATTTTCCTTTGCCTTTCTAAACATAGCGCTGCTATGGCGGCTCATACATGACCAGTCGGATACATAAACATAGTACCATGTACAGCCCTGCACAGGCTTTGGTATAGCCCGCGGCACCCGATGATTTGCTATGGTTCTAAAGAATGCGAACTCATCACACACGTGTATAATTAACTTTCATCTTCATCTTCTTTGCTTTCCCTTTTTCGGCTGAGCACTTATAGCGTGAACCTTGGCTGACTCAACTGTATAAAGTTGAGCATCTTCTCCTCAGGTGGATTCTAGAACTCTTTGAATACCGTCATCTTCTGCCTTGAAAATTCCATTACAGTCATGGGACCTAACTATAATAACTCTTTCGAGTCTTCCGTTAATGACGACCACAGTACACGCTCTTCAAGATACGAGTGCAAGAATGCTCTCTTTCCTCCATCACAACCTACATCTTCCGTCGGGGGGACATCAATCCAAGAACAATCCACAGCAATGCAAATAAGCCGCAAGTCAGGCTTTACCAATCGTCTTCACGAGCTCAGTGCCAAGATTGCTGGCCCAGTGAATGGCTTCGCAAACAAGCTCGGATGCGAGGCATTCATGCCTACCTCGCTAGACAAAGAGTGCGACAAAGCATCACGAATATTGACATCTTTCTGTGGTATGTATCCTTGATTATGCATAGTGGAAGAAAGGCAGACTAACCTGGGTGAGCATTGTCCACAGACGGAACACCACTTACGACCCCGTCGCCAAACGAGTCATTATCAAGACGAAAGGCAATAGTCAGAATTCCACGACAAGTCATCAAGTCCGCTGCAGGTCTTGCTATTTTCACCGCATTTCGGTCTGGTGCGCAATTCTCCTGGGGCAGCGGTTCTGGAGTTGTTGTAGCGCGACGAACAGATGGGTCATGGTCACCACCGTCTGCTTTTGCAGTTAACACTCTCAGCGTTGGCTTCATGCTTTCCATGGATATATATGACTGCGTATGTGTTCTGCGGAGCCCCGAAGCCGTAGCCGCATTCACCAAACCAAGAGTCTCCTTCGGTGGCGAGGTCGCTGTTACTGCTGGGCCGGTTGGTACTGGCGTTTATATTGATTCGGCCGTTAACAGCGACGGGATCGACGAGCCTATATGGAGCTACGTGAAGAGTAGGGGCTTGTATGTTGGGGCACAGATTGATGGGACTGTTATCACGACGAGAGGCAAGGCAAACGAGGACTTTTACGGCGTAGAGGTTCCTGTTGCTTCCATCCTACAGGGCGTGGTTCCAGCTAGAGGACCTATGTGGCCGGAAGGATATTGGAGGTTGAATAATGCATTACGAGAAATAGACAACGGTAGATGAAGGCGCTAGATCTGTGTGTTTTGTTTTTATACCCTGTGGCAACAGCAACTCACCTTCAATGGAGCGGATAGCTATAAATTCTTATATATGAGGTATAGTCGTCGCCTCCGCCGCCATCATTAAAGATGGGGATGTCTGCAAGTCTTCTCAAGAAAAATACATGACTGAGCATGTCCCTCACCAGCTGTTATTGCCTGTATGGAACCAGATCAGAGGTGATCGGAGCCACAGCGCCCGAGGTTATTGAGCTTGCACGGCGTACTACTGTGTGCTCCGCCGTATCTGAACGGATGTAGCTCCACATGTGGAGGTGATTGCATTGAATCAGTGCCGGCAGTTACTCTACCTTAATGCATATTCTGAACCTTAAACCTTGGATATGCAGGGGTTTAATCTCGTTCATATGCCGCACCATCCGCAAATGCAATTTATTGCGCTAATCTTTTCTTCTTCAACTTCCGATTTTCAGCAAATCCGATCTTTCCTGCGCATTTTGCGTGGCTTCCGCCCTCATCTCATCTTAATTGTCGTGATGGACCACCCAGAGCAAAGCTCTATTTCTCAAATCGTCATTCTCGCCTGCAGCATCCTCGTCATTTTTGCAAGCACTCTTTTCCTCATCCCGAAAAGTGCTATCCTCAGCCGAATTGGTGCAGCGTTGGCGCTGAGCTGCTTGCAGTACTCCTTTTACACTTCCCTTTTAGAATCCTCCCTGCCTCAAGCCCAGATAACCGGCATCTCTTTGTTCAGCTGGGGACTGTACGCCAATGGCGCTGAGCAGGTTCTACTCTCGCGCTACGATGCCGACGATGTCCCCATGGCAAAGGAAAGGCATTCGGACCGTCGTTTAAGCACTGTCACCCGTCTTCTTCGTGCCATGGGCATGTATTTTAGCCTGCGACGTGTTGGCCTACGAGGGGAGATTTCGATGAAGAAGCGGGTCCCCTCAAATTCTATTCTCTTTGTTACAACCAAGATTGTTGAATGCGTGGGCTGTTATCTCATCTTGGATGCCATATTGCTCGCGCCGCGTCCAGAAGGGCACTTGATCACGAGAGAAAAGCAGTCACTGTTCAACTTATCAAGCTTGACTTGTGAAGATCTAATCTTTCGCATTTCTAGTTCCCTTGGGAATTGGGTTATTGGTTATGTCTCAGTACGATTAGCCCATGGCTTTGTAGCTGCGGTATCTGTTTTGCTTGGTTTGTGTAAGCCAGAGGATTGGCCGCACCTCAACGGGCCAATAAGTTCATGGTCCACTATTCGAACCTTCTGGGGGTAAGTGATACTCTCAAGCCCTGCTGATAGATAAAGTAAATATGTACTAAATAACTTCCAGAACATTTTGGCATCAACTCTTCCGCAAGGCTCTGACTGGCTGGGGAGACTTCATTCCGGATAGAGTTCTCCGGCTCCGTCGCGGTACGCTGTTGTCGCGATATTCACGCCTGATATTGACATTCTTCACTTCTGCGCTTATGCACCGCTGCCTGCATTACTTCTATCGTCTTGAGGCCGGAGAGTGGTATGAAATTGAGACCTTTTTCCTTCTACAGCCGCTGGCGATTATGTTTGAAGATGCGGCGCAAGCTGCAACGGCGCACGTTCCCCTCTCAAGGCCATTACGTTGGATAGTTGGGTTTATCTGGTTATGCGCATTCTTCACGTGGGTGACGCCAACATTCCTTTACCCTACTATCCGAGTACCAGATCCAGGACAGTTGCTTCCATTTTCAGTCGTGGGCAATCTTATGAAGTATTAATAGATGTACCCTGCCAGAAATAATTCTGATTCTCTGTCAGAGCGACTGTATCAGTCTTGGCGAACCTCAGCACTGCCCAACAATATATGGCTCCTCATTGCCTCGATCGGAGACATTTCAGTTTAGGAAGTCATCACGGCTAAACATACAGTTGATGAGCCAATCGCGCTTTTACATAACCAGGATAACTGAAAAGCCAAGGAAAAGAACTGGATTTTTCTAATGGATTTCGTTCCGCAGCCAATGGGAAATAAACATTCCGGGGCAGTGAAGAGTCAAGTACTAAGCGCTTAGGCCTTGGCAGAGGATCTCGCCTTATGTGATCGCAAGGGTAGAAGATATTCTCCGTAAGCTCATCGTCTGTTTTGGTGATAGCTTCTATGTCAGCCTCGAGTACCGCGCCTACTGAATGACAAGGCGGAATATGAAAATGTTATAAAATACAGTAGGGAGGCGCTCAAGAAATGGATAACATTCTCATCACCATTCACAACTATCATAGCAACACTCAGCCAACTTCGCAAGCACTACAGTATCTTCCTAAAACAACACTTACTATCAATACAATCTATCCTCAGCTACAAAATCTCAAGATGGTTGCCTTCAACGCTCTTTTCACTTTTGCCGCCGCCCTGGTCCCTCTTGTTACCGGCGCCGCCCTTCCCACTCATCAAGACTCCTCCCTCAACATACGTCAATACCAAGACAAGTCCTGGGACGCCTACCACCGCCAAAACGGAGCATTCGCAAGACAGGGCCTCTGCCTCTTCTACCTCGACCCTTCTCCCCGCGATGGTGCATGGTCATGCAGCGTCTACTGCAAAAACGACCGCACCAAGATCTGCACCACCGTCCACCCCAGCAAATTCACAAACGACATGCTAGGCGCAAACCCAGATGGCGAGCGTTATGCAATCGGTCAGTGTCAATGCGACACTTCGGCAGCGGACTTCCTCGCTACAGCCACCGTCGATTTCACAGCTAGAGGTCTTGACAAGGGCTTTAGAGAGATCGGAAGTGTTACGTGTGAGATTATGGTGAATGTTATGAAGGAAGCTGTCTTCGCGAGTACTTATGCTATTCCTGGCGTTGGGCCTGTTGCTACAGCTGCTAGGACAGTAGCTAAGGGAGTGAAGTTGGCGTCCAAGACGCAGGGTGGTAAGGATATGTGGACAGATGCTGTTAAGGAGTCTTGTAACTTTCGTCGGGATGAGGAGTTGCTGAACAAGGGGTTTGGGATCTTTGAAGGAGCACCTGATGAGTTCTAAGATGGTTGACGATGGTTTCCTTTTGGCTGGGAGGTTTTCATTTGATATACGTATTGGCGTTGGTTTTGGTCTTTTTTTTAAGAGGGCATATAGACTTATAGATGGTATCTGATTTGATAGACAACTTATAGTAATATAGACATTGTTTCTGCGAAAGATCAAATCTATTGACCTTGGGCTCCTAAATATACCGTTGATTTATTCATTGCAGAGTTCAAATTTCGACTTATTCTTTTGTTAATAAAACTTTATCATACCAATGGCAACTTCAACAACAAGAGCTGTCAAGGACCGATAGCATTTTATACTGTTGGGCATGGTAGTACAAATCTCAAGCATAAGATTAGTGCAGACATAGGCATGCATTAGCGTATGCCATAAAACGGGCACGTAAGGCAGTGATGATAGCATCATCTCTCGCTTGTCAGGCCTCATTAAACCAACTGTCAACCTGCGAACAAATCACAAATGCCAGACACAAACCACTTGCGACATCATGCCCAAGGCATCTGCTGCCAGCGCATGGCCCGGAGCTCCTCCTGTCGCTGAGGACGGCTTCGCATTCGCCGAAGGTGTATTTTTCGCCCAATCCTCTGGTCAAAACCAGCATCGACGTGCCACGGCAACTGAACTTAAGGAACATTCCACCTCTGGCAACGATAAAGATCACCCCGCACACTGATTTGAGGCCCAACTCAATCACTATGGTCTTCCGCCATCCAAGATCAAATCTGTCGCGCGCATGCGACTATTTGATGCTGTTAATGCAGGGAACCTCAAAGTGCCAAGCCAATGTGAGCAAACTTGAGACTAGATTTAAGAAAGAGTGGACAAAGAACGACCGTGAGGCGAAGAAGGGTACAACCAGCAAACTTGCTGCGCAAGTGGCGCCTGTGAAGACTGAGACGAAGAAAACGGCTGCAGCGGGAACCAAAAGAAAGGCAAACGATGATGAAAGCAATGCGACAGCCAAAAAGCCAAAGACTGCGACGCCCAAGGCAAAAGCGCCAGCAAAAGCACCCACCAAAAGCACGGCAAAGACAGCGGCAAAGGACCCTGAAACGGACCCCGCACCAGCACCAGCACCAGCACAGCGAAAGCCCCAAACAGCTCGCTGCTTTAGAGACGGTGCGTCTCAAGGCGCTGGCCGAGGTGCAAGCACTGCTTCAGAGCCAGCAAAACCACGAACTAAGCAGACCGCACGCCGAGGAAACTCATCCCGATGGCCCGAGCCGACAGGCAGCAAGAGACCCTTCTCCCGAACCTCCCAGATTCGCAAAGCCTCAGACTGCACGACGCAACGGCGCTTTTGCGGCCCCGGGACGAATACCCGCTCCGTCGGGCTACGATGATGCTCCACCCCCATACTCGGAATTTCCAGATCAAGATTACTCCTCGGATGAGAGTAACGGCAGCGATGACGTCGCGGTGGAGGAGGTCAGCCTTGCACCCTTGGGTCTTTTGAATGGTGATTACGAAGTTGAATCGCACAATGTGAGCGAGCAATGGGATTTTGGCCCTGATGAGTTCCAATTGACTCTTACAATCGCTGGCAACCGACTCTGGGGAAGTTTTAACCTCGGCGTCTACGAAGGCGCACTTCTCTTCGAAGAACGTCCCATGCGTTCATCGCATATCACGTCTGGTTCAAACGGCAGGGTCGTGAAGATCAGGGACCTGTAATTTATGGGGATAACAACGAAGGCTGGATGGAGTTTCTTGGCGACGGTCGCATTGAAGGTTGGCTGGACCGTCAGTCTCTCTCATTTCAGGCGCGTCGATTGCCTGGTCAAGGAACGCGAAGTAGCATTGATGCTCGAACTCTACAAGATGAATGGGACGGTTATTCCTATCGGTTATACGAAGAGGAGAATCGGGCGCGGCGGCGATGAGCTTGAATCGTTTGGGGTAGGTTCCCGCGGGTGAGAGGGCGAATTGGTTACATGTGACGCCGATCACTGAAGATTTTGAGATGTTGGAGTTGAGAAAAACAATGCAATTTTTACTATTGTCTAAGATTAAACTGGATATAGGTGTCCTTGTCAATAGGGAAAACTTTTAATACACCGCTTTTGTTTGTCGTGCTGAACTGAAGTGAACTGGTCAAAGCACACGGCATTGTCCGAATGTCAGTGAAAGGCCTCACTGTGAGACGGCCAAGCGGAGCAAGACGGAAGGGACAAGGATCACTCGCAGCGCCCAGCTTTTCTCAACTTTGGGGGTTTTAAAACAAGATTTTCCCATTTTTACCTGTTCCTCAAAAACATCATTTCGTCTTTTAACCCCTTGATTCGGCCAGAAAATGCATCATGAGTGCAATTCGAGGCTTTCTCAACGCCTTCAAGGCCCGCAGCCCCCCAATCACCGGGATAATCAACCTCAAACCCCTCAGCGACTCCAACGCTCGTGTGGGGAGAGCTTTTCTCGAGCGCTGCAACCCCTTTAGAGACCTTCCCAAAGACGCGAGGCTTGAGAACACGCTATGCGAAGTGAGATACATTGATCGTGTACTGCGCGATACTCTTGTTCCTACGTCGTTGCCTAGTGATGATTATCACTTTTGCTCGAAATTACTACGCAGTTTGGAAACGAGGCGCGACTTAACATGGTTGGTTCTAAGGGAGACGGATATAAGGGATACGATTGGTGCTATTGCTAGAAGAGGTGGACAAAGGGCGCCTATTCCCGACGAACCTCACGATATTCACAATCGCGCGAAAGCTCTCGAACGACATTGGTCAGCGCTGGAAAAATGCCACACCAAGCTACGAGAATGGGAGCCGAAATATGCGACACAACCACAACCGCCGCTTTTAGAAGAGGATACGTCGGTTCTTGAATTAAGCGACGAACAGGCTACGCATGCAGAGATTGAGTATCGAGAATGGCGATCCGATCGCGATAGAAAAGTCTCATATTTAAAGCTCAATCCACCCGAGCCAGCGGCTTTTATACCTGTTGAAAGACGAGATATTCAGACTGACGAGACGTGGAAGATACTTCCGCCTTCGGATAGTGAGATCGGGATGAGGCTTTTGCCTGTTTGGACGCCGATTATTTTTCAGGAGGTGCCACTTGATTGGGAGAGCCCTGATTCATCGTTGAGAAGTACATCTGGTGAGAAAAGGCGGAGGGATGAGTTTAGAAGGAGGGAGAATGATAGAAGGGAGAAGAAGTATGAGTTTCAGAAACAGCTTCGTGAGGAGATGAGCAGGTCATGACATGATGAGTTGAATTACTTGGAGTTTCGGTTGGGTTAATGACCTGGGATACATAAGGTCTTGGTGTTTGCATATACAGAGCTTGATATTCAACATACATCAGCATAGACAACAAGGAGCAGAAGGACCGGGAGCATATTTATCTATGCTATTTATATATACGACAGGTATTCAGCGAAACATACTTCTCAGCGCAAAACTCTGGGTTTTGGATTTCGGAACATATACAACTTACGAGGGAAGGCCATGGAAGGATTTTTAAAAAGAAGAATACCTAGTCATAGGTATTCTTATTCATTCCCCAGGACTTCGAAATCTAGTTCGACGACCGTATATGATGTACCACGAGCTGAGCTAGTAATCAGACCATAACGTTAGCAAAAACAGAAACTAAGGCATTATATATCTTCCATGAAGTCCGGATGGACGAGCAGTTTCTTTCAATCCACGAATAGTTTTGAAACGGCCTTTCTTTAAAGTTTATTCCGAAATGCAACGCTATTCCGAACCCCGCTTGACATTCAAACCTTCAATCTTCAATCTTTCGAAGCCTATTCCACACCGAAGTCACATTATCCAAGACCGCCTTACATCTCCCCATAACAAAATCCTCCTCCAGAACTCTAAGCGAAGCCTCGACCTCAATCAATTGGACACGAACTTTTGTCAGACATCCCAACCAATAGGAAACTCCCGCCCACCGATCGACACGACTGCTTATCATACCACAATTTACCTTGAAACTGATATCACGAACCCCGCAAATAGCTGCATTAGGAAGGCACAGATAAGTATTCATGCCGAACTTCCGTGCTCGCTTGTTAATGTGCTGCGTTGCACCGTATACCCTGGTGAGTAGGACTTATCTTGTCAAAAGTTCCTGTGATCGTCGGGCTATGTTACGAGGATTATTCTACTTGTACATGTATGACTCTTATATAAATATCAACTGCACTGCCTGTCGTCTCCGGTAGTACCGGGTTTTCTCCTGACTGTAAAGAACTACTATCATTCAAGATGGGTTTGAAAACAGCTCTTTTGTCGGTTTTGGGCTTCGTCGCTTTGACGAATGCTTCGGTTATTCATCCTCGTACTTCCAAGCCAGCACATGCTCAGTACTACAACAAGAAGACTTCTCGTAAGTTCATGACGCGACCCCAACTTGACCACGACACCCGATGCTAAACTTCCATACAGCCTATTATGTCCCATCTACTGGAATCCCTGAAGTCTCATTCGATGTTGGTGAAAGCTATGCTGGCCAGATTCCAGTTGACTTGAAGAAAACTGGCTCCAAAGATCCCAAGTTCTTCTATTGGTTTTTCCCAACTGTTAACCCAGCTGGAAAGGATGATGTTGTAATTTGGTTCAACGGAGGTCCCGGCTGTTCCTCTTTAGAAGGTATTGTGATAGGACTGCTTTGGTTATGCCAAGACTGACGCAGTTATCAGGTCTCACACAGGAGAATGGCCCGTTCTCTTGGAAATATGGAACATACAAGCCCGTGCCAAATGCTTGGTCCTGGCATAAGCTCGCCAACGTTATCTGGTATGTTCTCGTCACTGGAGTATTCTATCTGACTAACAGTGATTTCAGGGTTGAATATCCCATTGGAACTGGTTTCTCAACCGGTCACGTAACAGCAAAGAACAACACCGAAACAGCAGCCCAATTCGTCGAATGGTGGAAGAACCTCGTCGATACCTTCGGTCTTCAAGGCAAGAAACTCTACGTCACCGGCGAAAGCTACGCCGGTGTCTACGTCCCATACGTCGGCGCTGCGATGCTTGACAAGAAGGACAAAACCTACTACAACGTCAAAGGCGCTCTTTACTACGACCCTGTCATGCCGTATGCTGATAAGCTACATCTCGATCATGCTGCTTTCCCAGGCTTCTTCAGACATTGGGAGAGCGTTTTTGCGATTCCGGATAAGAATAAGAAGATTCTTGATAACGATAATGAGAAATGTGGATTGGATAAGTATCGTGAGGCTCATCTTACATACCCACCTCCTCCCACGCCCTGGAAGCCTGTTCAGGTTAAGGGATGCGATATCACGGGTCACTTCGAGGAGATCAACACTGTTATCAACCCTTGTTTCAATGTTTACCACGTCCAAGATACTTGCCCAGTTCTTTGGGACATCCTTGGCTTTCCCTCGGTTCAATACACTCCTCCCGGCGCAACTCTCTTCTTCAACATCCCTGGTGTCCGAAAGGCAATCCACGCCCCAGCTGCGCCCAAAGAATGGGCATCGTGCTCAGGCCCAGTCTTTGTCGGTGACGATGACAGATACGACCCCGCGGAGCACGAGAAGAAGTTCCAAACTCTCGTTGAGAAGACCAACAACGTCATGATCGGATCCGGCATGGCTGACTATATCATCACTTCCAACACAACTGCCTTAGCCGTCCAAGGTCTCAAATGGAACGGCAAGCAAGGTTTTCAGACAGCGCCAAGCGCAGAGTTTGTTGTTCCGGTTATCAACAACACAGAGAAGAATGTTGAGAACTGGGCGGGTGGTAGTGTTCAGGGATCAGTTCACTCAGAGCGAGGTTTTACGTTGGCGACGGTTAAGACGAGTGGACATATGGTTCCGCAGTATGCTCCACCTGCTGCGTTTAGACAGCTGGAGCATATACTTGGACGTGTGAAGTCGCTCACTGACCCTGAGCCTTTCTCTGTAAATATTTCTACTTCTTTCAGTTGGCCATATTAGATAGGATAGCTGCTGCATACGCTTCATGGCAGATGGAGGTTTGTAGGAGTTAATGGTCATGACTTCAGAGATACTGTCTGGTTCCTCGTGAAATCGCCAAAGGAAACTCTTCATACGCGTCTTAGTTTATCGTCAATTCCGTTGAGGACTTCGTATTTTCGGGATACTACGAGGGACTCACCAACGCATTGCTAGTCAGGGTCAAATATAGTTGGGCATTCTCCATGCTTCTCAAGCTCATACCCAAGAAATAAACCTGCAGGACCTTTCTACGACTGTACCTAGCCTGCTTTAAAGTCGCCGTAAGCTTCGATATGATTATCTTTTGCTTGTCAAATATAGGTCAAAACTTCAAATTGTTTGAGAAAAGCTACTGGTGATGAAAGAGTAGTGATCAATGGCCAAGTTATATAAAGGCATTAGTTTCTATTCTTTTTCAACGATATGAGCCCAACTAGGTTATTAAATCGAACTCCTATACTAGATAGAACGAGTCTTATTTGACCCAATTAACCAAGATAATGGTTATTGAATATACATCACATGCATATTTTCTCTCCCTACCGGGTAGGCTCCAAAGATCTGTTGTGGCGCTGCGTGGCTTGACTCTCCACTTCCCCGGCTATCGGGTTCCGATGAGCCACGGAAAAACGGAACCTCAACGGCCGGACCAATCTTGAACATTCAATCATCAACAACGACATCCGCAACTCTCAGCCATAACGTCCACAACGGCTCGTCTTGCTCTATGGAAACGTGATGCCTGTGTTTTGATGAGCGCCTTCTCATTTCCGATCACCCATTGTCGCGCGCACCTCCATGTCAGGTCAAGAGACCTCTCCACAGTCTCCCCCCGCCAATACACCTAAGCATCGACGACCCTGGACATCAGCTGAGGATGCGACTCTGAGGACTCTTGTTGGGCATTTTGGTGCTAGTAGAGGGTCTGAGGGCAGATGGAAGGACATAGCAGCTGGTCTGGAGGGCCGGACGGCCAAGGTGAGTCGCCGCCTCCGCACGCGCCTCAACGCGATCATTGGCCTGCATGATGCGCGCTCACTTGCAGAAGAGATGGCAGTGAGTTAGATAGGGACTGACTGGCTCTCTAGGATTGTCGAAAACGATGGCTTCACTCACTCGATCCTTCATTGCGCAAAGGTCGATGGACATCTCAAGAAGATGAAATCCTGCTCTCAGCTTATGCTCGGCTCGGACCACTTTGGAATGAAATTGGTAAACTCATTACTTCTTTACCTGTTACATTGTCTGACGTATGCTAGCACTTCTCATTCCCGGACGAAAGGATGACCAATGCTCCAAAAGATATAATGATATCTTGAACCCATCTGCCAAAAATCGCTTGAGCGATTGGACTGCCGAAGAGGATAACCTTCTACGTCAAGGTGTAGCCACTTTGGGCCATCGCTGGGTTGCCATCTCATCCAGGATACCTGGCCGACCTCCTCTCACCTGTCGTAATCGATGGCGTACACTCTCGAGACTCTCGCATAACCGACAGAGCAGATCTCAAGGCACTACTCCATCGTCCTCATCTCAGATGTCCCCATTCGACAATGGGATATCACCAGCGCCTCACAACCCAAATCTCAGCATTGAGACGAATCATGGAACTGCGACTGATTTAATGCACTTCCCAATGGATGCCGATATGGGTCATGATCAGATGGGATCCAGCTTTCTCGACTCAGCTTTCTTCGACACCTTCACAGGCCCTTCCCCATCGCCGTTGAGAGAATCCGATCCCAGTGATGAAACAGAAACACCGAACGACATCTCAGCCCAAGCTCCGGCTCCAACAAATCCTGCACCTGTTCCAGATCTTTCCTCGAATATCACAAGGCAGACACAAAGTGACCCAAAACCATGGCCACAGCCTCCCAAACCACCACAAGCGCAACAACACCAAAATACAACTAACGCATCTTTCATGCCATCGCCTTCTACTTGGTCATCACTGGGTACAATGCTGCCACCCGGGACCTCTCCTACGGACCAGAACCTGTGGCTAGGAATAGCCGGCAACCCTCCAACCCCGAAGAACTGGACAGCCCCAGGACCAGTAGACGAAGCGAACCCATTGCCTCAGTCATATACTGAACAATTCCAAGTACCAGCAGCACCAACGTCAACTCAACAGACGATCCACCACCACCATCATCACCATGTCCATCATCATTTTCACCACTATCATCACTACCCAGGCAATGGAGATCAATGGCGACAACTAGAGCAGCAATCGGAAGCCGAGGCGATGCAAACACATTTACAAGACGAGAATGGACCTCAAAACCCAGGATGATGCGCTTAACCTAACCGATCTCACCTCGTCCAGTCACGCTAGCACTGGTCTATTCGTAGATAAGCCTCATCACCCGGATAAGCCAAGATGATCGGGATACAATGCGTGTCATGCAACAAACCCCATCACAGATGCCTGTCATGACTTTGTGCTGTTCTGTGTCGCCAAGCAACATGCAGGTCAATTCTGACAACAAAGGGGCGCTCGATAATGTCACCCATAGGATACCGCTCTTCTGCGCCCCTAAATATTGGCCTCTCGACCTCGAGAAACGTCAGATAAGGATACTGCAGATTTTGCCCGGTCAGAATGGTGACCCTGTTCGCTGCACCCTACCTACTGTGTCTCTATATGACAACCCAAGTCACGAGGGGTTATCCTACTCTTGGGGGGATCCGTGTATCTGCCACATCATCTAAGTTGATGGCCGACAAGCTACGGTCACTAGCAACCTGTATAGTGCGCTCCGGCGGTTACGATTTGGCGACAAAACGCGGCATATTTGGGCGGATGCGCTTTGTATTAACCAAGCCGATACGACTGAAAGGACTCATCAAGTCGGACTGATGAGAAACATTTATTCATCCACCACAGAAGGCATATTGTGGCCTGGAGAGTTCTCTGGCAACGGTGACGTCGGCGCAAATTCCATTTCGCATGATACCGCTGCAACAGCATTTGATTTAGTCAGGTCAATGGCTGCCGACTACCACTAGAATTCTCAAGAGTATTTACAGTCGATGGCAAGAGAAGAATTAGATGTATTATCCACTATGCTTAGCCTTTCGTGGTGGTAGCGAGCATGAACCGTGTAAGAGGCGGTTCTTCCGAAGATAGTAACTCTGTATTGCGGAACGATATAGCTACCACTATCAGAAGCCAAACGTGCGCATCTCATGTCGGCGAGGCATGATCGAAACGGCTGCTATATTACAAATCCTCAGTGTCATGACGTTCTTTACAAAATTTGGGACTGCATCGAAGGCTTTCGCCTCTTACAGGAAGAGCGTGATAAAGGTATCTTGGTTAGGATGGCCTTGGAAATGTTCAGGTTCCGTATACATCTGATCGGAGAGACTGTGTATACGCCTATCTTGGCTTAGGGAGCAGGGCTTTGGCCGATTACACTATTCCTCATGAGACAGCATTCAAGTACGTTGTGCGATCGCTTATTCAGGAGTCAAACAACCTTGGGCCTTTGCTTCGAGTTGCAGAGCATGCTTCATTACGGTCAGTGACTCTGCCTTCTTGGTGTCCAGACTATGGATCGTCTTTTCCGGAGACCCATGAGAATCTTGATCAAGAGTTTGGATGGCTTTATATGTACAATTGGTACGAAGCTGGGGGAAAGGATGGACCAACTACCAGATTCTCACTTATCGACTCGAGACTTGACCTACAAGGTATAGTCGTGGATCGGATCATCAAAGTTGAGGTGCCGATATACAACAACGATGACAAGGCCAAGAGTATTTCTCACTGGCAACAACATCGATATTCTTCCGTTCGCTGCCCGGGAGCATACGACGAGACCGGTTGGTGCGAAATGGTGCGTGACATGTCTGTCGTCTTCTCCAACAAGCCTTGCGAATACGCCAGACCTCGGACAAGGACCGGCTTCGATACGATGATCGATCATCTCAGTGACCCAGAGTCCCAATTTACTCTATTTCAGTACCAAACCTTCCATACAGAAACTGGCTTGGTCGGCTATGCGAGGCTTGATGTTCAAGCAGGTGATGTTATATCTGTTTTACTGGGGGGTAACATGCCGTTTATACTAAGACCACTTGATGACGGAACTTTTGGTTATGTTGGACAGGTGTTTGTTCATGGGATCATGGACGGGGAAGCCCTTCAACAGGGACGTGAGTTGGAGTGGATCACCCTTGTATGATGGAGGTTATGAACTTGCAGCCATGATACCTCAGTGATTTCCACTGATCAGCGGTAGGTTCTTGTCTACTTCAACAAATCAATGTGCACATGAAGAATATGAAATAAATTCAATCCTAGGGTATGTCTCATCGTGAAGTAAAAGAAAGGTCTTACGTTGGTTGTCGTGGTGAGTGTTTGTTTCTCCCACTTTCCCCTTCGTCATACATCTGGGAGTTTCCTCTTACTGGGAGCGAAGAGAAGACCCTGAAACAAGAGTAGCTAAGAACAGGTAATTCTGCGTCAAGTATGGCCAACTCGTGAGATATTATGCCGTGTTTCGGCCTTTGCTCTTGCTCCCCGCCTGTGCCTTCATTTCTATCTGCTGAGTGGGAGAAGATGCAAGTACGCGGCGTTTTGAAACATTTATCTTGCTCACCGCTCTGCCAAACATGCGTCCCGTTTGAAAGCCAAATACTTGCAAATTTGTATGGACTGTGGTTACATGTACCAAGCTTCAGCCTAAGAGATTCTAACAAGCCTGAGTTAATATCCCATAATGGGAAGAGAGGACAAGGAATCGTAAAGTTTAAATTCAGGGTTGTACGGTTGATGGATGGATGTGATGAAATCTCATCTGCGACATCTGCATGAATTATGACCAGGTTTACGATGCAGTCGTCCATGAATGGGTGCCCTTCTCCACCTAGATACGTGAGATCTGAACCAAGATCTGAAGTCTTTCGGTTTTATTCGATCTCTCTTTGCAAGGTAAGTTTCAGGATCACATTCCGATCAACTACCTATCAGGGTCTATCCCCGCGCTGGATGCTGTAGGTTCCGGATGAGATTACGTCCTTGATCGGGGGTCCCTTTGTCTTAGTTGTACGTCGATCAAGCTTGATGGTATCCCGCTTTCGTAGAGCTGCAGACCGCTCTTGAGGAGAAGCAGACAGACACATGTGAATTCTACATGCTATGAATGGATAAGCACAAATTCTGGTCAACAAAAGACGGCTCATCGATAGTACAAAGTTCGATGGTTGAAGTTTAGAAGAAGATCTTTCAAATTAGACGTAGACAACGAGTGATGATCTGCGACTCTAATATTACATGGCTCAGCCCGTGTCTACCTCGTCATTCTCGGCAAGAGATATTCTCCGCTATGTGTCTCTTGCAGTGAATGACAAACCAGTTTCCGTGTCCGAATTGACCTATAGTGTGCTATCCTGCAAGCCACGACAGCCACCCCCTCAGTAACGACGCGGCCTGTCCGACAGATGTCCCCGCTTGTAGGCCTCATTAAGACCTTCAGCCAGCCTATATTGCCATTTCTGGCCATCTGCAGATTGATTGTGCGTGTATTTGCAGTGCAGTTGTAGCCGGCGCTTTTAGCGTAGTATGAACTATCCGTGTTGCTTTCGAGATATTCTGCTCATGAGCTGTTGGCCCTAACCAAGGAACGCTTCGGCCCGCAGCGATCCGCAAGGACTAACTAACGTAGTTCAGCATGACGAAACTCCGAGACACGGGCTCGCGCAAGGGTAAATAAGACATGTAAACCGATTGACCTCCCGAATACGATCGGTCATGCAAGATACCAGTTTCTCAGGGTCGTGTTTGACTTTAACTTCGACATGCTTCACATCAAGAACCTCTCTAAAATGAATGACTGGTTGTTAGCTACCAATGTTGAAGTACGATAGAGACACTAATCTCTGGAAAGCATTTTTGTGGCGTAGCTGACCACTAAGCTAACGCTGTCATAAACAAGGGTTCAGCTCAGCTGCAGCTCAGATGAAAATCTTCTCCTAATACATCGACCATGTCTTGCCAAAGAAGGGCTGTAACTCGCAGCATTGACCGCTAGCTAAGCCGCAGCTCAAACTAGTAAAAACATGCAGCAATCTATCGATGTATGCGACGGCAATTGGCTATGGAAGTGACCTCAGCTTGCAACATGCCTCGATTATGCATTCCAGTAGAGAATATGTGATCAAAATCAACATTACGGTGTCTTGGGGATAGTACGATCGGTCGAAGAGAAGCTTGTGGTATGGAATAGAAAGCAATAGGCCTAGGTATAAAGACGGAGTCGCCCATCGTCGAGTGTTGGTTCTCTTCCAGTATCATCATCACTCACTCATCTCATACATATTCTCGTCTAGAGCCAGATCTTCTACTTCATCATGTTCGTCTACCAAGGAAAGCTCAACTGGTACCACTACGCCCAGGATGAGACCTTTGTCATCGTCCTCCCATCCGGCCCAGTCCGCGTTGGAGACAGCGTTTACCTCTTCTCCCAATGGACAGTCGATGCACAAGGCAACAAGAAGAAGAACTGGTTCATGACTCTCACCGTTGACTCCGTCACTCAGACCGAGGCTTCTGACGTCACGTTCTTCCTCAAGGGTTCTTGGTACAACTTCACCATCACTACCAAGCGCGGCTATGAGGAGCTCAGCGTTGTTATGAGAAACCCCCAGAACGGTGTTAGCTCTCCCCTCTCCCTGAAGCGCGAGTGGAAGTCTGACCAGGAGCTTACTGGCACTACTCGTATCTGGACTGGCAAGTTCAAGTGGCTCAACTTTGCCAGTGACGAGCCTGCTATCTTTATCGTGCCTGATGGGTTTGGAGAGGGCAAGCCTATCTTGTCTACGTGGCAGTGGACTAAGGCTTCCAATGGGAAGACAAAGGACCCTTCGTTCCGTAGTGCGACGCAGACATCTGTGTCAGGTGACGGAAAAACCTCGTTCAAGTTCACCTACCGTTCATACTATGACATCAGCTGTACCTGGGATGGTAACAAAGACCAACTTGATGTTTGGGTCAAGGAGGGAGGTCACAGTGAGGATGTTGGTGACATGGTTCGCTCTGCTATCATCGAGCGTCAAATCCATTCTCAGTATGTTGCACTTTGGAGGTTTCATACCTTGCTAACATGTTTATAGTGATCTCAACCCTCCTGATACCACCGTGACCAAGGGCCAGTGTGAGCTTCGTCTGCCTCAGGCCCAGGCTTCCCTCCCCCGTCTTCTTTGCCCTCTGTCATTCCCTAAGGGTCTTCTTGAGACTCTCGCTCATACCGCTGCTTTCGTTGACCAATGCGGCTACTTGGCAAAGTATGCTCAGGATGTAAGTCAAGACAGAGGCCAATACGCTAGAGACATGTTGACAAGGCATGTAGCACTTCACTGCCCTTGATGCGGATTACCACAAGGCGCTTGAGTTGATCAACGGCTTGAAGGCCGAAATCGTGAACCTGACCAAGACGAGGGATGACCTTATCCTTGACCGCGACGGCGCTAGATCCAAGGTCAAGAACTTGCAGGATGCTCTCGACAAAGCCATGAAGGACATTGAAGAGCTGCAAAAGGAGGTCGCCAGACTCAAAGAGTGCATCGCTAACGATGCGCTCAAGGATGCCGAGGCCGCCAAGCTCCTGCAGAAGACCCAACAAGAGCTAACGACTGAGCAAGGCAAGGTCGCTGATCTCACCAAGGAGAAGACTGCACTCAAGGCCGAGAATGATAAGCTCCAGGCAACTATTCTCAGCCTCCAAGCTCAGATCATCACCCTCGAGACTACCATCGCCAACCTCAAGGCCGAGCTTACCGTCAAGATTACCGAGAACAAGACCCTCACGGATAAGAACATCCAACTCGAGTCTGACAAGAAGAACCTCGAGGGAACCGTCAAGGATCTCCGAAGGGAGCTTGAGGCAGCGCTCGCGAGAATTGCTGATCTTGAAGAGGATGCTACCAAGCAGGAGAAGAGGATCAACGAGCTCATCGGCGAGAAGAGCAAGGCGCTCTCAGATGCTTCCGTGGCTGACCAGCGTGCTGCCACGGCTGAGTCTACCGTTGCCAAGTACAAGAAGTGGGCTTTCAAGAACAAGGTTAACATTGATCTCTCGACCGTTTGAAGCCAGGAATCCTTACCGGCATCGTCTACTACTGGTCCCGTGAGCTTGGTGCCGGTAGGGAGTTGGTCGTGTCATAGGGTTTTGAGATATTTCTGGGTGATGGGAGCCCTGTGCCTGGCAGCTTGGGAGCTGAAAAGGAGATGGGGTACGGAGAGGACTGTTTAGCTTGGAGGGAATAGTCCTGATGCTAAGTTAACTTAATACATTCCCTTTGTCACTTGCGTTCAGCGCACCGAGTGGTCTAAAACATGAATGAGGCGATGTTCGTAAAGCTTATCGTACGTCGACTCGAACTAGGAAGAACTAGGAGAAAATGGCAAAGGACAAATAAGGGATGCCAAATGAAGTTGCTATAACCGTCAAATTATATATGTCCCCCCCCCCCTCCCCAAGAAAAAAAAAAGAAGAAAACACATCTGTCCTGCGCTAAGGTATAACATCTATTCCATCTTACATAAGTGCGCTCCCAAAGACTTTAGCCATCAAAAGTGCAATTGCTCATCGTTGAGCAGCATTCTCTTCCATTACAGTAGCATCTTGACCACCCTCTCGAGACTTCTCAGCATCCATCTCCTTCTTATGCTTCTTGCCAAGGAAAGGGAAGAAGAAGTAAGGATGGAATATCGTCAAAGTCCATACGGCGATGAGGATCATGGCTCCGTCAAGAATCAAGAATGTTGTCTCGTTTTGCATAAGGGTACTGCCCCAGCCCATCTGCATCTCAGGAATACTAGGGAGTGTTAGTATCAAGTCTAAAGCTAGATCTTAAGGGGGCTTACCGATAAATGCAACGGATGATAATGGCAATATAAGCAACTGTCAGAGCATAGACAAAGATCTTGGTCTTCTTATCACTTGCTCTGATAACTTTGACGTTTCCATTGGTAGATGATTCACTCTCCGTAGCAGTCTCATCACTAGCCCTGACAGCAGCACCATTCTTGATAGCCTTGTGTCTTCTCCAGATATAAATCATCATCAGACCACCACAGAAGATCATATTAGCCATCTGGAAGACAACACCAGCAACAAGAAGACCAGATCCTACATCAAGCATGCCCTGATCGTTGTTGTCTCCGTTAGTGGCAGCTGACGAAACACCACCACCGGCAGCTTGGATAACAATAGAGAAGAAATCCGTGCCGACGAAGACCCAAGGATATAGAACAGGTTTGATAAAACTGTACTCCCGACCATACCATAGAACAAGATGTTTGAAAGTGATCGAGATAGCAGCGGCGACTAGCGTTGGACCGAGAATGAGAAGAACGAGTTGGATAACGAAAGCGTTGTAGACCCAGGGGTTTGAACTCATGACGATACGACCGCTGTAGCCGATGAGTTCGAATATCGTTCCGATCGCAAGCCATAGTGTATATGACCATGTTCGCGCTTTAATACCGAAGTATAGTTGGGGTATAAGGGCCAGCGCGTGGGCTACGACGAAGAAAATACAGGCGCCTAACGTGAATGTATCGCCGTACAGAGAGAGCTCAGCGGGGCATCGTTCGGAGATTCCATCGGAGCAGGTTTCATAGGTTGGCGGCGGATAGTTTGTACCGTTGTATGACATCTTGACGGCGGTTGGTCTTTCACCCACGATCTGGGGATGAAGTTTGAGAGAACCACTTTGTTCTGTTATCACGGAGGGCGAGTCAGATATAAAAACATGGCGATTTCTGGAGCACGTCCTCCGTGGGGCCAAACCATGGAGAATATTCCGCAGATATTTACGGGGAGGAATGAAAATGTGGATTTAATCACAGGGCGCAGTTGGAGAGCCAAGGCAGTGGAATAAGCGAGGTGCAAATCCATGTCTTGGCGTTTGATCCTTCAATCCATGACTCTTCTTTCATATCAAGATGATGCTATCAGACATCATATTAGCGTAACTTATATTATCAGCAAACATGATGATTTGACTCTAGATAATCATCAAAGTTGAGCTTGTACGGGCATAGAAAGAAAGATATCAATCAAGCTCAATCTCGTTCTAAACGCGTAAATCTTGGCATCGTCAGCACGGCTAACGACGCGTAGATAAAAATTGATAAGCTCGCATTCCCGAAAAGCCCGATTGGCCCGTCAAGCTAAAACAGCTCGCATTCCTCGGTTTCATCGCTTTTCTCGCAACGAGCTGCAGGCATAAAATTACACGTCGTCTGAGGTCATGGGTATCCACATGTAAGAGATCGGAGGTTTCATTCTGATGTTGTCCCGTATTTCCGGTCCAGAAATTAATATAGGTTAGAGTTTTTAAGCTTAAATGTACTGTTTGTTGATATCGGTGTGAAGTGAAATTAGGCTATCAAGGATCGTATTGGTTTATTGCATACCGATAGCCAGCTCCTCAATCTTCTTCAGGACCTGTTCTACAGCAGTCGAGTTACTAATCTGACCATCACCGTCAATGTCCAGGCAAAACAAGACAACATCACGATACTTCGTTCCCATCACAACTGGCAACCCTGACATGGCCAGCTTCTTCAGATGATCTTTCACACTCCCACTAACACCTTTCGGGTCTTTGAGTCCCATGGATGTTAACGGCCTCCATAGTCCCAATTCAAGCAGTACAACGCCGAGGCTGTACAGATCATGATTCATTGTATACCGTTCTTGCGGATGTATACCCTGACGCTTTGGATGCCGGTAGATGTTGAAAAGCCAGTGTGCATCACCTTGTTGATCGCTTGTTGCCTTGTCATGCCGGGCTGTTTCAAATCCACATAGAAAAGGCTCACCAAGAACTTTGGGGAATTGGTCTGTATTCGCTGCTGACGACCCCTTCTTGGGAAATATGACGATATTGGATGTTCGGATTGATTTATGCACGTACTGCGTCACATGAACATACATAACAGCAGACGTGATCTTCCTCGCAAGCTCAAAGCGCTGTTCAAGCGCATGTTTGGCTGGAATCAGCTCGACCTGCCCCGGCTTGTTGGCCACTGGTCGAGTTGACTTGATGAGATCGAGAAGCGTTGATGGACTCGTCATGTCGTCTGCCACTTCCACTGTCCGAGGAAGTTGATAGATAAAAGCGAAAGCACTGCGGGCTTGTTGATGAAAGTATCCTTCTCCTTTGAGAGTCCTGCAAAGGAGTGGATCAGTTCCACTGAGCAGTTTTGCCAGGGATGCCACATCTGCTTCAAATTCTTTCAGATCGTTTCCTGCAAGAGTGACTTTGTGTGCTTTGAACTCGACTATGACCGTCTTTTGATTCATAGTCGCGAACATACGCGAAGATGCTTTCCCTGGGCGAAGTGTGATCATTTGCTCTGTCTTCTGTAGTCCATCTCCAATAGCACTCTGACTCCGAGTAGTCAAACGCATGTATGTCTCACGTAGTGCCTGTATGTCACCGGGCGAGTTCTCGTCGACCTCTTGCGCAAGCAGTCGAGTTTGCAGAGGAACAGGAAGCAGACCGAATCGAACATGATATCGTTCAGTCCAATGAAATAGGTCATTGCTTATACCTTGCAACTCAGCCTTTCCGTACAGGAACCCATGAACTTTATCGACAGCCTTCCTTGCAGGTGATGCTGTAAGCGCTGCCATCTTGCGACGAACTATGGTGGAGTGGATGCGAGCAAGGCTGGGCTGGAGTGCAAGACATATCTCGTTTAAGAGAAACTTGTCCGTTTGGGGGATCTGTTTAGATTGAGCTGCAGCGTTAAAGATGCGTGCAAAGTCGCGCAGAAGAGCTACATCGTGCTTCAGTGAGAGAACCACGGTGTCTGTGCCACGTCCCTCAAGCTCGGCTGTCGCGAAGTTGAAGATATCAAGGGCTAGGGAAGTGCAACCGACAATTGCACCAAGAACTTCCATTTTGAGAAGGATTTTATTTGGTGTTTTTTCAAAAAGAGAAGAGTTAGAGCTGGTTACCTATTCAGCTGTATCAATCTTCAGCCTCACGGACAACGCATTTGCTGATTAATGGGTTGAAAGAAGGGACTTGATACGTCAGGTTCGAGCTGACATGCATGTGAAGTACCACCACTTCCGCATTTCGTCGGAGCCTCATTTGAGATGGACTTTCTTTCCAAATCTCAACATTCATAGATCGAACCCAGCAAGTTGGAATATGTCGTCCGTCTTTCAATATAATTCTTCGTTCACTTTCAGTCATCCAGGTTGGGATTCCGACCCAGTTGCTGACTTTGCCGAACTGGCTCTTGCTCAAGTAACTGCAAGGACGCCAGACCCTGGCCCAATTGAAGACTTCACAACATTCGCCCAGCAACTCCATGCGACTGGCTTACCAATTGTCGAAGCCGATGACCTACAAGACCTCAAAGATGGCGCTTCCATAGGTTCCGGTACAACCATGACCGTCTTCAAATACCTCTGGAAGTCAAAGAACAGAGTTGTCGCTGTTAAAAGAGTCAATCTCGGAATCGCCCTCGGCCAGTCCCAAGACGAGACTCACTCTCAGGAATACTCCGACCTACTCAAATCGCTTCTCAGAGAACTGAGAGTGATGAACCATCCCTGGTGCAAAGCCCATCCGAGCTTCGTTGACCTCCTGGGAGTAAGCTGGGATGCTGTCACTTGTGATGAGGGCATCAGTAGTTATCGACCCGCAATGATCGTTGAACTGGCAGATCCAACGACACCGCAGTTGAGAGACTTGGTGAAAAGGTCTCGATATCCTCTCAGCCTCAAGGAGCAGCAAGTGATGTTTGATCTGCTTACCGACATTGCTGAGGGAGTTACTATGTTACATGCCATGAAAATCGTGCACGGAGACTTGAAACCTGACAATATCCTCTTATTCCGGACGAAAGACCGTTTAGTGGCGAAACTGTCTGACTTTGGATTCTGCAGTCCCTTTACTGATACTAAGTTCAAAATTGGCGGAACTCTATACTGGAATGCCCCGGTATGTCCACATTGTTGTCAAATACCATGATCTGTTTAGGATTCGTGTTCTGACTATCTTCAGGAATGCATGCCAAATGCCCCAGAAGAACTGCGCGGTTTCCGAGATACCATAACTCGGGACCTTTACTCTTTCGGGCTGGTAATGTCGTACTCGCTCTTTTCTACACTGCCGTACGGAAGTGTGACGGAAGAAGACACGGAAGCTGTGGAAGTTCAAAGGTGGAAGCTGGAAAAAGAACCCACCATGTTCCTATACGACAAGATTCTCTCGTACGCTCCAAGTCTCCATGCAGTAGGCAACATTATTCCCAAGATCTATCAACACCCAGCTGATAATACTGTAGATCCCAGTTCCGTTAGTTGAAAACCTGTATGCAGCCCATCACCAACCTCAAGACCTGTTGTGGTTTCAGATATGGGCTGCAATAACAGAACTACTGCGCCGGCAACCCAATGAACGCAATATAAGGATGGGTCAAATATATTTGGCCTTCAAACAGCCTCAGCGGTAGATGGCGGACCTATCACGACGAATGTTGATGAGACTTCGCTAATTCTCGTAGGCTGAGTGAGATACTCATGCCGCAGACGCATGGACGGAAGGTATGTAACATTATGGCGCCAATTGGGCTGTCAGGCTTACGGAGTTAGGATGCAAACTTGAATGCTGTTGATGTGACTCGATCGTCTGTCCTCAGACCCAAAATCGTTTCCAGCATGGCTCAAGGCATCCCTCAGCGCCAGTTTAGTAAGGTAAACAAGGCCGATTAATCCCTAACCCTGGATAAATATGGCTAATATCTCGCGGCTCAGTTCGATGCCTTCAGACTAGGCCAAATCCCGACAGCAGTTCAGTCCCTACTTCTCCAGGACTTTGAGCAGAGATACTCATCTGCCATTAATAGCAGTCAAGAAGCTGCTGATCTGGCACTTGTTCTCTCAAACTGCCACGGCCGAGGGTTCGGCTGCCATCCGAGTCCTGAGAAGGCGCGGGATTATGAAGTACTGGCAGCTCATGCAGGCTCTGACGCTGCTCAAATTCAAGTACTCTGCCATGGTCTTCTTGATGGCTTCGATGACTCGGTGACAGCCGAGCAGAAGTCTGACTGGCTACAAACTGCTATTTGCGATATCTTCTCCCCTCTCCGGCACCATCTCTCTGACGTCAAGAGGGAATCGTTTCAAGGTGCCTTGGAACGCATTCCGGGCGACCTACTTCACCATGCACTGCTGTACTCATTCGTCAAGTCGTATATGGATGAAAGAACAATCTATAACCTCGCTTTCGACGGTGCGGCAGAGGATGAGCTGTTCTCTCTTGTAGTCAATAACAACATGGATGAGCTTGTCGCAGCCTTGAAGTCAGACATGAGGCTCTTGGGTGGAAAGAAAGACGGTTTCACGCTATTACACGTCGCAGCGGACTATTGTCGTGATGAAATCATACAAGGCAAGCATGCTTTGATATTCTGCTTGTCTCGCATTAACACTTGCCAGAACTGGTCCAGGGGTTCAAGATGCAACCTGACACGAAGTCTGATCATGGCGTCACACCAATCGAGCTGGCTGTTGAAACGGGAAGTGTCGACTGCGCACAGCTGCTCATCTCCCTTGGAGCTGATATCAAGCCTCTTGCAGATCAAGAGCTTTTCACATCTGCTGTCATGACTGGAACCCGTAGCAGCCTCAAGAACAGTCCCGTAAATGGAAATTTCGCCATGTTGTCGCTCCTCTGCAAAGCAGTTGAAGAGGTATCTGGAGAGACGTCTGGAAATGAAGCAGTCCAAGCCTTGATAAGCGGGAAGTATACCATCGGTATGCTAGACGAGGAGAGTGATTATGTTGCTCCCAGCTCACCCCTCGAACTCGCAGTGTCCGTTCAGAACTATGACTCAATCATAGCCTTGCTCAATCTTGGCGCTAATCCCAACGTTTACACCTACTTGCCACCACTGCACATCGCCGTATTCTTGCGGGAGCCGATTCTCGTCCTGCTGTTGCTGACCTATGGAGCCCTTCCAAATTTGACAAATCGCGCCGATGGAGAGACGGCATTGCACTGCGCCAACGAGGTGAACATGACAGAATTTTCTGAAGCTCCACGAAGCGGCATCATTGAATGGCAGCAGTTTGTGAAAGAAGGAATCAAAGCAATCGATGTTGATAGCGATGAATCTTTGAGTGCTAGGGTCAAAGCATGTATCACGATCTTGTTACACTTCGGTGCAGATCTGGAGGCGCGCAACTCTGAAGGCCATACGGCTCTGGTGCAAGTGGTTCGGATAGGTGATTACACAACTGCTGAGTATCTACTAGAGATGGGAGCAGATATTGAGTCCAGGAATGATGAAGGAAATACTGCCTTGCTGGGGTTTGAGTCAGAAGAGGTCCAGCAATGGTGCAGGGGTAAGGGGCTTGGCAGTGGAACTCAGTAAGCCAATATAACGTGTAAATGCAAGTGACGTGTTGCAGGACCCAACGTCGCCCCGCGTCAGCATTTGATACTCATCATATCGGCAACCTCACTCTTTCCTGAGTGTATTTGTCATCGAATCAGCCCATGTACAAGTTAAACGAGCTCAAAAACTACTCAATGATACATCGAATTCCAAATACCTAAATAGCGAAAACAGACCACCAGAAACATTCCAAGTCTTGGGCAAAACCGTCTTCAGACTCCTCCATAATAAAACGGGGTTCCCTTTTCGGGAGTATTATCTTATCAAGCTTGGAAAAGAAAGAGCTCATGGAAACGCCGGTCCCTACGCCACCTTTCTTTGGTCGAGCAGGACACAATGAGATCTTCGAAGAAGCCAAGAACTGCCTTTCACAACTCGACACATCTGACCTTGACTCGCAGGAAGCTTCTACCCCGTGCTCCCAGTCAAACAAGACAATAAGCTTTCAGGAGCTTCCACCTTCAATAAGACAGTCATGTCTCGCACTTCTCGGCTGTGTTTTTGGTCCTTCCTACGAACACATGATTGCGCAAGGAACAAAGAATGAAAACAGACTATGGTCGAATCTGACCGTTCCAGCTGTCATCACCTCATTGGAAGCAACATTCGGGGCCAAGCTGGACCGGCGGAAGATCAATCTTGAGCTCATCGCGCAGCAAATTTGCAATAATACAGCACAGCCATTTCAAGACATCGATACCAGTTCGCAAGAGTGGATAGGCCAGCTTTGTGGACCAAATCTGCGATGGGAGTCGATAGGACTACTCTGGAGTGTGTTGAGACGTATTCCTGGGTCATTAGAGCCGATAGAGCAGAATCAGTTTCATATCTTGGAGAGTGGTACGGCGAATAAGCCGGTTCTGGCGTTCTTAAGACACAGCATCAACTTGGCTCGGCACTTCACGTTGGCTAATGTCATCATATTGGATCTTCTGTTCCAAAAGGCGATCATGGAGTCGATGATTGTCGGGGATGCCAGTAAGTTGTACCCTGGTTGTCGTGCTTTGTTCAAACACTGACAGAACGTGACAGGTCTGGTTTGCTGGGGTTCTTTTGCAGACGCCGTTTCCGTGATGACTTACCTCGGAGTTCACGCCGAGAAGCTCACGGAACCATACAAACCATCGTTGAGTTCAGAGCATAAACGACGTCTCTTCGGTCGCGTATACAATCTTGATAAAGCCATTGTTGCTTTCACGGGGAGGCCGCCGCTGCTTAATCCGCGGTTTTGCTCGACGCCGCCGCCTCTGGACTTGAGTGATGACGACCTTCTCGCTGGTGGTGCCGCGCTTGAACGAGCTGTAGGTGAACTTGATCATCTTGGTTGGAATGTGCACGGAGGCGTGTATCCTTCGAGCATTTGTCGAGCTGGGTATCTAATGGCTGTGATACTCAATGAGATCATTGATATCAGTCTTGGTTCTGGGTCTATCGCAACCGTTGAAACTATAAGGTAACCATTAACCCTACCACATGGTCAATGGTGACTAACCCTTCCAGACATCTCAAACAACGCCAACTAAATGTTATTGCCGAACTTCCCAAGTGCCTAGTCTATGATCCCGATGACCCTACCGATCTTCCTCTTCCTCGAGGAGAAATACGGTCGTATGACAAAGACCTTTCTGACCCTCCCGTTGAGACAAATGTCGTGTCTCTGAGGATATTCATCCGGTTGACACACCTACAGAACATGTTCTTACTGGAAAGGCTGCTGGTGCAGTATGGATGTCCAGATGAAGGGGATGTTCTTTTGGTTTCGTATGAGATGATAACGCTTACTCTAATGTTCTGGATGCATAAGGATCGGTTCCGTGATATTCGGCGTGATATGGAGTGGCTGGTAGGTTCTTGGTCCCACGTACCATTGGAACCCTCTGACACCTCGTGTAGTTGATGGCTTTTGCAGTACCAGGTGGTGGAATCCTCTGCCTCGAACTCCTCAGTCCAACATTTCAGGGCAAACACCCCAAGGACAGCCGCCTAAGTCGATCGAGTATTGTTCAACAACTTAGCTTGCTGGTAGGTTTCCTAGACTGGGTTCATCCATCAGCACCAAATGGGGATCTCTGCGCGAGCTGTAAGATTGTGATACAGCGTGTGTTGGATTATCATCTCAACAATATGGATCCGATGAGTGACGTTGGATCATTAGATCAGTTCAGTTGTGGTTTGGCGGGGAGGTTGAACTTTAGATTTGAGTTGCTGAATACGTTTGATTGGCTTAATGCAGGATAAAGCCTTACTGCTAGAAATAATTCCTGCATATCTTGTTTTATGCGATTTGTGAAGCCTCGGGCGGGTACCTACTTTCATTTTCTGGCAGTGCCTGGCGTTGTTGATGATTCACTGGCTTAACGGTGACCAGTCTACTGTAGCAAACAAACCTCAAGGCTCGGTTTTATTTCACTCATCCACCTCTCCCTCTCATGGTTTGCTCCCGTTTTTGTTTTTCTTCCTTTTGCCTCACAACAAAAGCAACACCGCATTCACTGAAACCCATCTCTTACACCTCCACCTGTAGGATCAAAGGCGTTTGCCTTCTTTGCGTCCAACGCTCTTGTCTCTGAGCAAAAATTGATCACATGCACACTCTCTTCTTTTTCTCTTGATACTCTGCCAACTCCACCAAGCGGTTGGTGCCTTCAGAGCAACTCAACCATGGCGGGATCACGCACAACACCAGCACTGGCGACCATGCCAACAGAGATCCTGTGCATGATCGGGGCCAACTTGTCTGATCATGAGATCAAGGAATGGACCCTGGCATCAAAGCGGTTCCGCGATCTCTTTCTTCCCCGACTCTGCAAGAAACTCAAGTTCTCTGGCAATATGGAGCAACTGACAAACCACCTTCACGCCTACTTTGCCAACAAGACAGATCCGTTCCGTGATCTAGTCCACCGTCATACGAGGCGAGTGTCCTCCACTACCATGACGCTTGGAATTCTCCGCTAACTTTCGTTACAGATATGTGACATGCAACGTTCATAGTTTTGACACCATCAGTCAGATGAACACTTGGATTCTAGCCTATGAAATCAAAGCCATACCAATTGGGCAGTTTTTGGTGGACACACCCAAACTCCACGGCGTGGTTTTCAAGATCTGGCTCCCGAACCAGAAAGAAGAATACAAATTTCACAAGTTCATTCGAAAGGGCCCAGACTGGCCAGATCCTAAGCATCTCTATTTCAAAACATACATCGAAGAATCGACGATGGGCAAAATCATCCGAATGTTCGAACCAGGGACCCTCAATGGAATTTCTTCCCCTCCTGGATCTTCAAAAGAACACTACGGCGAACTAATACGTAACGGTGCCGATCTCACTTCACTGCGCCTGGATAGACAATTTTTCGATGACGGTGGATTCTTCAACACTGGTCATGGAGTTGTTCTAAGCCTGAATGATAGGCTTATGGACAGCATCAGCAGATACTTTACTCGGCTCGAGTCACTGATTCTTTGTGAAAAGACTCATGACCCAACTGCTACGACATTCGGTGGTGATTCAAATCGGGATCGATTGGTAAGTATTCCTTCGTTGTAATTTGACCTCCTATCACAGTTACTAACACGTCTTGGAGTTACGAATCATTGACAGTATCGCGTCAACACTCTATAATATGCCGCGGCTACGTCGATTTGCATTCACTCTGAGTGCAGTGCGATTTGGTGACCATGCTATCAATGCGCTTACGACGCAACTATTAGCCAGACTCAGGAACAAAGCTCTGCTGCCCTTCGAAGCTCAAGGGCTTGAAGGCGTATACAGATTGTTGATTACCTATTTTGCCGCCCATGCAAAAAGTCTCGAGGAGGTTTGCATTACATCTCGGTATCCTATGTTCTACCGAGCAACATTCACGGACGGCGTATGGAAGATGTCTCAAGAGTCTTTCGATGATCACTCTGAGAACTACTTATTCCCGACTGTTTTGGATGGCTAAAACTAGGTGGATGTTTTAAGTTGAAAGGGGACATGTTGAGATGGAGCTCAAGAGTGGAATTTTTGCACCCTGTAAGCAGACACTGAGATTTTACAGATTCACGCTTTATGTATGTGTGACAATACAGCGGAAAGAATTTGGTGTGTACGGAATGGATCATATATAGCTCAGAGGGCTTCGATGAAATCTGGCAGGAGTCTGGAGTTGAGATGGAATATCAACAAATGTGGCTTGTGAGCCGAGAAAATCGGCCTCACAAGCAGATACTGGATGTTCAATATCACATTGAATCCATGGCTTTGTATGAAACACTGTGCTTATTATGAATTGATGCTTTCTCATCACACAAGCCATGCTTGTAGGACATAAGTTTCACATTCTAGTTTTTTCGACACTGGTATTCATCCCAACCAAAACAATAGATGAAGATACGAACTACCTGTTCAGCGAGATTTCCTTGACAAAAACAATTATTAGTCATCGTAGAAGCTTTTAGTTAGAAGCTTATATTGTGAAAAAAAGATACCTTGTCCCAATCACCCGCGTTGCAGCCTAAAATCTAACCTTATGGCCAGCAAGTAGTTTCATGGCTTGAAATGAACGAAGGAAAAATTACTTCTCAGTGATGTTGGTGAACGACACGTAAGAAGCGTGGCCTGCTGTGTCAAGGAAACACGGAGTGGGCATAGGTCGTTAAGCCTGCGTATTGAGCACTTTGATCTTCATGTCCCAACAAGTTAAATAAATCTCATATGTGGAAGAAGAATCCTTGTCTCCTTCTTGTCCCAGGCTTCAACAGTCACGCCTTGAATTCGGTGAACTCAGGATCAGTGTCTCTGGCACTGCCACTGCCAGTGCCAAGTTCCTTTCTTCCTTATGCACCATTGCCTTGACCACCAGATTCTCTCATCAAACCTCCACATTTTTCTTTGTTTTCTGTTTTCTGTTTTCTTCAAATCCATCGCGCATTCGGTCCCGTATTCTTCATGCTTCTTTTCTGTCTTGCCTAACAGCTGAATATCGCCCTCCTTGCAGCCATGGAACCCGAACAACGAGAAGAACGTGTTGCCGCCATGATGGACGATCCTCCTACGCCCACATCTTTGAGTGTTCTGGAAAAGATGCCGACCGAAGTCCTTCGTATGATCGGATCACACCTTCGCGAAGGTGATTTCCAAATCGCTACTTTTGTTTCCAAGCATCTTCGATCGGTCTTCTTGCCTCAGCTCTTCAAAAAGCTCAAATTCTCTGGCACCTTGAGAAAGCTGGTTTGCGAAATGAGATCTTTGCTTCACGGCGAATTCAGAGACTTCATGATGCTTATTCTCTCCGCTCTAAAGTAAGTATTCGAAAAATCTGAATCTTACATTTCCTGACCGTTGTTGCGCCTTAGATTTGTTACTATCTGCTTCCATTGGACCAGTCCCTTCGAGGAACGTACCGACTCGCACCTTTCGGCAGACAGAATCGCGGTCATTAGTGAATTCGTTTCCAAACTATCATCAATCGATGTGATAACCTTTAAGTTTGGCGTCGAACACCGCTCGGGGGCACGTAGATCTCTGTTGGAGCTTGCCATGACCGAGGCGTTGGGCAACACGCCGCAGTGGAGTGGCCCCAAGACAGTCGTGTTTTCTGGTCGCAGGAACTTGCCGATTTTCACTGCTATCGTGAATCAATTTGCCCCCAACACTGTCCAGGTAGTCCAGCTTCCTCGCGGCTCCGCAAGGAATCATCTTCTCGCCCTGAAATCAACATTTCCCTCCATCAAGGGTTTGAAGGCTGATGTATCTCGCTTCTCTAGTGAATCACGAACCCTCGCTTGCATGAAGAGAGACGTCCTGATTGCATTTGATCGTGACTTTCCGAACCTGGAGTCGCTCGTTCTTGATCAGCTCTGTATTTCTGAGTTCACGAGGCACTTTGGCTGTTTCAGAAAGGCACCAGGTCTGCCTTTTCTCGTGGGAGTCCTCAAGCTTTCTCATTTGCATTGCTAATATGAGCTTAACAGGATGAATGGTGTGAGGAGCTTGCTATGCAGCTGAAGGCGATGCCACGATTACGACGTTTCTCGTTCGCACTCCAAAAGGACTTGATGACTAAAGAATACGATTGGGACCCGTTTGACCGGCGCGCCGAGCAGTTGAACCGCGAAGAGCGCACTTCTGAGCTAAACAAGTGGCCAGCCTGTTTTCCCACTGATGATCAACAGGATGAGTGGCATTCAGGACTCATCACTCAGATTCTCAACACGGTTCCACATCTCAGAGAGCTTTGTATCACGATCTATCCTTGGCTATTCCATCGAGGAACCAAGACCGAAGGCGTCGTGGCGGTTTCCCGAGTTGAAGCTACTGATCCCCGGCAAGGAATTCCGATTCCCCTATATTATACGTTGATCTTAACGAGGTTCTGGGGTAGAGGAAACCGAATTAAGGCCAACATTTAAAAGTCTTATGATAGGACTGGGAGGATTGGACTTGGCTGTTAGATGTTGAAGGAGAGGCTATAGAAACTTAAACAGTTTGGAGGAGTTTTGAGGGAGATTATGTAATAGAACCTGACGAGAAAAGAGTTTTTATTCTGCTTGTGAAGGTGTCTTCAACATAAAAGGCTTTGATACAGTTGTCCTGTCTCTCATCCTTACGATTATTATTAATCCGGCAACAAAGAGAATATTCAGTACATTGAGCGGTTACTTAAAACTTAAAGCACAGTACGGCAACATCACTAGGGCTTCTTTCTCAAGACAGGTTGTAATAGATAACTCAACCCTAAATAGTATCTTCCTTCAGTGACCGTACAACAAACTAGTCTAGCAGCTCAATGTTTGCCAATCTCCTAGCAATCTTCAGGTCGCTTGAAGCTCCTTGGGGTCTTCACTCCTGCTTCAACCTCTGTTCCTTCAGCGATGACAATTTCCCAAACTACAATTACAAAATACCGTCCCGAAACGGAAACATGAAGGAGTGAATAATTTCCCCATCGCCCACCGAGACTTACAAGTAAAAGTGACTATGGTCGTAATTTTTAATCATGTTACTCGCCAGCTTCCTCGTTCCCGTCCTTCTTTTCTGGCTCCTCGGTCCCCTGCTTCTCCTCTGCTTCCTCTCCCGGCGCCGCGTCCTGGGTCATCTCTGTAGCCTCATCTTGAACTTCCTCAGCACGCCCAGTGAGAAGCTTTTCCTGATCCTCAAGAGACCGTATGACAGGCTGAGCATTCAATTCCGCAGTCAGACGGTTGTTGATCTCCTCACCCAATTTCTTGCGAGCCTCTCTCTGCTCCTCCGTCAACGGTACACCCCGTTGCTGACCGCCACACGGACACTGGGCAAGCCAATCTGGTGCGATAAACTTCTGAGATCTCTTGCCTGAGTCAATCACAGCCTCCAGAACAGCAAAGGTGAGATCAAGAATATTGTCTCTGCCGAACGAGTCGGGATCTGTGAGCAGTTGAACTCCTATTCCGAAAGCAACGGACAGGATGGGACCGACGCCCGGGATGAAGCCCAGGCCTAGTTGAGTGAGACGAACGAGAATGTCCCTAAGGAAGGGGTTGTGCTGGTATGGTCTCCATCCGACTTCGACGCCAAAGGTGGCGCTGAGAATTCTGGCGAAATCCATCTCGCGGAAGAAATCCGGATGGTTTGTTACCGCAACAGAAGATCTCCAGACTGCCGTGGAATTTGCCCACACAACCAGCTCTTGTCCCCGCTGCTTGGATCTGAACAGCCCGTATTCTGGATTGCGTAGCTTGTGTGGGATGGAAAGATAGGCAATGATATCCGGTATGTTGAAACCCCAAGTAAGGCCATCATGCCAGCCAAGGCCGTTATGGGAGTTAAGAGTCAATGTCCTAGAGACCCCGGTATTACTGAACATCTGAAGCTGCGCTCTGTGTCTAAAGTCTATAACGACATAGGTGCACAGGTGAGGGAAGGCTTGGTCTGTATTAAACGCGACGGGGAAGTAAATAGCTCTCAGGGGGATAGTAGCATCAATCCACAGCCACTGGGTATCGCGGTTCTGGATTTCCACCGGACGAAGGATGAACTTTCTGGGGCCTCCTCTCTGGTGATCCCGACATTCATTCCAGTTGAGGCTGTTGGGATGGCTATGGATTCTGAGCATATCCGACGTAGACTTGTGTCTGCTCTCACCCACCCAGAATCTGTCCCAGTCCCCGAAGCGCGTGCCTCCAATTCCCGATGGTGTGCCATGCTGCCAGCGTGACCTTGTATGGGATCTTTGCGTCACGCCAGTCGCTGGCCATCCGTTCCAGTAGTACTCGAGAAGAACGGTTCTATAGAACAGATTTCTGTTGTCTGCGAACCAGTGGGGACCATATCTTAGAGAGGTTCTAACGAAGTAGCATTCGCCTTCTGGGTAGTATGAAGCCATTTTATAAGATTTTGATGTACTTTCAAGAGTGTGAAAATGGTGCAATAAATATCGTCTTGGAACTTTCTGAGCTAGACATACGAGAAGAGCTGGGGAAAACAGTCTTGATATATCTGTCTTCTCCCACCACAATACCTTCAGAACCAACAAAACACACCAATTTCCATTCCCAAGCCCAGTACGACCTGTCCGTGATGGTCATATCATCCGGTCTGCAGTCAAAAGCGTTTGTGGCAGTCGACAACCCCGCACATGAAGCCATTTTATACAAGCCGGGGTGGCACAACTTCTTGACCGTTATGCTGCAGCACAAACTCGTCGAGAAATGAGCAATTCCACTGCAGTTTCAGGTTGAGTGCATGAAATGAGAACATCACGATTTCGAACGGCCCGAAGCTTGGTTCCACCCTGATGCTGTCAAACGTGCGGGATGAAGCCAATTCGTAGAGGGTTCGTGGGGGTGGAGAGTCTGTACTGCATGTTTCACTTCTTTGAGGATATTATCGGCACTTATGATCTTGGCTGAAGGCGAAACCCGTGGTATTTCATGATGTTCAGAGCCATATAGTTCTTAATACAAAGATACTTTCAGTTTTTTGGCAGTGTGTGTGGACTAGGGGAATACTGCTTTGAAGGATATATGATAATAACCATGGAAATCGATCGATGGGATATCGTTACTCAGAGTCATGACATCATGACAACTCAGACAAGAGAAGAGAAGAAATGGAAGAAGGGAGGTTAAGGCCAAGTACCGTAGTCCGAAGACGATCTTCCTGCGTCAGTATGTGACTGCTGTAGTAAGCGTAGTATTGAAGAGAAATGTGTATAGCAAGCTCGATTAGGAAATCCCCGACAGCCCGGAGTTTGCGGACACTTTTGGTGAAATATTCTCCGTCACTAGATTTTAACTTTCGGGAAACCATATCCTGTGACTCGATTGCGACTGGTTGATGCAACTTGATCCCTAAGGATCGTGTATCTTCGTGGCAGGACTCAGCCTCAAAGCAAAGGACAATGAGTCGGAAGCCGGAGGAGACAATTTTCAATCCTTTAGCCAGCGATAGCCTCGCTGAGATTAGTTTGAGGCTGTTGTGAGGTTTTTCAAGAGGCTTGATGGGGTTCAGAATCAAGTTCATATGGATTCCTGTGCAGGCTATTCATGCTACCGGTTGAAACCTGCATATCGTGTAAGGTGTAGATCCAAGTTGCTCGCTGCATTTGACTTCTTGCTGTAACCCCGCTCTCACCTCAATATCAACCTCACCGCATCGGCAGATGCCCTCAATCTCTAATCCTTCTTATTCCCGCGTGCCTGAGCAAAGCTGACCGCAGAGTCATATGCCAACAGAAGACCTCAAAAGTTCTCGGCATATATGTTGAGGCTAAGCCTCTGGGGGCTGAGTAAGGTAACTATCCCGAGAAGGCTAGCAAGGGAAGACTTTCTGAGTGTTTAATGCAGGGGTTCTTTTTATCCGCCTACCAATTACACGCCGAGCGACCCGAGGGATCTTCACTTGACAAGATAGGGCTGTGGTTAATGCCACTGCGCTTGTTTGGCTGAAACGGTTATAACGCGGGAATAGTCACACCTGTTTACATTATTTTGAAAAGTCTAGTTAGCTGTCAACCTCATAAACAGGTTTGGCAATATATCCTGACTAGTTCCCGGTCTGAATTTAGAAAAACTATAATGAAATTTGCATTGAAATTCAGAATTTTTGCCGCAGAACGGAATTCCGATTCTGTGTGACCTCCTGCCACATCCAGCATAAATCCATGCGTTGTCAGCATACCGCCCAAAGCCAACCATGGGGGGTCCCCTGTACTTCCAACCCGTTTCTCACTGACGATCTCTGAATGGCTCTTCCGGATATACCATTTTTAGCATCGTCCTTCGATATAGCCTCGGGTTGAATCTCACAGACTCAATGTTACTATTAACGGTGAAGACTTTGAGTGGCACGGTGAGTTGGGGGCGGATGAAGAAGATAGAGTTTCGGTGATGGGGAGTAGTATAAAGGGAGGGTTTCCATCGATATGTTGTCTTTTGTTCATCAGATCACAACTTACAACTTCAACTCACACTCCAACTCTATTCTCATTCTTCAACCGTCAAAATGGTCAACTTCATCACCTCCTTCACTCTCCTCCTCACCGCTGCCTCCCCGGCCCTCGCAGCTCCTCAGCCTCTTGAGGCCCGCGATGACACCAGCTGCATGGACAACCTCCCAGGAAACACCTTGGCCAACGTGCGTCTCACCCCCTTATTTAACTTCTTCAACCTGAACTAAGTTGCTGACTGTTTGACAGGTCAACGAAGCAGTTGAGTGCATCAACTACCTTGCCAGCCTCGGTGATCAAGCTTGTGTAGCCGGTGTCTCCGGCCAGTCTTTCTGCAGACGTGGAAACACTCAGATCACTGGTCTTGCTGTTGGACTTAACAGTGACCAAACTTCTTCTTCTCCTTGGTGAGTTGGCGCCTGAAAACTGATGCTGTATATAGAAGGCTTTTGCTAATCTCGTATTTAGCCGTGATGTTGCTCGAGGTGCTGGACTTGTCATGGAGTAAGTCTTCTTTCAAGTGTATAAATATTCTTTAACTAATACTTTTCAGTCGCTGCACACGAGCCGATGGCAAGGTTCGAGGACAGAACCCTGCTTGGGGCAATGGACACCTCATGGTTGATATCCGCAATGTTCCTCAGTAAGGTATCGACCAGTGCGTCTCAACTTCAATGACATACATGGACGGCTCGAGTGGAGTAGCTTCTCGTACATACTAGAATACATCATATGATTATCTCCCTTTAAACAATATCTTTCAATGTTGAAATTGTGAGCTACATAGATGTGTTATCTGCAGGAAGCTTAATCACTACACATTACTCAGAACAACATCTCTAGTCCCTTGATTTCTGTTTATGCTGTTATGCAAGCCAACAAACAAACGCAATAAATACGCTTAGGCTACTACAGATTTCGCTGTTTTTTATGTTTGCTGTTAATATCCCATCCTGCATCTCAAGTTTGAAACCTGTGATTGGGTTGTCAACCTCACACAAAGACCAAAACAAACTCGTGCTCTTTCATTGCTGCAGCCCTATAATATTCTGCCTAATACAATTCACTATCTTTTTCACAGAGTAAGTGCTAGACATGTTTATACTTCATTTCATAGGACCAGCGATCAATTGCCAGTTTCAAGTTAAATTTGCTTACACCGACCCCACAATCTCCGTAGTCCATTCCATGTCCGTGTCCGTGTCCGTCCACCGCGTCTTGTCTTATGCCAACCTCCACCTCCGACCGACTTTTTCTTCCCCATCCCATTCCCCATTTCCCCCTCTAAATCACCAGTTAGCTACCAAGCATCATGGCTACACCGGCGGTGTACTCCTCCCTCGACAAAGAAGACCGAGTCGACGACAAAAACCCCGGTCTAACAACCGACTCACCAATCTCCCAACCAACAGACTTTAAAAGACTATACAAACTCGATAGTTGGCTGAAATGGTATGTCATAACTCTTGGCATATACCTAGTCGGTGCCATATTCTGCGTAGCATGGTCCTACACCGGGGCACTGCTCGATAACGATGCTTCAAAGCGTCGAGTCTTCAGAACAGGTGATTCTGTACCAGTCGATCAGTTATACTCTGGTATAGCTCTCTCAGCACTCCTCGCGCCAGCAGCTGTACTGGTTCAGTTCGTCGTCTTTGATTTTCGGAGATTGCATTTATTTGCGCTTACAACGCAGCAACCTGTTGCGATTAGGGATCTGGATGATATTGCGGAGGGCGTTACGCTGTTGACACTACCGGCTGTTATGAAGTATTCGTGGTGGTATGGAGTCATGCATACCTTTTTGATCATTACCAGAACGTTGCTTGTGCCGGTTGGGACACTCTCGCTTACTGTTGGGCCGTATGGGCATTATAAGGAGGGCTGGGGTGTTGTGGGGTTTCCGATCGCGCGGGATACAGTGGGGAGTAATGTCACGGCGCTGTCGACTGCTATGGGAGCGAGTCCGGACTTGGAGTTTCATCCTTCGCTTTCGAAGAATGATACTTTTTTGTCTCAGGCGGTGTTTACGTTTGTGGGGAGTCTTGTTTCGCAGAATGCGTTGGCGAATGTTGACTCTGGCGTCTTGGGACCTGTGCCGACGCATAACCTCACTTTTGCAACAAACACGACTTACGATGGTTTGGTCTTTTTCAACTGGACGGCTCAATGTGAGGCAGCTACTGAGGTGAACTACACGTCTTACAAAGAGGACGGCAACACGATTTACAACTTCACGCTCCCTGACGACAGCGTGGAGAGCATCGAACTGCTCTCTCAAGGCTCGCAACGGATCAGACTCTGGAGTAACGCCTCAGTTCACGGCACAAACAAGATCCCCACTTCAGGCACGACGTACTTCCTCTCAGCTACCAAGTCCATCCCCAATATCAACGAGACAGCCCTGCGGAACAGAGGCAACGACAAGAGTTTGGTGCAAACAGACGGAGGAGACTGGATATCTCGCACGAAATGCACGCCCTCCATCAGATGGCTCGTCGGCTCGTGTACCTTCAACGGCACGATAATGACATCCTGCACCGAAGCCCCAGGGTCCAACCAGACCGCTCTTGATACAAATGCCCTTGATGCGCTGGGCGTGTACATGTCTGCTATCCCTTGGTACATCTTCCGCAACCAAATCAGCATCGTTGACGACACCCTCGATGCTCTTTACGCGATTCCTACGGCGGAGGACTTTGGTCACTTCTTTGGAAACATGGCGCACGCAATCGTATCGATCAGTACCGCTGGATACTTCGGCACTTCATCTGTTCCTACTCTCTCCCATATCACAGAATCAGTGTACATCGTGCGCTGTAGTATTCTCATCGCTGTAACAGTCATGCTGTTCTTGTCGGTATCTGTCTCGGTTATCGATATCATTCGGAATAGGATGAAGCATCTTCCTCAACTACCGGCGTCGTTCCTTGCTATTGCGCATGCTGTTAGAGGACCGTGGTGGGATAATGAGTTGGGCGGTTATAGACCGTGGGATAAGTCCAAGACGAGAAGTGATGGGGCAGAGGCGGTTATGTTTGGTGTTGATACGGAGGACTCGAGATACATCAGGCTTGCACCGTCTGTTGCACCAACCCATCGTTGATTCAGTATATATAGCGCTCTTCTCATGTAGCTACTGAGCAATTCATTTCCATCCTTTCATTCTTCAATCCTTTCGTCGATCATCCATTCAACCTTCGTGATTCATCCCGATACCATGAAACCAAGCCCTTTCGACCTTGACCGTTCCAAAAACAAAAAACATGAGCAGATCCTTCCAATCAATCCTCAACCTTGGCAAACCATTTATCAACAGACGCATTGTTCACAGCATCACCCCAATCGGGAGGCCCCTCGTACGGCAGTTTCGCAAGCTTGTAGACGAGGACGCGGGTGAATCGCTCGTCGAGCCAGACACCGCGTCGGATAATCGTTTTCTCGACGTCGATGATGATCTTGCCATTAGGGCCAAGCTCTTCGTCGTCGGATGTGATCTTGTTGTGGATGATGAGGTTGAATTCGAGATCACCCATGTATTCGCCGTCGCCTGCGAAATTGGCTTCCATGAAGTCCATGCCGATGCAGTCCCAGCTGACCATACCCGCGTTGCGGAGGCGGATCATCCACTGGAGACTACTTTATATTAGCCACGCTCAACAGAAGATGAAGGGAGATGAGAGGTGAGAGGTGAACTTACAGAGCGTCGCGGTATCCGTACAACTTGCCACCAGTCTCCTAAAACTTGAAACGCAGCAAGTTGGTACGCTCCCCCTCCGGCAGCCCCGAACGAGAACCCTGAAGAACATTGATCAGATCGATCAGAATGAAGTTCTCCTTCGGTCCCTTCTTCGCATTCGTGAGGTCAAACTGAAAGATCACAAGAGGATTCATGAACGGGTCATTTTTGACACAAAGTCGCACAGTGAGTTCTGCCTTTCCATCGACAGTGGGCGCCATCCACATAGCGAAGCCATGAATACCAGCGCGGTTACCGTCCTTGTCGGCGAAGAGGACGTTCTCGTTCAGCTCGAAGAAGAAGTGCTGGCGGCAGTCAGTCTCACCAGGCTCCTGGTAGTACTGGAGAGCCATGGAGGTGAGGCCGGTGCGGGCGACGACGGCGAGATGAGGGTCCGTCTGACCAAGGATGTCAGACAGGGTGAATGTATCACGGGCTGGGGGAGGGACGTTCTTCCAGTCGCGCTCCTCGTTCATCAGTGCGGTCTTCATGTATGTGTCATGGTTCTTGCTTGGATCAACGCCAGTGGAAGGGTGCATGGTGGCCGTGGAGTGTTTAGATGCATACTCGGCAGCTTGCATTGTAGCGATCTTAGTTGCAACAGAGACTACTCTGTTCGTATACTCAGGTAGTGATAGGTACCGTATCCAAACACGGTTGTTGGTAATTGTGTGTGGGTCGAGTTTGCAGGTCGTGGAGGAGGGAGACGAGGGGATTACGAAATATTTTGCACTAGGATTGCATGCCTACGGATAAACATAAAGGTCATGCGGCATCCTTAGGGCCCGATATGGCAGACCACCCATCTGTCAGTGCAAGCACACTCACTGTTTTCTCTGCCTTGCTCAGTTTTTATGGCATAATTGTCAAATGTCCTTGGTCTCCTCCACTCACACGTCTTTCGTCTGCTCTTGTCATATCCACGGCGTCAATCTGTTTTCATTTTCCCATGTTTTCTTCCTGTTTCTTTGCATATCTATACAAATTAGCTGATCTTCAAACCAAACACTCCTCTGCAAACACAATCACCAAGATAAAAGTGACAAAGGAGATCATCCAAACATGACTTATATACCGCCTCCTTCCTAGCTTCCCTGTCTCGCTACCTATTCTTTGCTTTCCTGATCTTTTCTGTCACAGCTCAGACCATGATCCAGGAACAGACACGAGGTAAGGCGCGCATCTGAGCTGTGAGCGCATAGACCTTAACCCAAGATCAGACTCAGACTCAGAATCCATATTGGATCCCGCTTCACTTTCAGATCCAGTATCCGAATTCGTGCCAGAAGATGAACCCGTTTCTTCGACGTGCAGCCGCAAAACCTGCCCCTGCCACCTCTTCTTCATTTTCGACAGTCTCTTCGCATATTCCAAAGCCGACTCCTCAGGCCATCGGGCTCTTCCGCCGTAAAGCAATACCCTCGCTTCCACGTACCCACTCCAAGGAACCTCTTCCTGAAGACACTCCGAATCACTCTCAGCCGCAAGATGCATCTGGCCCTTGAAACGACCACAAAGAAGCCATTCCCGCACAGCTTCTGTTCCAGCAACCAGAAAACAGCTTATGAACCCCCTTTTGCTCGTGTACGTTACTGAAGCGCCATTGCGGACGAGGACCTTGACGGCATCCAGACTCCCGCAAGCACTTGCATTCATGACCGCTGAGCCAAAACAGGAACCTTCAAAGTCGATATCAGCGCCCATCTCAAGACAATTCGCGACAATATCAACGCGATTCAAAGCGGCCGCGTGGCATAGAGGACTCCAGCCGCGAGATGGCTCAAGATTCAGGACTTTGCGAAACAGGTCAGCCGGCATTTTATGTCGAAGCCGCTCGAATGAGGAGGTTAGGAGGGCAAGACCAGAAAATTCACACCACTCCAAGTGCCATGGAAAAGGAGTCGTTCCGCTGAGATCTTGATCGGAGCCCAACACCCAGTCAACTAGATCTTCTTCGCCCAAGATATAATGCATCATACTCCGGCCCGTCTCATCCTCCCTCAGCAGATCAAACTTCAACTTAGATAGATTGTCCAAAGTTCCAGGGTTGAGCGACACTTCCTCGCAAATTGTCGAGAATCGCGGTGGGTCTGATACAGTCAAGAGCTCCTTCGGTAAGCGTGAGAAGCTGACAGGGTGCGCTTCATCGAACAGACTACCATCGAACCAGCTGATCAATGACGCAAATGATCCCAACCTGCAGACTGCAGCCATAGATGCCCCAAGCGAGACCAAGTGCTGCGCTGTGTCAGCATCTTTCGAGTATATGAGAGGCGTCCACCCGTTCGAATCGGCCGCATCGATATCAGCTCCCCTATCCAACAGGAGTGAGATTCCATCCTTGTTCCCATTCCACGCAGCTTTGTGCAGCGCCGTTGTGCTTGCACTATGTTCCCAAATTAGCCTGCTGTTTTCGCAGGAGAACTTTCTCGACAACAAGCGGTTCAGTACGTCTTTGAACGTTTGTGAAGATCTGTGGGAAGTTTAGTTACTTGCCGTCACGTTCCTTAAATCTGCTTACCCGATGTAGTGTGTATGCTCTTCTGCTACCTCAAGTAATATCTCGAGACCTTTCGTATTCTCGTTTTCAATTGCTTCATGCAATGGGAACTCATGCCCAAACCGCAAATCGCCGCCTTCCAAGAGATACTTCTGGAACAGTTCCGGCAACAAATGATTGAGGCCTGATCGACATGCAGCCATGTCAATCACGTTCAGGTCGACTTCGCCCTCATCATTCTCTTGTAAAGCACTAGCTCCTTCTTGTAACAACCAATACCCCATGCCAATATTTTCCGCCTCCAAAGCTACTAGAAGTGCGGATAATCCTTGCCTTGATGGGAGCGGGACATCGACAGGGCACCCTTTCTCGATCAATTGTCTCATACTTTCATAGTCCTCTTCTTTCATGGCTCTTTCGAACGACATTGCCAAGCGCTCTCTTGGTTCCACAAATTCGGTGAGTTCTTGGGCAGAAGAAAGTAATTGGTAGCCACTTCGAGTGTCCCCTTCCAAGAGCTCGTAGATTTCGTCGAATCCAAGCTCGAAGGAGATCCGACCAGGGGTCCTACCGTTTGCATCCAAAGTTTGAGATGCGCCATATTCAAGTAAGCATTGGACTGTAGGCAAACTCCCGCCCAGTACGGCCATGTGCATTGGAGTGAGGCCAAATCGACTTTCTGTCATTGTGTCGAACCCTCTTACAAGAAGGAGCCTCAGAACATCTACGTATCCTTCATAGGCAGCGATATGTACTGGTGTTAGCCCTTCATCTGATATCGAAGCCTTGTCCATTTCTGAAGCGTGATTCAGTATGAACTCCAGGCATGTCACATTGTTGCAGGCCGATGCCAAATGAAGTACATTCCCGTTTTTGACCGCTGCTGTTTGGTAAAGATGCCTAATATTGAAGGTCACTGGATCGGACCAGCCAAACGGTGTCTCTGTTTGTGTTCTCTGATCCAGGATCCTCTGTAGAAAAGGTAAATTGTGAGTGACAACACACGCAAGAACCGCATTCAAAGACGTTTTGCCTTTAGCATATGGATTCGCTCCCAATTCTAGCAATTTCTCTGCAAACTGAAAAGAAGACTTTTGGAGGTGATAGACGAGGGGTGTTTCTGCAGACAAGCCTGACGCGACATAGTTTATGTCGAATCCACGTTGAACGAGTTCTTCCACCAACCAAATTATGTCGGTTGCGTCTTCTGGTGTGGCAAGTGTATGAAGAGGTGATCCGTGGTCCGTTTCAGAAGAATCCTTCACTATCTCATCAATGCTGCAACATTCCAATAGATTCTCGAGGACCTCAGTTCCCTCCTCGCTTTCACAAAGCTCGATCGCCACGCGAGCGCAAAATGCGATTTCAAATGGTGTTTGACCATTCACACGATGATGGGGGTTGGCTCCATTCTTGACGAGGAGTCGTATCATATCGAAGTCGCCACTATTTATGACATCTTGGAATAAAAGAGATATCGAGTCAGAGCTTTTCATACCATCCCAGTAATTGGTTTGCAATATGGCATCGCGAATTACAGGTATCAGTGAGGCTTGATAGTTGAATAGAAGTGGTTTCAATCCACTTTCTTTGAATTGTTCCTCGTAAGTACCCATCGCGCCAAGTCGAAACATGATTAACATCATTGTCTCAAATTCAACCGTGTTAACGTATCTCTCCTTGCTGTACCGGTCGTTATCTGGTAGATAACAGGCAAAGTACCACAAGCTCTGCTTTTCGCTTAACTCGGAGTCTTTTAGATTTTCGGGGAAAAGACTCATGATGATATTGTGTTCTGGATCCTTGCGATTGTTGAGCGTATTTGTGATATACTTCTCGAGTGGTAGTCTGCCATTAACTCTTGACTTAAGAGCGTCTGGATAAATCTTTGTGAGTAATTGGACTTGACTCAAAGAGACCCAGGCTTTCAGTTTGTGCAATGGCGTGGGGTCGGTTCCTATCATACTGTCGAACTCAGAAAAGGCCTCCCTCAGAGAGTTGACGCTTGTTTCGGTCTCTAGGCTTTTTTCAATCCCCCTTTCTCGGTAGTATCTCTGTAGTAAGCCCAGAACCTGAAGGCATAGTTTGTTCAAGTCAAGATCGCGGTGTTCACTTCTTGGGCTCTCCCCAGCACTTTCGAACACCATAGTCAATGGCGTAGCACCATGAGGTGTTCTTCTCTGAAGCCCTTTGATCGCCTCTTCTGGATTCAGCTCGAATATTCCATTGACAAACTCATAGTTCAAGGGACGGTCTTGCGCCCAGTGATGGAAGATGTTGTAGCCATCTTGGTCCTGACTCATAAGAGATATTCCAAGATCTTTAAAGACCTCGAAGGGGCGCAAGCTGCCTTGACGCTCACACAGGTGAATTGGTAAGTCGCCTTTGTCGTTGTAGGTATAGGGATCGAACCCTGTAATAACCAAAGCTTTGAAGACATCAAAGGCGTTATGCTTGACTGCCAGGTGTAAAAGCCCATTGACCGGACCGGAATGTCGAACTTGATTCTTCAGTCTCCTATCTGCAACACAGTACTTGAGCAGATCAACATTGTCGCTGCAAACAGCTGAAACAATTTGGGAAACCAAATTATCGTCCGACATCAAGGCGCAAGAACCAACCAAACTCAAATCTCTTGTCAGAGAGAAGTCGCATTCTTGAGCCCAATTCCACACAATTAGGCCCAGCTCAGCACCCCAGCCGGTACTGTATGCTCCGGTTGAACTGAGGAATTTCAAGAGCATGCGAGTCGATACTTCTGCTACATGATTTGACGTATCAGTGGCCACGAGCCATTCTTGAAGTACCTTGACCTCAGTGACGGAGGGAGTGGTGTGGGAGCATAAACAGCGAAAAACGGGGTATAGGTCATGAAATATCGATGCAAACAAACAGGTGATAGATAAAACGGAGAGCGTATTTGGGGGGATTAAATGGTCTGAGCAAAGCGCTCCAGCATGCATCAGGCAGTCAATCGTCATATCTCGTCGCTGAGTTGAGGGCAAGAACTCGTTTCTTCCAATGATCATAAGATCACGATGTTGGTTCTTCTCCCCACTCATCTCCGCCAATCCAGGAACTGCCAAAATAGACATGAACGCGAGGTCTAGAGGGGTTGCGGCATCCAGCTTATCGTTCACATCCGAACTACTGCTGATCAAGAAGCTGCATATCTCAGGAAGATTCAAAGCAGCAGCCATGTGCAGTGGCTTAAACGAGGGGGTCCTTACTATCCTCCAAGCCTGTATTTCGGTCTCATTCTTCGTGTCGAATCTCGACCCGATGCCAGTGGCATACATAACATTCTTGAAGACCTCAACAGCCCAGCACATAAAATATGCTCGCTTGGAAGGCTGGAACAGAGACTTTGCTAAATCCAGAATGTTTGATTCACCCAGTCCGTCTTTTGTGAGCTTTATCCACAAGAGAGCGGCATGTCTGTAGAATGGGTAGCTCCCGTCCCTTTGACGAGTAGCAGCAACTTGTTGGTTCGGCTCATCAGGCATCTTATCAAAGTTCTCCATCTGAAGAAACTTTAGGCACTGCGTAGCAAGAAGGGAGTTCATTTTGGGTTGGGCAATCCAATATTTTTCTATGCCAGTCGTTTGAAAGATTGCTTTCTCGTCTTCCAGGAATTCGCGGACAGAGAAGTGGGCAAATTCGAAGTATTTCCCATCTGTAGATTTCCGGATGAGGCTGCTGCACCTCTTCATTATTTCGTATTCCGGTACAATGCTGCCCTCATCTAGCGTTCCACCTATTGCTGGTGTTGAGACCGCTTGTCGAAGCTCAACTATTGTCAACTTTGGATCTGCTACGGCCATGAAATGAAGACACATCTGGACCATGTTTTGTACACCAACAGAGCAGCTGTTGACTCGTTCGAGAAGGCGACGATAACTCTCAGGAAGATCTGGGGGGAGCTTGCTTAAAGCCTCGCGGCGCTCTTGGTCGTGAGCACAGTTGCACAGGTAGTCCAACTGACAAACTACCCATCTAAACCTAGACTCTGTTATTTTGGCTTTTAGTGCACAATCACGGTGGTCTTACATCCCATCGGCCTTTCCTACCAAAGCACTCCGGATCTCCTCTTTCATATCCGCACTGGCCAGCTGCAGTTGTCGTGTGCGAATCCTCTTATCAACTTCGGCATTGACGTAGAGCTCAACATCCTCAGTATGTGCTGCTATTTGGATAGGTTCAAATTCTTCTTCGAGTCGTACACGAATGTTGTAGTGATCCCGGCTGAAAAGAGCCATTGAGAGTCTCTCAGAATAGTCGGCTACTTGAATCAAGTTGTCCACCACTTCATCAGTCAAATCATCGCACTCATCGAGACCATCGACCACAATGATGGTTTGATCGAATGTTTCACACATTTGACTGATCTGGGCTCGCAGTTCGTCTGCATCTGGGGTCTGTGGGAGTCCTCCTGGTGGGTAAAGACTTTCGTAATACGCGTCCAGGACGTTGTAAGATTCATCGTTTTGACGTGCAAGTTGAGAAGCCAAAGCACCAAGGATATTCACTATGTTCCATGTTTTTGAATCCTTGTAGTCACAAAAGAAGAATGCCATTCCTATCCTGCGAGAAGCGTAACTGCGAGAGAGAGCCTCTTGAATAACGGAGCCAGCGAGGATCGTTTTCCCTGCTCCAGGTATACCAGTCAGCCACAGTTTGGAGCCTGGTGTTTCGAGCCAGCGAATAAAAGTTGGCGACTCAGTCAGCCAAAGTCCTGTCATTGAATGACGAAGCCTGATACTTGTTTGCAGTGCAGGTTGTGGATTCGCTTTCATGAAATGGTCAAGAATGCGCTTTTTTCGGTCATTGATGGCTATCATGGTGTTGATCTCAATCCTTCTTGCCACCTCTCCTAGAGCCGTAATCTTCTTGTCTATTTCATCAGATTTGGAGAGCGATAGCTGTATCTTCCGCATCGAGTCAGCAAGAAGGGCGACACTGATGGTTTCCTTGTGTCGGGACAGCTCGGCCAGAAGCTCTTTCGTTTCTGACGATGAAAAGGGCCATTTGAGCTGTCGAACGATCCCGTCAAACTTGGATTTCTTGAAACTTTCGGAGGCTTTTTTTACTCTTGATTCAATTCTGTTGAATGTCTTGTAACAGTGATTAAGATAGTGGTTCCTCAATGTCGGGTCGAAGGATTGCCCTTCATCCTCCAGATCTGATGTCAAAGCCTCAAGGCGTCGCAACACGCTTGCGAGATTGTTGATCTCATCAACAAGGCTCTGGATCTCATCCTTTGCATCTTTGGCGGCTCTGACAAACTTGTATGTGGTTTTGAAGACAAGATCGGCAAGTGAGATTAGACCGGCGATACTGGCAGCAAGAGAGAGGGGATCAGCCATGGCGAGCGGCTGTACCAGAATTATCGCGTTTCAATCTTGATCATTATATTGAATAAAATGGACTCCGTCCCGGGGATTGAGACTTATCATACCACCCCGCATGGTGCGGCTGATGGGAAGGTAAGATCATGCAAGTCCTGTCAGCCCTCCACTGCAGAAGGTGCCTTACTGCAGTTTCTGCCTAAAGCAGGCGCACTCAACCCAGACCAGGCCTTTGAAAGCGACTTAAACAACTTTGTAATAAATGACTTGCACTACCTTACCTAGATTGGTAACAGTACACCCAAGCTTGTATCTACGAATTTTCAAGAAGGTGCCCTTGTTCTTTTCGCATCCAGCCGTCCTTGGAATTGACCAGGCTACAAGATCTCAAAGTCTATGGGCAATTCTTTCCCCTGGACCCAAGCAGCAACACCAGCAGCAAACAACTCCGGTAACTGTAAATGCCAAGGGTGATAAGCATCTCTCACAACAACAGCCTCATTCTTGACTCCCTTCTTCTGTCCTCCCTCTCTCAGAATAACTCCCATATCTCGTACAGGGTCAATCTGATCCATTCTCCCTCCCGAAATAACACAAGTTCTCACTCCAGAATCAGCAATAGCTTTGACATCCTCCATACTAAAGGCATTGAGCTCCTTATTCATCGCCTTGGCCCTCTCTGGTGAATGGTTCTTCTTCGCTTCGGCAACCCATTCCTCATAGTCAATTCCCTGCCGCCGCAGTGACGTCTCGAGTACACCGGGAATATTCTGTATGCTATTCACAATTGACATGGCCATCGGGTGCTCCATGAACCATTTGAACATCCCCCTGTAGGGATAAGCACCTGTTGCAAACGTCGACAGCACGACCTCGGGATGGCGAGGTGTGAGAACGAGCGCAACGAAACCACCCAGAGATAAGCCAACGACGTGTGCTTTTCCGCCATGAGAGTGCTTTTGAATGACTTTGTATACTTCGTCAGCAGCCGATGCGAGTGTTAAAGGACGCCCGATGTCCCAAGATCCAGAGTGCATTGGAAGGTCGACGAGTATTAGATGATAAGAGGCCAGTGACTGCTGGGGAGCAACCAATTTCCACTCTATATGACTACCTCCGCCACCGTGTAAGAATACTACTGATTCATTCTGGTCTTTGTTGCGTTCCTCAAAGTAGAGCAGTTGCTCTTCGTCAATGGGTACCTCGGACATGTTGACAGTTGTTCGGGAACAAATTATTTACATAAAGTATAATGACTTTTGACAGCAGCGAATCATAGAGATCTCTAACAAGTTTAACAGGAACTGAAACTAATTGGGGCTTGGCATGTATTTAAAGTATCACAGCAACAGGCTTTGGGAGAACTAAACTCTCATCGCTGCTGAGCTCCCGGGTAATCGGCAGACTTTGGTGATAAGGAACCAACATGCATACGTATCACAGCTAAACATTGGTCAAATCAATACGAGGTCATTACCTTGGATAGACTCGGTTCAAAAGTTCATGAACTACTCAGATAAAGGCCAATCAGCCTTGTTGTCCTTACAAACCCGGATTTGGAAACTCTCATTCCAATCCAATGTCATGATGATCGCAGGGGGATCAAAAACAGGGGTAATCCACGCCACAGCGCACGTGGACCCACCCCCATGACAAGCTAACTCAAGCTACCCCAGATCACCACCTTGAACCTTCAACCTTACCCCTTCACCAACCCATTTTATCGACGAAATATCCGACCGCCAGAATGGCCGGTATTAGACTCCGCGATGTCAGCGGGTACCTGATCTTGCTCATCGCAATCACGACTCTGGGGTCGTTGCAGTTCGGTTTTCACTTGGTACGTTCCTAAAGCTCAGATCACCATGATAATAGCTAACTCTTCTCCAGGCTGAACTCAACGCACCCCAGGATGTTATTACGTGCCGCAAGAAATCGATCTCCGCCCTCGATAAGATCAAAGGACTGGTCTACAAACCGAAAGACGATGCTGTATCGGGCTTCTTGCCACATTGTATTCCCATGGATGAGGCTTCTTTTGCGACGATATCTTCAATCTTTACGCTTGGTGGGCTGTTGGGAGCTTTGACCTCTGGACCCTTCTCGTCCAAGCGTGGACGTCTTCCTGCGATGCGTATCACAGGTCTGCTCTACTTGTTTGGGGCGGCTGTCGAGACCGTCGCAGGAAGCGTCTTCATCATGGCTTTGGGGCGCTTGTTTTCTGGTATCGGAGCTGGAGCGTCGACTGTCGTTGTTCCTCTTTACATCAGTGAGATTGCGCCGCCTAAGGAACGAGGACTGTTTGGCTTTATGACACAGATCTCGATCAATGTTGGTATCCTGGTGGTTCAGACCATGGGATTCTTCTTGAGTTATGGCACTGCTTGGAGATGGATCCTTGCTACTGGAGTCTTCATTGCGACAGCTCAAACACTGGGCCTCTTCGTTGTGCCAGAAAGTCCATCGTGGCTGGCGGCGCAGGGCAATGCGCCCAAGGCCAAGCGGACCCTCCAGAGAATTCGTGGCAACGGCTACGACATTAACGAGGAGACTGAGTCTTGGGACTCAGATGAGCGTGATGCGTCTGAGGAAGATGGCTTGCTTCAGGCGGATAGTGCCTCTGAATCACCATCAAAGAACCGGATTGAACATCTTGGATTCTTCGAAGTACTGAAGGATCCCGACACCAGACCTGCAATCGTCGCCGTTGTAGGCATCATGTTTGCCCAGCAGCTTTGCGGTGTCAACTCGATCATCATGTACTCGGTCTCTCTTCTTGCCGACTTGCTGCCTGTTTCTTCATCGCTGCTCACTATTCTCGTTTCTGTTGTTAATTTGGTTACGACTATCGCATGCGCACCTCTTCCAGATCGCCTCGGTCGTAAGACTTGTCTGCTTGCATCCATTGTCGGACAGGGAACTAGTGCTTTGATCCTGGCCATCTCAATTGTGTTTGGAGTCAAGATCCTCTCAGCCATCGCCGTCGTGGTCTTTGTCGGCTTCTTCGCAGTTGGTCTGGGCCCAGTACCATTCCTGATCTCCTCCGAGCTGGTCGGACAGGAAGCTGTCGGCGCCACGCAAAGTTGGTGTCTAGCAGCTAACTACGCAGCGACTTTCCTGGTTGCTCAATTCTTTCCAATCGTAAACTCAGCACTTAACGACTTGCTGGGCGGCCACGGATGGGTCTACTTTATCTTTGCAGGTCTAGCCGCTGGATCTGCCATCTTTGTGTTCTGGAATGTACCAGAAACAAAGGGCAAGAAGGACGTCGATGAGGTTTGGGGCAGGACAAGGCGCGTTGATTAGAAGCCTGCGACAAATGCTGCCCTGATCTATCATCGCTAAGCGCTCACGATTGCTATAAAGCGTGGGGTACGCGCGCGGAGTGATTTTTTCATTTGTATTCAAGCAGCGTACTCTAGATATTCGCAGATGGCTCTACAGATAGAACGAAGCGCTTGCTGATTTACCGAAAGATTCGCTTGCTGCGGATCATCTGCTCCAACTGCATGACGCCCGCCTTGACTCCGTCAATGATGTAGACAAGGTTACCATCAGCCTTGCCGTACTCCTCGATAGCCGTTGATCGGATGATTTCCTCCAGACCAGCCATACCACCGCATCCCATGAGCACAACCGACACTTGTCCCTCATTGAGCAACTTTCGTGTCGCCTCCTTGAGCTTCTCCCTTACCTTCTCAGGGGGAACAGTGTGAAAGTCGCCCGCCGTAAGTCCAGACGAGAAAACACCAGCAAACTTGCTATTCACCCCATCCTTCTCCTGTCCAAGAAAGTTCTTCACACCATGCGACAAATGGTCTTCCCACCACATTCCGGTCGTGACGATTCCCCATTTTCCTGTATTATCCGGCGCAGCCATAAGCGAAAGAGACGTGAGAATACTTGCTTCAAAAATCCCCGTCACAGCAAGATGTCGGTACCTAGTCAACTTTGACACCAAGCAATGAACGCTGAAGCACGCAACGAGAACACCGTCGTACTTATCAGACTCAAGCTCCTCCTCGATCTTGGGATCATCGAGAACGGCCTGCGTGCTGCGGTCGATGCCCTCTTGGTCGTTGATGCTCCCTGGGGCGAAGTCGGGAGGGGCTGTGTAGGTATATATCTCAACTGACTTTTGTGACACATCAGCCTGTGTAGAGTTTATAACTGTTTGTTTTAGCTGTGTATCATACGTCTGGGAGTGACATTTGGCGGATGGCGTTGGCCATGCCGTCTGTCATGATGGTGGATGAGTTTGGGTTTAGGACGAGGATGCGGAGATTCCGCCGGAGGAAACGGAGTTCGGACATATTGGCCTAATTTTGAGACTCAGTTGTAAATATCAGGACAATTATAACTCAATAAAGTTCTAGAAACTGCTCTCGCCCTCAGAAGTAATATTCCTCAGTTCTTCTTGAGAGGGGCCTCTACATGACGGCAGCTAAAGAGCTCGCGGGGCGCCACGTGATCCGCCTCAGCCACCTCTGACGACGGTCGGCCACTCGAACCCCACTACTGACGACCACCTCAACCTCCTCTAAGCTGAAGCTCCCATATACCAACACGACACCTCCTCGACCTCACAACCCTCCCAATACACATCTCCCGTCGTGGCCCATCGCAAAAATGTCTAACCCTCCACCCATTGGTAAGCTCCTCCTCCCCCCTCCCAAGCTCCAGAAGCTCCATCTCTCCCCTGACGCAAGCTGACCTTAACCTCTACCGCTTAGTCCTCGACGGAGGTACCGGTTTCCTCAAGGTCGGATATGCCGCGCAGAACTTCCCCGAGCATCAATACCCCTCCATCGTAGGCCGACCGATCCTTCGTTCCGAGGAGCAGACCGATAGCGATGTTGTCATCAAGGATATCATGTGCGGTGACGAAGCTGCCGCTGCGAGAACAATGCTCCAGATTAGCTACCCCATGGAGAACGGTATCGTTAAGAAATGGGACGATATGGAACATCTTTGGGATTATACCTTCTTCGAGAAGCTCAAGGTGGATCCTACGGGCCAGAAGATTCTCTTGACAGAGCCTCCTATGAACCCTCTTAAGAACCGAGAGAAGATGTGCGAGGTTATGTTTGATAGATATAATTTTGGCGGTGTCTACGTCGCCATTCAGGCTGTTCTGGCTCTATACGCTCAAGGTGAGTTTACCCAGAAGCTTCATTGCTTCTTGCGCAAAGTTGGTGCTGATTAATGCGGTGTAGGTCTTAGCTCCGGCGTTGTCGTCGACTCTGGCGATGGTGTCACACACATTGTGCCCGTCTACGAATCCGTGGTCCTCAACCACCTCACGAAGCGATTAGACGTTGCCGGCCGAGACGTCACGCGCAACCTCATCAAGCTGCTGCTGCGCCGCGGCTACGCTCTCAACCGAACCGCCGATTTCGAAACCGTTCGCCAGATCAAGGAGAAGCTATGCTACGTGTCGTATGACCTCGAGCTCGACAAGCGCCTGAGCGAGGATACCACTGTGCTTGTTGAGGATTACACCCTGCCGGACGGACGTGTGATTCGCGTTGGTAGCGAGCGTTTCGAAGCGCCCGAGTGTCTTTTCCAGCCTCACCTCGTCGATAGCGAATCCCCCGGTCTGGGCGAATTCCTCTTCAACACTATTCAATCAGCCGACGTTGATATCCGCTCGTCTCTGTTCAAGGCTATTGTTCTGTCTGGTGGTAGCAGCATGTATCCTGGTCTTCCGTCGCGATTGGAGAAGGAGCTCAAGCAGCTGTGGCTTACACGAGCGCTGCAGGGCAACCCTGAGCGTTTGAGCAAGTTCAAGGTGCGGATAGAAGATCCTCCGCGACGTCGACACATGGTGTTCCTTGGTGGTGCGGTGTTGGCCAACATTATGGCGGACAAGGAGAGTATGTGGGTTACCAAGGCGGAGTGGGAGGAGGAGGGTACTAGGGTGCTTGAGAAATTGGGACCGCGATAAGAGAGAGCCTCTGAGCGTTTGTTAGAGGGGATGGTATTTTGCGTTCAAGTTAGTTTGTGGTAGACAGCAAGAAAAGACGTTATGAAGATTATGTTGCCTTCATTGAGGGTTGCTCATTTCTTTGTTTACGCCAATTGGATGAATTGACCATTCCAGACAGTTGCGCAAGATAAGACCATTGAGAGTGACAGCATGGGAAGTATAGTTCATGATCATTCCAAAACTGTGTCCAATGTAACCATCACCAACAAGCTTAACACCAAAAAACCAGCTTAGTCATCACTGATATGTGACAAACAGTCGCAAAGTTCTGGAACACGAGGCATGAATCTCAATCATACCAAACCATCTTCACCTTTATCTTTTGTCGCAATCACTCCCATCACCAGCGCAACTGATCGCTTCACAGCCAGACTCATAACCATCTTATTCCCAATCCCCTAAAACTCCACAGGGCTCCGCAGCGATACCCCATATCGCGTCTCTCCCCAAAGGAATACGGTAGAGATCCGCGCCGCAAGAGGATTCGAACTGGAACTGAGTACAACGGCTGCAGTTACCGAGAAACCTTACAGTGCTGTACCGTTTTTAGAGTCTGCGCGCCAAAGGCAAAAAAAGAGAGTGTGCAGTGCTGTACTCCGTATACGGTTCACTCATCCTATCAACTCTCACGCGTCGTGCATTAGAACGAGAACGAGTTTACTCAAATCTATTACCTACTGTTCTTCCCCGCGCGGGGAAGCCTTTTCCTTTTTGATTGATACCAGCGGCGTACACTACATACGGCACATCCAATCTCCTTCTTGTGGGTGATACTCCACTCGCAAATCATTGATTGATTCCCGCTTACGGGACAGAGAGAGAGATTGCTCGGAAGGACCGTTCCGTTTTTGAAGGTTCCGGGCACGTAAATGAGTGTAACGAACCCGCCGACGGGGGCTTCGGGCCCGGGATCCGTTGGCTTGGGTGCCGTCAGGGGGAGTATGAAGAGGAGTGTTCAGGCGTCTTTTGAGGGTGAGTCCGTTCTATTTTCTCTCTATTCCTCATCTTTTGATTTGGCATTGGATTGTCACATCTCACGAGCATATATCGCCTATCTAAAGTTCCTTGTCTCCTATATCGGTCACACTGCACTAGTCTGTCTACTCAACCGTTGCATGCATTTGTATCTCTTCCGTGTCCATTCAATATTCATTCTCATTTCCACATACATAATCTTGTCATCAGCTACTGAGAATTACGTTTTCCTTTTTTATCGTCTTTCTCCTCTTATTTAAAGTGCCCTTTTTTGCCTCACTCGGGGTTTGCGCCGCATACTTGCCCGAACAGGAAAAAGATTTTCCTGAGGTGTCGACTTTGAACAACGACTTGCCTGACTCGAACTCAACTCAACTCAGCTCAGCTCAGTCTCGGTTCGGCCGAACTATCAACAACTCAACGTCTTTTTTTACGTCTCGTCAGCTGAAGCGTCTTTGTCTTTGTCATCGTCATCACTTTATTTAATCTTTCGGCGTCTCATTCTTTTTTTCTTTCTTTTTTTTTTCCGTCCTCGGCGTCTAATAAGCCTCCGTTGCTTTTTGTCATTACAGCTGTGGACCACCAGCCTTTTCCATTTCGCCTCAATCACTCACCATCGTCATCTCACTCATCTTTTGTGCCAATGCCAAGTGGTTAAACGCACACTTTATCAACGAGACACGAGCCTTGATACTCGGCGATGCCTCTCCGCCCTCACATCGGCCTCGGGTTTCCTGCTCACGCTTACCAAAAACGTCATGTAGAACCTCACGATCGCTCAACTGGGTATCAGCCCAAAGTCCGAATCACAGATCGTTACCGTATCATTGGCTTCATCAGCTCGGGTACCTATGGACGGGTTTACAAGGCTGTTGGCCGAAATGGCAAGCCTGTTGGCGAATTCGCTATCAAGAAGTTTAAGCCTGACAAGGAGGGAGAACAGATCAGCTACACGGGTATCTCTCAGAGTGCTATCCGTGAGATGAGTCTTTGTAGCGAACTTCACCACATCAACGTCATTCGTCTGTGCGAAATTATGCTTGAGGACAAGTGCATTTTCATGGTCTTCGAGTATGCCGAGCACGATCTATTACAAATCATCCACCATCACACTCAACAGCCACGACATCCGATTCCCCCGGCAACCATCAAGAGCATCATGTTCCAGCTCCTCAACGGGTGTCAATACCTACACATCAACTGGGTTCTCCACCGCGATCTCAAACCCGCCAATATCATGGTCACTTCATCAGGCGAAGTCAAGATCGGAGACTTGGGTCTAGCACGTCGTTTTGACAAACCTCTACACTCACTCTTTAGCGGCGATAAAGTTGTCGTTACTATATGGTATCGTGCTCCCGAACTTATCCTCGGTTCGTATCATTACACACCTGCCATCGATATGTGGGCTGTCGGGTGTATTTTCGCTGAACTTCTTTCCTTGAGGCCGATATTTAAGGGAGAAGAAGCCAAAATGGATAGCAAGAAGACTGTCCCCTTCCAACGCAACCAGATGCAGAAGATTATCGAGATCATGGGCGTACCTACAAAGGATAAATGGCCTCTATTACCGACCATGCCTGAATACAACCAACTCAACACTCTCGCCAATTCCATGGCATCATCTCACCATGGTCACCACAGCCATCATCATCCTCATCACCATCACGGCCACTACGGCTCCCGCAACCCACCACCACCTCCTCCAGGCGGCTCGAACCTAGAAAAGTGGTACTACAGCACTATCAACCACACCAGTGCTCCCGGCGGCACACCACCACTTGCCTCCCTCGGCTCAGAAGGCTACAAGCTTCTCGCCGGTCTTTTAGAATACGACCCCTCAAAACGACTCACAGCCGCCCAAGCTCTTCAATCTCCCTTTTTCTCAACCGGCGACCGTGTCAGTGCGAATTGTTTCGAGGGATGCAAGAATGAATATCCATGTCGACGCGTGAGTCAAGATGATAATGATATAAGGACGAGTAGCCTTCCGGGTACGAAGCGGAGTGGATTACCTGATGACTCGTTAATAAGGCCTGCCAAGAGGCAGAAGGAGTAGGATTCCAAGGTGATTAGAGGTCAGGCGCAACGAATCGTTCGTCCTCGGGTCGTTCACCCACCGATTATTCGCCCTCAGATGGTCTACCCACGATTGTTCACCCACCTCCATGTTTCTGTGGATGGTTTGTAACGCAATCTTTGCACCGGCAAGCAGGGAGAGGGTTATATCCCTAATTATTGCGTGGCATGATACGGATACGGCGTTTATGTATACATGGAGTATAGCAGCCAGTTTTTGGCCAGCGGAGAGATGGAGCGGTTGTTATAGCATATACCCGGCGTTTGAATAGAATGGCGATCACTGTACTACAACATAGCAGTGGCGCATGTGAATGCAACATGACTTTCGCAGAAAGATGTCACGAAACAGTCGTCACGACCAAGAAGTTGGACCCCATGCGCCGTTAGTAGAGCTCTTGTATCTCATACCGTCCGTCGGGTCTTCAGCCATGACCTGATCAATATCGGGATGAACTGCACAGGACAAAACAACGATATAGAGAAGAATGAGGAACAGTTGAGGTAAAAGAACGTCGTCAATACTCAATTCACACTACCAGTACCTCTATCATCCCAACCCACCTCCTCTCAAGTCAATCTACACCCCTAACCATCTCACATCATCGCCCCAAGAAGTAAAAAGGGTACCATATCATTAAGACAAATACCATAAAAAGGGGGCCAGTGACATTATTTTAACACAGGATCTCTTTCTTTCACCAACGGTACGAAAACGCATAAAAACAGCAACGACAAAGATTCAACAATACAAAAAAGACTTTCGAGGTCGACATGCCTCAGATACGTCTGCCTATCTCTTCTCTCTCTCTCTTTTTCACAAACTGCCTACCCACCCGTGTGAATTATCTATCATTTTTGTGTAAGTTCCTCCCCACATCCCCCCTTCTTCAGATACTGAGGTAAAGAGTTTTGAGTTACTAAGTAAGTTGGTTTGTACCCCCACAGACAAAGCTGAGAGGGGAAAATAATAATAAAAAGAATTAAGAAAAAAGAAGAAGCAAAGATATGATAAACAGTCCGGGTATTTCAGCAAATTCGGCGAGTTGTTTGGTGTGAGGAGTTTGGAAAGGGCGTAGATGAGGGTTTGAGGGGTGATTCTCCTTTTGGAGAGGAGGGCTGTTATGATCCCGAGATGTGGTGTAGGCGATATATCCTGCCTTGCCTCAAGCGTGGTATAGCTTGTAAACTCTTGATGTCGAGACGTAGGTTCGGGAGGAGAAAAGGAATCGGGATCGTTTCGAGATAGTATGATGGTGGAAAGCCCTCGTGGTGATGACGAGAAACGTCGCAAGACTCGCTCCTCGTCTACTTCTTAGCCGGAGTCGGAGGGGCCTTGACATTGTTGGACAACCACGCCAGACCCTCAAGGAGACCCTCGCCTGTGGTGGCGCAGCTGGGCACCACGTACCAAACCTTGTCCTTGAGCTTGGAGAGCTGAAGAGCCTCGGTGACTTCTTGGGGTTTCATAGCTACATCCTGTTAGCGGAATCGTAGCTCGGGGTTTAAAGGGAGACGAACCCTCTGCCAAATCTTGCTTGTTAGCAAACACGAGTAGTAGACTGTCCTTCATCTCACGATCGTTGATGATTCGGTGGAGTTCTTGTCTAGCCTCCTCCATTCGGTTCCTATCAGAAGAGTCGATAACGAAGATAAGACCCTGAGTACCTGCACCCCAAAAGCATCAGTATACAAGCCCCCTCCCCAACGGACCGTTATAACTCACCGCTGAAGTAATGCCTCCACAGAGGACGAATCTTGTCCTGGCCACCGACGTCCCAAACGTTAAACTTGACATTCTTGTACGTAACCGTCTCGACGTTGAAGCCGACCGTTGGAATCGTGGTGACGTCCTGGCCCAGCTTGAGCTTGTAGAGGATAGTTGTCTTTCCGGCTGCGTCGAGACCGAGCATGAGGAGGCGCATCTCCTTTGATCCGAAGATCTTGCCCATCATCTTTGAGAACTGGCCGCCCATGATTGCGGCTTGTGTAGAGCGTGTTCGGTTATGTTATTCGGTATGCGCTCGTGGGGTGGTGTGATAGGAATACAGAGTTGAGTTGTCGTGTTTCGTTTCGAAACCTGCTCTCAGCGCAATGTGTCAGCCTCGCTTCTCTTGTGATACCAACAAAGCTCTCGAACACAACGGGAGGACAGAGAATGGCGTGTCAGATTACAGCAGGTACTGGTTGTAATTGTTGCTGTTGCTGTCGGACCTTCGTTCGCCAAAGAAAGGCGAGAGATCTTGACAAAAGCAAACAAGGCTCCAGATTTCTCGTATCTCCCCGCTGTTGATTCCCACTCTTGTCTTGTCCTGTGCCCGAATCGTTTGTTTGTTTGTTTGTTTGTTGTCGCAGATAAAAAAAGACCCAGTACATACAATACACCTTGTGCTGTTGACTCTTCCGTTCGCGCGTATCGCAACGTTTGTTTTGTTTATTCGTATCGCAAAAAGGTCGTCCTTTGTTTCCGAGAAAAAAGGATCTGAAACTTGGCAGTGTCTTTTGTCGAAGTTGGAGTACTACAGTGCCCTCGAAGAGAAATGGATCTAACGTTAGCAGTATCAAGCATCAATCAAATCTGGACTCTTCTCTTTTCCCCCCCGTCAGGGGAAAAAAAAGGGACGGACGGGTCAAGCGAAAGCGGCTTCCCTCTTGTTTGCTCTTCCCTTCCCCTGGCCCTGAGCCCCTCTCGGCCTAGCGCCCAGCACGGGGCAACCACGCGGGCGGGGACACTGACAGCGCCAATCCCTTATGACGATAGGCCACTTGGGTCCCCTGTCCAGTCCCTGAAATGAGATACGGTCACTGCAAGGTACCCGGGCGGTCTGGCCTAGAGTGACCTGCCCTGCCCTGGCTCAAATTCCAGCCATAAACAACCTTACCAACAACCATCTATCCGTTTGTCCATGGGTCAATACTAACCTCCGAGGCTCTTATTAGCGTAGGCCTCAAATCACTTCACTTCGGTCCTTCGGACAACTTCATATCGTGCCCAATATCAACGGTAATAATACTTGATTGATACTTGCTATTGCGTCGTAAGCAACTGCTCTATAGACTGCTTTCCTGGAACCTATCATATCCACTGCAACGTTATCATTAAACGCACCGGAGCATATAACAACTCCTAGCACATATCTCCCTCCCATAAGCGGTAGCAACGTATATTGTGGTGCAGTCAGGCTATGCTCTGTATTCAATCACAAACCTCCTTTCTACCTGTTGCAGTGTTGAAGAGTCGTTCTCCCCCTCGAATTTGAGATTGACCTTGCCGTCGCTGTCCATGCTGTGAACCTCCGCCTTATAAAACGTGGTCGTGTTAGGATACAGCGCTAGCACAACCATGCCTGATTCCCAATCCTTCAACGTCGACGCCTGACTCTCAGGTGTGATGGGAATCATGCTGCTGGCACTTGATCGGTACTCCTTCTGTTTGCTCTGGTCCTCGGGTTCTATATCGAGAACCTTGTATCGTCGGCTTTTGCCCTCACCCATCACCTGCGCGACCTCACCCAGTATCCAGTCTGATGTTGACTCCCCATTCAATGCCTTGGGCTTGAATGCGACTGCATCGCCTTTTTGGAAAACAACTTTGGACTTGTTGTTCCCTGATCCGACACCACTTCCAACTGACCCCTGAGGCTCGACACTATCGGCCTTGGGTGGCATGCTGTCACGGTCTCGCTCCCTTTCTCTTTCTCTTTCCCGCTCTCGTTCCCGTTCTCTTGCTCGATCACCATATTTTCTTGCTGATGCTCCAATTGGACTTGGTACAGGCGAATCACCAGCCCCGTCAAAGTCGTAGAGCGAAGATGCTGCCGCCGTGCTATCTCGAGCATTCCTCTTGCCAGGCCCTGCTGCTTGAGCATCCTGCTGTTCCTTAGCGTGCACCACGGCGCGCAACACTTTTAGCTGCTCGATAGTATTTTTGAGTGCTGACATGTTAGCCTCCGAGTGCTTGACCCCTGTCCGACATAGCTGTTCCATCTCTTTCAACGAGTCACTTGGAATCTTCTCCAAGTCCATCGTACCGACTTGTTTGTCCATCGTGACAAGTTCCGTAAGACTGTCATTCTCGGCATTGATTCCAGAGACAATCTCCCCCACTTGACTCTTGCACAGCTCCCAGATCTGCACTTCCTCTCCATGTGTATTACCGTTGTTGCGGTTGGACGCCCGTCCACTTCTGTTTCGTTGCGACATCTCGCGGTTGTGGCGCTCCGGCTTCACCGACTCCGGCCGCGGGGTATTATGTTCACTTCTCGGTGACCTCTTCGGCGTACCCACGTCCGACGTAATATCCCGACTATGGTTCTTGGTTCTCGACTTAGTCGGACGGTTTGGGGTCGAATCTCTGCTCGAAGGATCCTGTCGCTTCGAGCCTGATCGTTTCGGCTCCGGCGTATTGGAGGACTGGCGTAGAGACTCTTGAAAGCTATTCTCCCTTGAGTGAGTACCACTTCGCCTAGGCTTTAGGGGAATCTGGTAATAGGGGCCGAGATCTTCTTGGAGGTTCTTGAGTTCGTCCCGCGCAGGCTTCTGCCCGTTAGCCATCCTGCCCCGATACCACCGCCTAAACACAATGTTGCGATGAGAATCAACCCGAGGAAGGAAACATTATGACGATGATGAGATGAGACGACAATGAATAAACGAAAACAGGCGCAATTAAAAGGAATTGGAGCGCATAAGATTCATGAATTCAATGAGAAAAAATTGACTAACCTGAGTTAAGAGAGGCCCGAGTGCTCACAGGCCGAGGCGGGATGGTATGGGGAAGGAAAGGCGACTAAGACAGAAGGCGCGTCGCAGATGAGAAGGGATCGGCAAAGTGAGCAAAAGAGGAGAGAGGTTATGACAGATTTTATATGTGAGTAGAGTTATTATATCATGTCATGAAATAGAGTTGAGGTATAATTGAGGGCTTATTATTGTTCAATAATGTAACTGTCGGGTATCATGTCGTGTCGTGTCGTATCGTGTCAATCGTGATGGTGCTTAGTCTTCCTCTAACAGTTGAGGCTGGTGATCCATTGCCAAGGGAGCATGCTCCGCGGCAGAACAAAAGGCGGTGAGGAAAAGAGGCGCCGCATTTGGAGGGGCGGCTTGAGGGGAAGCTACCTTATCATGACACCGATAAGGGTGCGAATTCGATATCCAATCGTCATTAACACTGTATCGTGATGTCTCATGAACTGTATAGCATGGTGTTGAGATGTAAATGGGCATTTGGCGTCCATCGGCCTGAGAAGTGACTCTTAAGTTAAAACTCACTCATCATGTCTCGAGGCGTTAACAGGGCACAGCCTTTGAACACAACATGCCCCCATGCAAAAGTCAATGTCAGGCCATAAAGAGTGCCATCATGAATATTTATTCCTCATTAAAAGTATATCTACCACAAACACCAATTTTCACTCTCATATCACTCCCAGATCATCTATAGCTTCTGCTTCTCAGAATCATCAATCTCACAAAACGCCTTGAATGTCGTAAACTCATCATCCTCAACCCCCTCACTCTCAAGCACAAGCTCAGCCGTGGCACCCACAAAGTACACATACCCCTCCTTCATCTCATAGCTCGTAGGTCCAACAGCGATTCTCCCCTTTCCACCGGTGCAAATGACAATGCTAGGTCCTTCGATAGGTTCAAAAGTAGCCTTTGCGCCGTTACCGCGGAGCAGGGTGCGAACGACGCTGAATTCCTCGATGGGCGGGTCGTAGAGTACTACTGCTGAACCGGAGCTGTAGGCGTTGCGGTTCAGTGTTGCGTAGGGATATTCGGTGGGTGTCATCTTTTGTTGCTCGATGGGGGCGAAGTTGTAAGTTAGCATGTCGACGAGGGTTGAGACGTCTTTGAACTTGGGGGTGAAGCCGGCGCGGACGACATTGTCTGAAGCTGCCATGCACTCCATGATGTCGCCAGAAATGTAGGCGTGGATGTCGTCTGCGACAAGGAACAAAGCCTCACCAGGCTCCAGTGTAACAAAGTTGAGAAAGAAGAGCACAAAGCAACCAATGTCGTCACCAAACTCGCCATGCGTTCGCTTCACAAGCTCAGCGAGCTTCTCACCAGAAGTAGCAGGGACACCACCACCAGCAAAATCAGCGCCCTCCTTCTCCGCTTGCTCAACGAGCTTGGGCATCTGCTCAGCAATATCCTCAGCAGACGAAGACATGAGCGCTCCAAAAGCCTTCTTCAAGAACTTCTTCTTCTCATCCGTAACACCATCCTCACCATCCTTAGCAACCTGCACAAACTCCTTCGCAGCCTCATCGCCCACAAGCGCTCTCAGCGCAGGTACTGTGTGGAGGAAGTGAGCAATCTCAGTGAGGGGTCGGAAGCCGCAGAGACCCTCGAAGGGAGTAATGGCGATGGCCATCTCGGGCTTGTGATTGTCATCGGGGTAGTTCTTTGCGTCGCGAGCGTGGAGTTGCTCGGCGAGCTTCTTGTTGGGATGGGCTTGGATCGAAAGCGCTTTTGCGATGGAGAGGACCTTGAAGAGGAAGGGAAGTTTGTTGCCGTAGTGGGAGGCGATGGTCTGAGAGAGGAGGGACTGGTTGTCCTCGCAGAGGTCGAGGAGGGTTCGGCCGGTGTTGAGATCTCGAGAAGGGTTTGAGGGGTGAGTTCCCATCCACAACTGCGAAGACAATTGTTAGTATGAGCTATAGACATATCATGTTGATGCTCACCTCTGCGTATGGAGTATCAGACTCGATCTTCAGGTCGTCAGAGGGCGTAGCGGCCGCAAATCGCGCAGCAGCCGAGTCACTGCCCTTCTTTCCCCAGGCATACGAGTTAACGCCGCATTGTAGGCGAAGTAGAGGAACCTGCATGTTTGCGATGTTCGTTGTTGGCGGTGAATGCGACAGTGAAGCTGTAGCTTTAGTAGCTTGGAGGGGTAAAACGTCAAAAAGCGAAGCTGTGAATACGCGGGCCGGTATCTTCAGGGTAAATCCTCTAAGCAATAAATCGCAAAGAAGAGAAGAAAATATCAGGAATTGCAAGTTGGCCAAACAGAAAACAGATGATGACAGCAGTTATGACGGAGCCTGTGGAGGGGAAGCATTAGTATTACCCATCAGTTACGTTACCCCCATCGCCCAAATTTAGCTCCCCCTCCAGTAAACCACTCTAGCCACTATAACGACGGGACACGAACGTGGTGGTTCCGGGCTCCTTTGTAGGTAACTATACCGGAGAAGCGCCGTTTTTAGAACGTCCAAGAACCCCGCTGTGGGCCTGAGACTATCGACTTGACTGTTTCCTATTCTGGGTTGATCTTATCCATGTGATCGTGAGCCTCATTACACGATATCAGGGGTTTTATATTGCCACTAAAGGGCTCTAATTTGCCGTGATGAGGCCATTATTCGATGGTGTCTGGTATTTATCTCTCTAAACTTCCAATGTGGACAAGTGTCATTCGGAAGATAACTCACAAGCAGGTTGGTGAACAATGGATACACATCGTAAAGATACATGTTATTGGTAAAGAGCAGACTCAACAATGAGTACTCAATGCTCAAGGCGCTGCATACATGTACACAGGTGCTTCAGCAAACGACGTCAGCTTTTTCATCCAACTTAGACAAAGCCCAGTCATTATCCATTATGCTCCCGGTCCCTCCTCTCAATCTTGACTTTCACCATTTTTTGTTGTCCAAAAATAAAACAATGTACAGACTTATGCACCCAACAGACCAAAACACCTCATTTCCTCTTCCCAGAACTCCAAGGTCTAAGAACTCATGCAGCCCGGGCCCAATGATATGGCTAGCTGTGTTCACCGATGCAGCAACCTGTTTTCCTCTCTTGTACCAAGACTCTAAAATTCATGGGCTGCATGGCAATGCCCTAGGGATAAAACGCCAGAGGAGGTCAAAGGTAGGGAAGAGCGATATGCTGCACACTTTGACGACCAATCATGCAAATAAACACAGAAAAGCAGAAAGAAATAGCACATAAATAATGTGTCGGGGTGGGAGGTAAGACTCGACCGAGGCGCCACCGTGGCACAAACCAACGCTTGATGTGCTTCCCCGGCAAACGCTGTGCTCATCGTCTTGAGAAATCTCTGGAGGACTAATAGCCTCCTAAATCGAGGTCGTTCCAAAGGCGGGACGGTCGATGAGTAATTCGTCCATGACAAGCGAGCTGATATCGGTTGGACATTCGTCCCATCACAACATATTGTGCGTTTTCGTGCCTCGTCAGGCATCTCAACTCCGGTTGACCTCGTCAAGACCCAAATCATTGCAATATCAGACAATGCTTTGCCGATGACAATGTTCGACATTGCCTGCCCAGAAAGAAAACATAGCGCACTGTAAAGCCTCAACCCGTGTTTCAATGCAAGCAAACAATGTACAGTTGTATTAGCCACAGCTAATTCAAGTCGTTCCGCTTCATACCGAACAGATACTAAGCTCGAAGCGTACCCGTAGTCTTGCGGTAGCTATCTGCGGTGGCATCTGCCCCAACGCTTCCAAGATCGCCAGCAGGCAACATGTAAGCTGCAGTCTGATGCGTCATGTAGTGCGTATTGCCGTGGCCCAGCGAGAAGGATGATATGCCGTTGCTGTTGAGGGTGGGCATGTCGCGACGAGCAGTAGTTGGAGGTGCCGCAGTAACTGAGGTGGTTGTGTCCATGTAGCGGTACGTCATGTCAGGGCCCTGACGCATAGAATCGGCCGGCCCCAACACGGATGCATCCGATGAACCTGTGTAGGCGTAGTAGTCGTTGCTTGAACGGCCGTACTGAGAAGCGAGGTTCGCAGGATACGAGGGCAGACAGCCCGAGGTGGAGGGCATGCTTGAGGACTCGTAACTTGTGTAACTCGAGGGCGCCTCGGAGGTGCTGCTCACAGGCGACGTATCTGATGTCGAGGCTTGCGACGACTTGCTGCTGCTGCTGTAGATAGAGCTACCAGAATCGTTCTTGTACGACGATCCCATCGAGTTGGGTAGCGCAGTCCGTCCCACTGGCGCGGGCAGTAGCCTGTCGCCCATGCTGACGCTCGCTGCCATGTTCTGGAAACCAAGGCTCTTCGAGTCAGGAGTGAGATTCTGATAGCCCAGACTCTTGGTGGAGTCCGGCATCATGGTCTGGTATGCAAGGCTTGTCGAGTCTGCAGTTACCAGGGCAGGCCGATGTACCAAGCTCGTGACAGTGTTTCCACTGCTGTAGGCGTAGTTTGGTTCAATGTCCACGCAGAGGGCAGACTTGCCTGGGGTTCTCGAGGCGATTCGATGGCCGATTGCATAGTCTGAATCATGAACTGAGGAGTAGGGTGCTTGGTACAGATTGCAGTTGTAGCTCTGGTCATCCGTGTATCCATGGCCCCAGGTTGAAAGGGGGCAGTATGGCTTCGCACCATACCCAAAGGTAGGAGGGGCACGGTAGATCAAGGGATCACTTGTGTAGGATGACACACCGTCAGTATAAGCTGGGGTGGTCGAAGGGAGAGACGATATGGCAGAGCTTCCTCTCGCTTGGTACTGTCGAGATGCTTCAAGACTGTAGGGAAAACTTTCACTCTTCACAATGGGTGTTTCATGAGAAGCAACCTAGTCCATAGTGTAAGTAATAAACCGCACAGCACTCTTTCACGTGAAAACATACTCTGAGGAACTGGCAAGGCTCAAAGCCTGCATTCTTGCAGTTGGTGCATGGTCCCCCGTTGCCAGTATCGCCACTGCAACGGATCTTCCTCTTTCGACACCGTCCACACTGAAGCTGTTGTTAGCCCGCTACACAACTATGTAAGTCTCGCACACACACCACACACCAGGTAAAGAAGGGGATGGGGGAGGTTTGCACTTACTGCCACCGCGATGCGCTTCCTCTGGGGAGTCACTTCATCATCCCTATCGCTTATGATAGTTGTCCTAGTGTCAGGATGAATGGGATACGCGGCGCCCCGACGCTCCGGGTATGAGTAGATATTCACCCGATTCGGCCCAAATCGCCGCGGGTCTGTCGAGTAACAGTT